AATGCACCGGCCCGTCCTTGCTATCTCACGCCGTCTTTTACGGCCCGTTTCCTCGGTCTCATCTACCCGTCTCGCCGTTCGCCCACATCACCACTGTACATACAGCACCCGACTGTTCTACAGTACTTCCCCTGTAGTTCCTTTATCCGTTGCAGGCCGGCCCCGATGCTTGGCCAGATCCGCATGGACCATGCGATTGGGGTCAGAACTGCATGGGCGACATCTCTCTTGTGGACCTTGGACTTGTTTTTCTGGTTGGTGGCGTACCCTTTGACGGTTGCCATGCTTGGAACCTGCAAGCTGACTTGGGAATATTTCGCGCTCCCTTTTTTTTTGTTTCTTTTCTGCAAGTGACTGGTTCTTGGTTGGTAGATGTTGTTCCTCGGTGTTGAACGTGAAGGTTTTGTACTGTCATCAGATAACAACCTGCCCATCAAGCTCACACTTCCATCCATCATCACGCGCTACTGACTACGACATCAAAGCAACGCAATGCATCCATATCACCCTAGAGAGGGGATCTTCAGGGGACCCTATCTCGTACTTGAGAACCTTGGCTGCACCCCGCGGCTTTCGCAATCCATATCCCATCTGCTTCATCATTCGCCCCCCAGGCTGCTTGGTGGAGTAATTCCCTCCCCTCCCTGTGCCGCTTCAAAGCTTCTTGGCCTAGAACAACCCAGGACCGATCAACCCAGCCCCGGGATAACGGCATGGCATGGATGGGTATAGGCCAAGGGTCTTGGGGTAGACGGGGAGAGAGAGGTCCGTGCTACATGGGAATCATGACTGAAGTTGTCACTCCCATCATGGCTGTTTTGAGCATCAGCTATCAGAGCATCGACTCAGCCCACCGGGCAAACCCTCAGCTCTGTTCAAGACAGCCTCAATAGCCAAACAAAACCATCGAGGCGACTCATCCATGTCGTGATTAGAGACACGGCCCCATGCCGTCTTACCAAAGATGTCTGAGCCATGTGTCTCATCTGCAAGCCATCAGCAAATGGTCCCCCCTCCCTCCCCGCCTCTTCCTCCCCTGCCTGGGCAAAGTCTCTTGTTCCCCAACTCTTTCTGCGCCAAAATGATCTGACTGCCTTGGTTTGCCCCTCTGAATCGAGATTCTCTTCTTGTACGTATCGAATGGAATGTCCAATGTGGGAGATGCTCGGCCCCAGAAGCAGGGTTCTTCGGCTTTCAGTCTGAAAAGTCCCGTTTGCCCACAGCCGGCCGGAGTCCCGGGCTCCCTCGGACGGCCGCCACGGGACCGGACCAGCGTCGCTCAATGGGGACATGTTCGGCGATGGGATGGAGAGATTGCCATGTGCCGTTCGGTAATTATTTCGTCGTTCGTTGCCTGTTCGTTTTCGGATGGATTATGACGAACGAGATGCCTGATCATGAGGTATTCGAGTCCGCATTAGTTGGAGCGTATAGTCCACGCTATTACTCCATGATGGCTTCAACACGTCTCCAACTTGCCCATCTCGACTGGCAACTTGATCCGTTCAGATGACCTCTTCCCCGTCTTGGTGCAGTAACCTCACCCGCCGTCATGGCCCCGACGCCCCCGCACAAACCGGCGGTTCCACCAGTGGATGTGGATGTCAAATCTTGAAAATCCGAGCACCATCTCTAGGGTAATCTTTGTCGTCGTCTCAAAGTCCAGTCCCGCTGCTTTCCGGCGGGGTTCTCATCCACTCACGATCGGTGGAGAAGCCTCGTGGGTGTCCTGCTCGCATGGGCAAAAAGAAAAGACGTCAACATCGACGTGCTCTATCTTGCTTCTTGGAACATTGGTCAAGACGCAATGCCGGACCGGGCCCGAGAAGACCCGACGGAGGAGGCTGGGCAGGGCAGGACTGGGCGGACGAGGCGTCAGAGCTGGGCCCTGGCCCTGTTCCTGATCGGTGTTGGTGCAGCATGAGGCTGTTGCAACGCTTGTTGCTGCGTCTTGTCCTTGCTTGCTTGTGGAGGCGAATAAAAAGAGGACGAGACATTGTGTGCGCGACCCAACCCAACTACCGTTTGACACGCGCGCGCAGTCTTCTCCAGGGCCAAGACCAGACCAGACCAGACCGACCCTTCTAGACATTTCCAACAGACCGTGTGTATTCGTGATGGGTGTCAGGTTAACGGCCCGAACGACCCTTGGGCTCCAAGCTCCCCAGCTCTGGGTTCCAATGCTACCCCACAACACCACTTTCTAGTAATTTCGAAGCTATCGTGAGCTTCACTCACTGCCCAAGAAAAAAAACCCCTCCTCAGACCCGGACCCGCTATACCCTTTCTCTGCCCGGGTTTCTTTCGGGGTGCTACGACTCCAAAAACCCTCACCCCATCACCCCCTCAAGCGAACCTATGAGCGTCCCACATGGCAAAGTCCCCAAGTCGTTGGCCTAGACGAGCTTCTGCAAGCCTCCACGAGCGCACCGTACCGTCCCGTTATAGTACAGTAGATCGGCACTATCGGGGTGTTCAAGCACAGGCAGTACCCGCCGCCTGACAGTTGCGAGACCAGGACAAGGCTCCATGGCACTTCCATCCATCGTCTGTGGGCCATGGGGCTTGCCTGCATCTTGACCCTGTCCGTCACAAAAGCCCAGAGACAGGCAGCACAGCCAACTCCCGTACGTGCATGATCTGTCTTTGCCTGGCACGTAGGTCGATGCAGACGGAAAAGGGTTTAACGATGCGTGAAATTTGGAGCCCAGTTGTTCGACGACGTGAGTAATTGTGGACAATCGTGTGGTGCCACGCGTATGCTCGGTAGGTTGGATCGCATCCTCGAGATAAGCACGCCTCTTTACTCTGCCCGCTGCGCCCTGAGGAACTGAACTGAACTGATTTGGGACCTGTCAGTCAGTGGAACCGGTTCCGAAACATGATGCACGAGCTGGACGTGCGGATTGGTACGGCAGATTCGTGAGGGACTGAAATCACTTCAGGGGTATCTCGTCCAAGACTGTAAGAGTGCCCAAAAAACAAAACATCGGGATTCTAGTTCCGCCAGAGCCGGACGGCCTTGTCTTTGCCTCCGCTGCCAACCCTCTTGCCATCCGGCGCCCAGTCGACCGCGTACACCTCGTCTTGGTGGCCCGGCAGGTCCACGGCGAGCTTGCACGACGCCATCGACCACACCTTTAGCGTTGTATCCTTGGATGCCGTCACGAGAAGCCTCGAGTCTGCTGAAAACGCGCACTGGTACACGGGAGCCACGTGTCCGCGGAGCGTGTTGATGAACTTGCCGTCCCTGTCGGTTGGTTAGCATGCGCTGCAGAAACTGATGGGGTAGAAGCATTGGTTGGTCCTTACCGAGCGCTCCAGATCTTGGTGTGGTTGTCCCAGCCAGCACTGGCGATGAGGGAGCCGTCCGGGGAAAAGGTGACATGGTTCACCTGCTTCTGGTGTCCAAGCATGCGCGCCACAGGCTTGGTGCCCTGAGCTGGATCCCAGAGATACATGGTGAAATCATCGCTAGCCGAGACGAGCCGCTCCGCGATCCTGCCCTGGAACTTGGCCGCCTTCTCGAATCTCTCCTTGGCCTTGGCTCGCTTGCCCTCCTCAGTCTCTGGTACAGGAGTGTGATCGTAGAATCCAGTCCTGAGAACAAAGTCGGTTGAGAGCGCGAGATGGTTAACCCAGTGAGCATGAGCTGACAAGGTGTGAACAAGAGTTCCCTTCTCAGCATTCCACACTCGGACTGTCTTGTCATGGCTAGCGCTGTAAATGAGGCCCTCTCCTCCCCAACGGACGCAGCTCACACTGCTCCTGTGCCCTGAAAGCACATGCTCGGTCCGGCCGGTGTTGACAACCCAGATTCGAACCGTTGCATCTTTGCTGGCGCTGGCAATCCGTGGCGTCCCGTCTCTCCAGAGATGGTAAGGCTCCCAGGCAATGTTGGTCACCCACTTTTGATGGCCTGTCAGAGGGCTTCCTACGGCCTTTCCTGTCTCGGGATCCCAGAGGCGGATAGACTTGTCCATGCTTCCAGTCGCAAGTCTTGCACCATCCGCAGACCAGGCAACAGCCAACACCCAACCACTATGCCCGGAGAGGGTGTACTTGGGTGTTCCAGTATCAGTGTCCCATATCCGCGCCGTCTTATCGCCGGAGCCAGTCGCCAGTCGGTTGCTGTTCTTGGGGCTGAATTGCGCAGTCAGAATCGCCTCGCCATGACCAGGTATCCGATGAGACATGCGCGTAACGGCCTGGACCTTGAACACGGCCTGTGGCTCGGCACTGAGCGTGACTGTCGTTTCAAAAGGGTTCTCGATGCCATGGTTGCGGAGGAGTTGGAGAAGATCGGTCGGGTATTGGTCTACAATAATATCGGAGTCGGGGATGTGAATTCGAAATCGGTATGGGAGGAATTCTTCCTTTTCCTGGAGGGCACATAATGTTAGGGAGATAACAAAGCCTCCAGCGGAACCGCACATACCCTTGCAAGCAAAGTATTCAGTAGGAGAGACAGGTTCTTCTCAGAAGCGTCGGCGAGCGGCACCTCGATCACATCGGCCATCTGGTTGCCATCTCCATCCAAGAACCGGGCCTTGAAGGACCCAGCCGGTCCCGCGGCAATCGCTGTGACATCCTGCTGAATATGGGAGCGCTCAAGCTCCTCTCGCTTTTGCCGTTTAGACGGCGGAGGCACAATTGTCGCCATGGCAAGAGAAATTCCTATGTAAAGGTCAAGATTCTTGATAGAATCCGTGGCATGGTGGGGGGGCAGTTTGGCAAAATCTTTGACAAATTTTGGCGGTGAGGAGCTGCAGCAACTCATAGTGCACAGAGTTCCGACTAAGGACTCGTACTCGGTTGGTATTGTAATCTGCTAACAAATTTGGCCCCGGTCTCCACACATTCCTGTTAGTGGCATGTCCATCCATGCCATGCCAATGCGTTCTTTCAACTTTCAAGGTTGATCCGTGTGCCTCATCATGAAAAAACGTAGCGCCTAATTCCCCGAAAACGCCGAAAAGTCATCCATCCATATGGCTCCCTTAGGTTTGTTGCCCGCCCTGTGATGGCCGCCCACGCATCCGCTTAGGAGGCCCAGCGTAATGCTGGAACTGCGGCATATCCATTCCAGGTACGGGAATGGGAGTCTGCTGTGGGTTTTGCGGCAGATACAGCTGCGATTGCATCATGGCTTGAGCCTGCGCCTGCGCTTGGGCTGCCTGCTGGGCCTGTTGTGCTTGCTGGGCTTGAACTTGAGCCTGCGACGTTTGTTGCGGCAACGGCTGTTGCTGAACATGTTGGGGATGCATCTGAGGCGGGGGCTGCTGCTGCTGAGTCTGCTCGGCTACTTGACGCCGCTGTCGAGCTCGCTGCTTCTGCGCCGAGGATTGTCTTTTTGTTTCCTCGATCTGACGATGTCGCTTATCTTGGGCTTCTTGTCTCTTTTGCCGCTGAACATCCTCGTTTTGGACCGCATAGATGGCGGCGATGCGAAGCTGGAGCTGCGACAAGATGCCGATGCGCTCTGGCTGTGACATTTTGCGATATTCGCTCTTGAACTGATGGAAGGTGTCGCCCGTCAGGCGGAGGACAGCGTTGGAGACGCCTGCGACATGGATCGCCGCCTGAGTCTCGGCATCAGGTTGAGGACCGTCATCTGGCCATTCTGTCAGAAGCGGCGTCACACCTGAATCCATATTCTGCTCACCTTCCAGGTCCTCAACAATATTGGTCTCGTCTTCGCTCGCGGGCTCGGGGGTCGGGGGTTCGGGCGTGCCGGGTTCGTGGTTGTGCTGATCGCAGGTGATGGTCAAGACCCATCCTCCCATGGTTTTACGATGAACAGCCTTTGCCTTCCATGGGCAATCCGTCTTCTTGGTTGTCGTCTTGTGCTTTGTCGCCATGCATCGGTAGGGCCGGCCGCCTCGATCGCACACCAGATCGCATCGGACAATGTCGTTCCCTGGGACGTCGGCACCGCCCACCTTGCCGCGATGAGATCTCGCCTTGACGATCTTGTAGCCATCCTTTTCCATGCGGTCACTGAGTTCCTTGAAGAGATCTTCATAGCTGTTGAAGATGCCCGAATGGGGCACCGACACGGCCTCCAGAATGCCGAACATGATGAGTTCGATAACGCGATCAACGCGTTCGGAGCTCAACGATGTGTGGATTTGGGCGTTGACCGGTGTCAGGCCTGAGCCGACGTGTCGGCCGGCGGGGAGGAGTGAGGAATTTCCGGCTGACTCGGATAAACCTCGGATGCTTCCATCCATGCGTGGCTTACACACGGCAGGTGCGATATCTGTATCGCTTTGTCGTTTTCGCAGCCTGAATACTGATGAATGTCTAAACAACCTGTACTGGTGATCCTAAATATTTGTTTGCTTCAGTGTTGGAGAGGAAAGGACAATATGAAAGGCTGAGACGTGCCTCTGGATGGTGGTAGTTATGGACCAGGACTGTGCTTTCCAGTTTTACCCAGCAAAGATGTTGAAGGAGGGGATTCCGGGAAGGACCTCATATCTGGACCTTCCCCTCCAGTTTTGATCAAGGCAAGGTCTCCACGAAGGAGGCCACGTAGCTTTCTTCTCGTGAGAATGCGTCAACATCAAACTTCCGGCGATATCAACGAGCGAAAACCTTGGAGATGGATCCCATGTTGCGTTCAACGCCACCAACAAACGACAGTTGGTCGTCTTCAAACTACTTCCAGAACACGACCACTCCAAGTCTCCCCGTCAACGAGAGACCGCAGTCCAGCCTGAGCCATTCCACACAGCACTCGGCAGCGGGAACCACTCCAGGACCTGGTACGTCTCGGTCTCCTACTGTTCGACTAGGTACTGCTCAGGAGAGAAAGCCACGAAATGCAACCGTATCCTCGATACTCGGCCTCAGCGAAGCTCAAAGCATTATCTGCGCCATCAGTGAGGCTCGCACCGTCTCCCCTTCGGTGGGCATCGCCTTTGTCAATGTCTCCCTTGGCGAAGTTGTCATCAGCCAGATCTGCGATAATCAATCCTACATCAAGACAATCCATACCCTTCAAATGTCTGCTCCAGCGCGAATTCTCTTCATGTCCACTGCTTGCCCCCCAAACAAGCCCAGCAGCCTCTATTCCCTTGTGACCGATCTCGTGCAGGAGTCTCAAGTTGGTGCACAAGATCGTTCTGCCTGGTCCGAGTCGGATGGCCTGGAGTACATCAACAGCCTGGCATTCAAGGATGATATTGAACCTCTGAAGGTGGCTACCCAGGGGAAATTTTACGCTCTGAGTTCCTTTGCAGCAGTTAGTTCGGTCAAAGGTATCTGTGACCATGGCTGACTTGATCACAGGCCATGAAGTACATCCAGCAGCACTTCTCTATTAACTTTGTGCCGCATTCTCTCCGTATTCAGTACCGCCCCTCCGAAGACACCATGATGATTGACATTTCTGCCATTCAGTCTCTCGAGATTATGCAGAACCTGCGGAACCCCAAGTCGAAAGACTCCCTCTTTGGGTTGATGAACCACACAACAACTCCAATGGGAGCTCGGATGCTTCGAAGCAGCATCCTTCAGCCGCCAACCCGCGCTGACCTGTACATCACTCCGCGCTACGAAGCCCTCGATGAGCTGACAACCAACGAGGAGATGTTTCGTGAAATCCGGAAAGGTGATTCAGCTCGCGTATGCTATAGAGTTCCTGGGCTAAAAGCATGCAGCTCTCAAACTCTTTCGTGATACCGAGAAGATATTGACAAAGGTATTCTGATTGTCCTCGCATGAGAAAACGCTCACCATGTTGCAGCTAATTGTCGTCCCAAAGAACATGCCCATTCAAAAAGTGGAGGAACAGATCAACCATGTCTTGATGGTGAAAAGTTTCCTCGAGGCGGTCTCTGAGCTCTACCTAGCTTTGGAACCCGCAACATGCGACTTGCTTGTCAGAGTTCGAGATCTTTGTCACCCCGAACTCACAAACCGTGGTCTCGACAAGATTCGACACACAATCGAAGCGGACGTTACTTACATGAACTCGGCCCTGGACCTTTGGAACCAACGGACCTTTGCAGTCAAAGGAGGCATCAACGGCATGCTGGATGTCGCACGGCAGACCTATAAGGAGCAGACTGAGGAGGTTCATAAGTACCTCGATCGTCTGAATGGTATGATGGCCCTTTTAACGCAAAGGTTTACTAATAATCCTAGAAACCCATGGATTCGGCGCTGGTCTCAAGTATGACAATGGTCGTAAATATTGGTTTCGTCTACGAGCAGCCGATTTCGAGGGTCGCCCCCTTCCCGACGAATTCATCAATATCGTGCGAAAGAAGGACAAGATTGAATGCCAAACCTTGGCGTTGATCAAGCTCAACGTGAGACTTGCAGATGCTGCACACGAAGTTGTTCTACGGAGCGACAGCATTGTACAGGCCCTGATAACCGATCTTCGTCAAGAAGTGCCACATCTTTTCCGACTCTGCGAATCAATTGCTCTTGTCGACATGGTTACGAGCTTTGCACAACTCGCCACGACGAGAGACTACGTAAGGCCCGACCTTGATACGGCGATGGCATTGAAGGGTGCTCGGCACCCTGTTCTTGACAAGGTAATTCAGTCTCGGCGTTGAGCAGGAGGAATCTAACGAGGCAGACCATGGACGACAGCTTCGTGCCCAACGACTACTTTGCGTCAGAATCATTTGCCTTCCATGTCGTCACCGGATGCAACATGAGTGGGAAGAGCACCTATATCCGAGCGGTCGCGCTGCTCCAGATCATGGCACAGATTGGGTCATTTGTCCCTGCCAAGTATGCCGCGTTTTCTATTGTCCACAGCATCTTTGCCAGAGTCTCACTCGACGATAACATTGAAAGCAATCTTTCAACCTTTTCAGTCGAGATGCGAGAAATGGCCTTCATTCTGAGAAATATCGACGACAAGAGTCTTGCTGTGATTGATGAGCTGGGTCGTGCAACGAGCAACAGGGATGGCTTGGCTATTGCCATTGCCATGTCAGAAGCCTTGATCCAGAGCAAGGCTTCAGTCTGGTTTGCGACCCATTTTAGCGATCTCACCCGCGCGTTTGCCCAGCGTCCTGGTGTGTTAAATCTTCACCTCGCAGCCATAACCTCAACGACTGCAGACGGATTGCCTCACATAAAGATGCTGTACAAAGCAACGACGGGTGCTGTTGGAGATGAGCACTATGGAATCAATCTGGCTCGTGCGATTGGGCTGCCTCAGGGTTTCATTGACAAGGCGGAGGAGGTGGCCAAGGATATCCGACGCAAGAGAGAAGCGAGCAAACGCAGCTCGGAGTCATCACGACTTGTGGCTCGCCGTAATACGATTCTCAATCTTTGGGCTGCTTTGAAGCAAGCGCGTGACTCGGGCACCGAAGAAGGACTCGCAAGGTACCTGAAACAACTTCAGGCGGAATTCATCATTCGCATGGAGAAACTAGACAGTCAGTAGGGGAGATGTTGGTGTGGGCGATCTGTACTCTCTCTTGTCGTGGCATCTGGGACACTTCCTTTATGTGCCACTGAGGATTTCTTGTCATTTATATCATTGTGTTCTGAACCATGGCTGTCTATGTACCTGGCCGACTGTAGTCTAGCTCTCGCACGCGCTTCCAAACCTCTCTCACAGTTCGCTCTTGTGTTTGACGACCGGTTTCTGTTTCCGAAGGCCCTGCGGGACTGGACGGCGTCAGCAGGAACCTTGACGAGGGATAAGGTCAAACTTACCGCACTGCCAAGTATAATCGACCCCCAAGATGTGCCATGGGGATTTCGGCCGTCTCGGGTTGATCGGGAGGGTTTGCTGTTGTTACCAGGCCACCAGCTTCTTCAAGGATTGCAATACCAGCAGCGACATCCCTATCAAGGTTAACACTCGGACCGATGGCGACTTGGATTAGCTGAACTTGACGTACCATTCCCAGCAACCGCCCTCCCACCAGATATCAAAGGAACCCATGGCCGTATAAGCAAGGTCCAAAGTTGCGCTACGCAAACAGTCAGCGGTGGCTTGTGTGGCGGAGGTAATGGGAGCTTTACCTCCCCAAGCTTCGCATGCCATGAACCATGCCTCCCTTGCCTCCTCGACCACCTCGTTCCGAGGCCATATTAACGAATGACTCGACTTTTCGGGTCATGTTGCCATCTGGGATATCTCGACGATCCTTCCCCCACTCGCATGAAAAGGTGCATCCGCTTGGGGCGTTTGCTGGCATCGGAGGACTCGGGTTGCGAAGTAACGGAAGTCGCTGAGTCTCATTGAGCCATGCGCCTTTTCCAGAGCATGATGAGAAGAATTGGTGTAGGAATGGCGCGTTGATGATTCCGATCACGGGGACTCCATTGATAACGAATGCGATTGAGACGCAGAACATGGGAAATAAGTGTGTGAAGTTGACGGTGCCGTCAAGAGGATCGACTACCCATGTCGGTCGGTCGTCGACGAGGTAGGTTCGTGAAGCTCCAGCAGAGTATGACTCTTCTCCGAGGAAACTGATAAGAGCGTTAGAAGGCGAAGCTTGTTGGCAGGCTATCGGCTTACGCATGGTCGGGGTATTTTTCGGCGATAGAGGTCCGAATGAAGTTTTCTACGTCTTGACAGAGTCAGCTATCGCACAGGGCACAGATACAAGATTCAAGATGAATACCATTGTCGGTCTTGGTAACAATATCGACCGAACTCTCCTTCTCGTCAAATGAACCACCATGTTGACCGTCAATCCGAGCCTGAGCGGCTGTCATGAGCATGTCGCCAGCATCTTTGCCCAATTGCACAGCAAAGGCGTAAATGTCGGACATCTGCTGGTCATCCATTGCGACGGGCGTTATCTCTGATGACGAAAGGTTAATGTTTCCTTTGGACCCTGCATTCGACGACAGCTCGTTTTTGTTCAAACAATGACACAATGCCGTCTCCAGCCGCTCCAGAGCGATTCCGCACTGCGGGAATGAAGCTCGGATGAGCTGCCGATGGAGCTCCTGGTGATCGGCGTCTTGGTGGATGAAGCTTTACCCGGATCTGCGGGGGCCCCGCGTGTAGGTTTCCGAGGCTGGTGTAAATGCCGAGATGGGGAAAAGAATACAGCAATTGAAATACCATATTTGAGGAGGAGAGCTGGAATTCACAATGGGTTGAACTAACCAAAGCATTCATCATGTCTCGACGTCTTCTTCTTATCAACGGTCCAAACCTGAACCTCCTCGGTACGCGAGAACCTCACATCTACGGCTCAACAACCCTCCAAGATGTCGAAACCCAAGCAAAAACCCAAGCAAAGGAACTCTCCGCCTCGATCGATACCTTTCAGGCCAACTCGGAGGGAGCGATAGTCGACCGGATCCATGCGGCGCGCGGCGAGATTGACGCCATCATCATCAACGCGGGCGCGTACACGCACACAAGCGTCGCCATTAGAGATGCCCTGACGGGCGTGGACATTCCGTTTGTCGAGATTCATATTACGAATGTCCATACGAGGGAGGCGTTTAGGCATCACAGTTTTCTGTGTGACAAGGCTGAGGCTGTTATTTGTGGGTTGGGGGTTTTTGGGTATACCGCTGCTATTGAGTATGCGGCTAAGCATATCAAGTTGAGAGGAAAGGCGTCGAGGCTGTGAGGGCGTGGTATTTCATTGCGCAATAGAAGGGCTGAGACGCAACGTGAGATGGATAGATGGCTGGGCGTCAAGATGCTCGAGCCCAGGTTATATGCCTCGCCATGGCGATGGGCATCTCGTCGCCCGCTCTATACATCAAGCCGCCATCCGGAGTACATACGCAGGGTGGAATTACATCAATGGGTTCCACCGCGGGTCATATTTGGTATTTACAGGCCAATACAGATCCCCAAATGCGTTGCAATCGTAACCGTCCAAACAGTGGTTCCCCAGCAGCCCTGATCGTGGGCATCTTCAGCTCATGACCACATTGTGTGTCTCATTGCTCACCATCTTCGACAAACGAATTTTTCGGATGGAAAGCGCCGAGATTGAAAGATCCTTTGTCCCGCGTCAGGGGTTGCATTGACGATGTGAATAATTGCAGCCCCGAAGCCAATCGACAACATAGACAGGGAGTGACACCTGTCACCTCAGCTCGGCTATTAGCATCGCTATGACCTTGGAGATCCGGCATGGTATTCGCAACCTAATCTTTAAAGAGCAGTGAGTGACCTAATCTAAAGCAGAGGCTATGAAGGCTCGCTTCAGACGATTCATTTGCGTGCATGCCAAGAGGAATTTAGGATACACATGTACGTTAAACACCAAGTGGCGTATAGCAGCTGCTCTCAAGGGAAGAAAGGAGACTGATCAAAATGATGCGAACATGTGGCACAGCTCTAACATGGCTAACACACATCCCCAGGCTATCCCAACAGGGCGGTTCCTTTCTCCGCAATCACCCACATGCAAGCGAGGAGAGGGATTGCTTCTGTCATTCAAAGAAGCAAAATCTCCTTCTAGAAAGGAGCCCCTTTGTGCGTAGATGCCCGAAGGCGTCCTCGGTCCCGGGAGGTTGCCAAGTCGAGGGAATCACATATCTGACGAGTCATTGCCGCGATTTCACGCGAACCTCCCCCTAAGTCATATGAGGCTCTCGGGAAGCTCTCCTCGATGAGCAGGGCCACTAGACCGAGTTTCTGAAGGCTAGCCTACCGGAATCTTCACCGGCTGAAAAGCTCCCCCCCTGTTTCTCGGCAACCGACCGCATTGACCGTTGGGTGCAAGGATCCTGGTCCCCGGCGCAGCAGCGATCTTGGACGGCATTGTTCCCCTGAAGGACGGCTCGTCGTCTAGTTCCTGCATTAAGCTGGGAGGGGCAGGAATCTTGGACAAGCACCAAGAGGGTCGGCCGATCAGATCTGGCATCGTGAGCTAGGAGCACGGTCAGGAACGCGGTTCAAGCACCGGGGACCTGGTATTGACAAGTCTAACAGACATTGTAATTCAGGAGAAGGAAAAAGACTTTGCAAGCGTACGTTCATCTCGATCAACGAGGGATTGTCAGCTGTCAGGAACAGACAAGTGAAGGAGCCGATCCCTAGACTAGGGTACGCCTCTACCGGAAATGGAATGGGGTTTCAGCTGCTGAGCTTTTTCCATTTAAATTGCCCATCATCAGTGATTTTTTCCTGGTTTGTGAGGCTGGCGGTTGACGACAAGACAGACCCTGGTTCAAACTCTGCTTCAGCCACCAGACTGGCTCAGGCGGGTGATGAGGCAGATGAGTGCCGGCTGGCAAATTCGTGTCGGCCGCTGGTGGCTTCACGCCGTCTTTTGCTTCTACCAGCCCTAGATATAATTACTATGCCATGCCCTTGCTATAGATTCTCTTTACCTCATGCAATGCACGTGCTATTGCCGTGGCTTTTAACGGAGGCTGTATCGTGAGTCCCGCGGTAGACGACGGCGTGGGCTACAAACTGAGGCCGCGAGGCGTTTTGGGCTTGACCTGGGGTTGGTGACAAAGTAAGCATGAAAGATGCAAGTGTGATTCAGACATGCAGCAGAGAATTCGTTCTAGACGGCTTCGAAATGTGTATCAGACTTGTTGGATCGTCAGGGGATTACCTATCACACGAGGGTTTAAAAAAGAAAGGGTCGGCTAAACGTGGCTCTCGGAATGTGTCACCGATGACAAGCAGAAAAGAAAAAGAAAGAAGCCGTCGATCGAGGGACCACCCATAGAGAAAGACACACGGTCCTCGTCATTATGCCTCTCCCGAGAGGGGGCCCTCCCCCAGATCACCGTTGCATCCCATCGCTTAGCGCATCCTGGTTGAATGATCGACGCTCGCTATCCACTTGGTCGAGAGCCTAAAGCACGGGTGCAGAGTCCGAGATCCCCGCCTCAAGCTTGAGCCTTGAGGCTGCTGCTGGGCTGCTGTTTGGTCAAGCTGCTACAATGAGTTACGTTTCTTCAAGGATCGACACCCAGCTGGACAGTCTCAAGGAAAAGCCATGTCCAGGGGAGCGAGTCATTCATCTGACTCGTTCGTGCATCCTTATTCGCAAGTTGCCTTTCTTGGCAGGTGGCTGCCGTGTGCCTCTCCCCGCATGTCTTCAACGGATGCAAATCAAGCCGCCCCAGACTGAGACGAATTCCCCAGACCAGGTTTTACTGTCAGGTACCTTCCTCAGCCGCCATCTACTAGGAGACCGTGCTGGCGTAGACGACCGCCCGGACCTCCCATCGTCAAGCTTCATTACGCTGTGGCGGTCCCGTCATGGCACCGCGCCTTGAGCGGGAGGGCTTGGCGTGTCCCAAGGGAAAAACCCGGACACTGGGATTCGGCTTCTGGTCCCTGGCTGCAGGATCCAGAAGGTTGAAGTGCACGTGTGTGTGCCAATGGACGGTACATATGCTTGACAGTTCCCTACCTCTTTTGAGATGAGGAGGTTAGGACTGAAATGATTCCCCGGCGTCTTCTTCTGTCTGTCTTTTACACGCTCGTCCTCCGTTTACATCTTCCTTGAACCGCTCACACAAGACCTTTCCTTACTTCTCAAGACACTCAGTTGAATACTCCAAACCCTCCAACAATCATGGCTGGCGGCTTTGGCTCCGGGACCGATGGCACGTCCCGCACGGCCATGACCATCATCCTCGTCTTCCTGGCCATCTCGCTCTACAATGTCGTCGAGCTCACGTTCATCATCTTTGGCACCTTTAAGCGGCACTCGGGCCTCTACTTTTGGTCCTTTCTGTGCGCGACCTGGGGCATCCCCTTCTACTGCGGAGGCTTCCTGGTAAAGTACTTTGCCCCGGCGTCTGTCGGTTTTCTGGCTGCTGCCCTCATCTCCATAGGTTGGGTGGCCATGGTGACGGGGCAGTCTCTGGTGTTGTGGTCGCGGTTGCATCTTGTTCTGAGGAATAGGTTCCGGCTTAAGTTGGTGCTCTACATGATCATCGTCGACGCCATCGTCTGTCATGGAGCCATTATCCCCATGATCTTTGGGTCCTTCTCCAGCAGCCCCGAGATGTGGGTTAAGCCGTACTCGGTTATGGAAAAGATCCAGGTCACCATCTTCTTTATCCAGGAAATCATCATCTCGAGCTTCTACATTTATGAAACGATCAAGCTCATGCGTCTGGAGCGTACCATGGGCAACAAGCGCGGTAGCCGGCGTCTCATGAACCACCTCATCTTTGTCAACCTACTCATCATCCTCCTCGACATTACTATCCTCGGCCTCGAGTACGCCGACCAGTACGAGTACCAGACTTCTTACAAGGCATTTGTGTACAGCACAAAGCTCAAGCTCGAATTCACCATCCTCAACCGTCTCGTCGAGATGACGACAGGCAGCAAGGACGCCAGCTCAGGACCCCGGAGCAGGACTGCAGGCACCACTACGGGGAACAAGACGGGCATCGCACTCGATACGTTTATCAGCGACACGGGCGCCAAGCCGACGGGTGATGTTTCCTACGAGGCGTACGCCATGGGTGGTGAAGATGGAAACTCGGATATACAGGGGGCGTCTCCTCGCCGCGACAACGGGGTCATGATGACAACAGAGATTATCGTACATCGAGAGAACAGAGACGACGATGGAGTGAGCATAGGACCAAACTCATCGGCCGACTCAATCGGGGTAGCAAAGGGGCCATTCGACGGGGAGAACCTATCCAAGTCATCCTCCGAGGTGCATCTCGCGACACGAGGTTTCTAGAATGAACCAAGCTAGACCACATTTTTTCTTGTTCCCTTTAACACATAATGTAGCCAACTATACCCAATCTTCTACTGTACAATTTAATAAAAAAAAAAGACATCAAGATCTCAGCCGTTAAAGAACGCACGTTCCCTCCTTCGTTCCGCCTCGTTATCTGTCACCGTGTCTGAAAGGAGCCCAGCTGGGCGCTACGATACAGTCCGGTGCAGAACTATCGCGCCGGGTTTCGAAATAGACGGCGGACTAGGCAAAGCGAGGCTTTTGGGGGTGCCGTGATGGCTCAAATGAGATGGTGCTAAGAAGCTGCTAAAGAGCCGTCGTTCACTAGAGAGTTGCTACGGTTCATCAAGTTGAGACGATGAGTTGGCTATAATAGGGAAGAAAGAGAGAGTCTCGATCCATCGATCAAGTAATATCTCTCATATGAAACCCCCATTCACCAGGCCAAGCTCCCATACTGTGTAGTATTTCGTTCTGTCATGGAAACCCGACACCGCAACCCTAGGCAACGCCAAGAGGAGTCTGTCTGAAGCTTATTCCCATGGACGATGTCATCCCGGGGACTCGGACCAGCTCCCAATACATCGGGTAAGAACGGGTCCTAAAGGAAACAGGCTAGAGAGTGCTCCCCTGGTTTCTGGAGCTAAAGCTTGAATATGGAGTTTTTGCAAAGTTCCCATGGTATTTCTGTTTCTGGTAAATGTACAGTAATTGTGAAACGTACTAAGCTTGTGCATAGAATGTATTGTGATTATGCATGAATAATGAGACCTCTATTCATGCAGGTCATTATGCATCAAGCGACAATAGCATTGATCCTACCTTGCTGGACATTTCAACTCCATACAAAGCCTTGTCTTGTCTCTTCTACCCTGGTCATGATTCGATTAAACCATCCATTCTCAAAAGCGGAGAAACAAAGGACCGCCAATCTCCCCTCATTGAAACGAAAAAAAATGTAACCTATATTGTTATAACCGTCCAATAGAACAACATGGTCGCATCACGAGTTTCTCAAAACTGGCCCCTTGCTCGGTCTCAAATCGGGTCTCGCGCCGAGCCTAAACAGATTAAGGCAGGAAACATCGGCGATATACCCTCTTTATCAATCCTGATTGTTGATTTGATCGGCCAATTGGACTGCTGTTCCTTGCCACGAGATATTTGTCGCGTGTCGGTCGACGAAAGGGGAAACTCGTGGATTTACGTCGCACGAGGATATATAATGAGCCATGGAGGGCCACCGTGGTTCTTCAGACAAGTCCTTTGTCCGTAGCCGGAGCTTCTACATCGCCATCATGGTTGCCTCCAGCGTCGTTGGCCTGTTGACTGTCCTCGCACAGATGTGCGTCGTCAACGCCGCAGTGGAAGTAAACGTCGACGTCTCAGCATACACGAGCGAAGCCGAGTCAGACTGGACCGCGGTGTACTATTCCTCTCGCAAGCCTCTTCTCATCGGAAACGATGGCGGGCCCGACAAGGGAGGATTCCACGTCTACGACCTTGAGTCAAAGTCTCCTCTGAAGGAGGTGACTGCGCGCACGCCTGGCCGCAGCAAGCTCGTCACGACGGTGTATGATGTCGATGACAAGGATCTGCTCGTCACCATCGCGCAGCCGGATTCGGTGGTGCGCGTTTTTGAGATGCCTGATTTTAAGCAGATCAAGGATGCAGACTTCAAGGTGCTTGGGGATTGGTCTGCGCTGTGCTCATGGAAGAGCGATGCTGGCAATGACTACGTTTATCTCTTTGGAAAGGGTCAGGCGGTTCAGCTGCTCCTCAGAAAGACCAAGAAGTCGGTCGAGCTGCTCGAGGTAGGCATTTCACAAAAGAACGAGAGAGCTTCGCTGATACATCCAGGTGCAAACATTCCCAACCGGCTTTGAGACATCTGGCTGCGCAGTTTCCCGCTCAGAGTCAAAGATGTACCTCTCTGTTGATGATGACAAAGATGTCTACGTCTTCCCGCTCAAGGAGTCGACAAAGGCCCCGGAAATCACCAAGTTTGGCGAGGCAGAAGACGACGTGACGGGTGTCGCAACCTACGTCCCCAAGAAGGGATCCGACTACCTGTTTGTCGCCCAGAAGGACAAGGTGGCCGTCTATGACAGCTCCTTCAAGCTCAAGGGCACCTTGACATTGACCGGATACGAGGACATTGAAGTCCAGGGTCTCAACATCTACCAGGCTTCCACCTCCAAGTATCCTGCTGGCGTTCTCACCTACGCTATCGAGTCGGAGGAAGTCAACGGCTTTGGAGTCACCTCGCTCGACAAGGTCCTCAAGAAGCTCGGAATTTCTGAAAACACAAAGTATGACCCGAGAAAGGTCAAGACGAACCCTGAGAAGGAGCCCATCTGCCGTACGTGTGATAACAGCGGATACTGCCTCAAGGATCGAAAGCAAAAGTGTGAGTGCTTTGCTGGATTTACTGGCAGCAAATGCGACAAGTATACCTGCGTCGATAAGTGCTCTGGTCATGGGAAGTGTGTTGGCCCCAATGAGTGCAAGTGCAATAAGGGATGGGGAGGTCTTCACTGCTCGTTCCTCCTCATTGAGCCAACCTACGAGACCGAGTCGCGTCTTGGAGACGGCGATGACCCGGCCATTTGGATCTCGCCCGAGTCGCCTGAAAAGTCCCGCGTCGTGACGACCATGAAGTCGGGCAAGGAGGCTGGTCTTGGCGTCTTTGATCTGGCTGGTAACCTTCTCCAGTCGTTCCCCGCAGGTGAACCAAACAACGTCGACATTATCTACGGCTTCCAAGCGGGAGATCGCAAGGTTGATCTTGCGTTTGCTGCGTGCCGAGAAGATGACACTCTCTGGTAAGGACATGTCCCACTTTCAAGTTCTATAGCTGACAAACGTAGTCTGTTTGAGATGCTACCAAACGGAACCCTGGCCAGTATCCCTGGAGGCATCCATCCCGTCGTCGAAGATTACAGCGTCTACGGCTCTTGCACGTACCGCTCCCCCAAGACCGGAAAGCAGTATCTATTCGTCAACGAAAAGTCTGCCCGGTATCTCCAGTACGAGTTGACGTCCACCTCCGAGGGAGAACTCAAGACAGAACTTGTACGAGAGTTCCAAGGCGGTAGCGGTGGCCAAGTCGAGGGATGTGTCACGGACGAGGAGAACGGTTGGATCTTCCTCGGAGAGGAGCCTTCTGCTCTTTGGAGATACGGCGCTGAGCCTGACTCCAAGGATGAGGGTGTAGTTATCGGAAAGGTCGGCGATGGAACTCTTTACGGCGATGTCGAAGGCGTGACGCTCGTCTACGGCTCCAAGCCCAACGAAGGCTTCATTCTCGTCTCATGCCAAGGCGTGAGCGCATACAACGTCTACCGCCGCGCCGAACCTCACGAGTACGTCACGACTTTTACTCTAGTCGAGTCCTCTGACGGCAAGATTGACCCCGTGAGCAACACGGATGGCATCACTGCCGTCGGAGCCGCTCTCAACAAAGACTTTCCTCACGGCCTAGTTGTGGTGCACGATGATGCGAACCAGCTTCCGGATGGAAAGACGAGTGCTGAGGCCAGCTTCAAGATGATTAGTTTGGAAAAGATTCTGGGGTCAAAGGTTTTGGGCAAGAAGGGGTTGTTGGATCAGGTTGATAAGAACTGGGATCCGCGCAAGTAGTCGAGGTATGGGTTAAAAGTCCAGAGCAAGCAAAGTATTCACGACTTATTTAAGAGTGAGGCTGATGAGCTGCGATTCTTCTATTGTCCACCACCTCAATTTCGTTGTGAGACGAGAACCCGGCATTGTGCGCTATACCTATCCATCCGCTCCCATCATTCATATGGTCGAAGAGTCACAAAGGTAGCGTGAACAAGTGGTTTAAAATGCTTGATTAACCTGGAATCCTCTCGTGATACCATTGACTCCGTTAGAGCCTCAACACCTATCAACCCCAATCCTTACGCCTAATTCGAGATGTTGAAGCCACCACCACCAAGAGGCGCCGCTGAATGAGTAGACTTGGCCTCTTCTAACCGAGCTATGGCATACTCGGCAAAGCGGCAAAAGAGCGCCTCAGGAGTCAAGCCGTGGGATTCGAGAGCAACTAATACAGCCGCAAAAACCCAGAAGATGTGAGCTCTTTTCACCAACCTGGAAACCATATATCTGAGGGGTCTGGGTTTGAGCAGTGACCAGTCTCCGGTTTCAAGCGCGATAAACATCTTCAACGAGTAGTATATGAGATGAATGGCCAGAAATATTTCCAAGGAACGCCTGTGGAAGAAGCAGTGTTGGATAGTGGCGAGGATGGAGCATCCTGAGGGGAGCAGTGGAGCTCTGCCAATGGAATAGTCCATGAGAAAGTCTGCTCCTTTCATGAGGAATATAGGAAAGCCAACTGATGTGATGAGCCCCATGTTGATGTCAAAGTTGGGGGTGTGGGTTGATATGTGTTTTTTTTTTTTGTTGTTGTTGATGGGGATGATGTTGTGGTTTGAGATGAGCAGTTGAGATGATGGGATGTTGTTGAAAGGAGAAAAAACAGAAAGTGATAGAGAAGAGGGAGATGAGTTGTTTTATCTAACCGCAGTTGAAAGTTGGATGCATCTCAACCAGATTACCAAGGCCCAAGATAGTTTTGGTTTAAGTTATATCCTTGGTGGTCGTTGTCACGCTTCACCACTAACTTTTCTGATGCATCACAAGAATGCCTAATTTAAGTTGCAACCTAAGTCCCAGTAAGCATCAACAGCGTATGGTAGTCACCTGAGTCAAAAGAGCTCAACAAACTAAAAACTGGCTTCACTGTTGAGTCAATTGGATCACTTCCTGATAGGGATAGGAACAGCGTTGGCCCACCATGATCAGGATCAGCGCACCGAAATCCCAACTCGAGACATCTTGCCGCGCCCTGTTGGCCAAGCAAGGCGTCGGAGTTTCGATTACTGCACAGGGTATGACACTCAAGCTCTATATAGACGAGTACGGTGTGCCTGGTAAGTTTGCCTTGCTACTTTCCTACCGGGCTTGTGGTTCTGGTAAGGACCTTTGGTGCTCAGCCCCATCTCGCTGTTGAGTTTGGAGGCTCTATCGTGACAGCTTCACAACATCATCACTCATCTCTGGTCTGATCAAAATTCATGTTCAAGTCGGCACCTAATATGAGAGGGCTGATCTAGCCCATGAAACTCTCCAGAGCCCGTCGCCTAGGAGTCGCGTACCTCTCGTCTCAAATCCCAGCACTTCCCCGCTCGTCTATTGACGACCACTCGTATTAGGTGAGGCTCTTTTGAGGCTGAATCGACTAGTCTAGATGTCCATGAAATCAGGTATTGCTTCTATCACTGTTCCCTGCTTCAGGTAGGTGTACTACTCCTTTGATGCGGCTCTCCTCCAGATCGCCCCTCAAACCTCCCCCTTTCCCAAACAGATCAAATAAACGCACGCACTTAGGCATCTGATCAAGTTAAAGATGAACAAGGCCAGGTCTAGAACCCCTTCAGGCGTCGGAATCAAGTTCTACCTAAAAGAAGCTGTTCATGTGCCCATGGCCTGGTGTGCCAACTTCAGGATGCTATTTGTTGAGTGGCGCTTCCCTAACCTTGTTTATCAAAGCCTGTTTTCATGTTCATACAGTCTGTGTGTTCTTTTTGTTAGTTTTCATCTATCAGGGGAGAGGCATGGGTTTGATACTGACTAAGTGACCCATGTTGACACTGGCAAACACCGTGTGACAGGGCAAACAAACAGGATTTTGAAGGCAACAGAAAGAATTTTCAGTATTTTTTCAGATATTTGGTGTAAAAATCCCACACATACTTGCAAGGTAAATACGAATATCAAGTTGTGAATTCTCATGCCTGGATATGAGCGCTCATCTGACCCAAGTCCCTCCAACAGTGTCAATTCCCCAAAACGTGCATCTTTTGTCAATATCCCCACTGTAAATGTTTTAAAAAGGCTTGTTCCGGTTTCAGCTCACCGGCGTGCGGTTGGCAGACCGTTGCGGCCGCCAGCTGCCAAGTTACCCCTTTTGGGTGTCAATAGAGCCTCAATTAGCACTGACCACATCGATGAGCCAGAACACACGACTGATGTGAAAGAAACCCTCGCCATAAAGAAATAGCCGACACATGATAATTATGAGCTTGAGCCTCGAGGTGCTCGTGAGATCTCTTGCGTCTGTTGGTAGTTGCATATCATGCAGCTGCTCTAGAGTGGTGGGCGACAAACCAGAGTCTAGGCCTGAATAGAAACGGATATCGCAACGTCGTCTGTTAGTTGAAACGGGCGGCCTACGCCAAAACCATCTGTCAATAAGCCGCACCGTTCCCCCTTGCCGACCAAGGTTTGATATCGTTGCATGTGTTCTCCTAGTGGCTTGCAACTCCTTTTCTCTCAAAGAAACGACTTTATGAGGGTTGCGTATCATGTTTCTTTGACGTATATTTCTCCAGGAGTGGCAGGTGAGGCGGGCTTATTGACCCCGCCAGCGTCAATAGACTGAATAGACAGTCCACTAGGGGGTAAATCTGAGTTACTATTGACGTTCCCCTTTCCCGACATTGACCATTTCGTCTATAAAGAAAGACTCAATCCCCCGGGATATATGCTTCTTCTCCAGGCTCGTTCCAACATCACAAGAAGGACAACCACAAACACAACAACCTCACCTTCAGACAAGTTTCGTGACACAAGATCCCTAACGAGTACCTCTCGTTACACTCTCATTCCCGACATTCGCTATCGAGAAAGACTTTTCCGCCAACATGAAGTTCACTCTCGCAACTCTGGCCGTCCTGGCTGCCACCGCCATGGCCGCGCCTGCCCCTGACGCCGAGCCTGAGCCTTGGTGCTTCTACCCCGGCCAGCCATGCTGGAAGAAGGCCAAGCGTGAGGCTCTCCCCGAGCCCAAGGCTGAACCTGTCGCTGAGGCAAAAGCCAGCCCTTGGTGTTTCTACCCAGGACAGCCTTGCTGGAAGAAGGCTAAGCGTGATGCTGATGCCGACGCTGAAGCCAAGCCCTGGTGCTTCTATCCTGGCCAGCCCTGCTGGAAGGTCAAGCGTGCAGCTGAAGCCTTCTCCGAGGTCCTCCAGGTCTCTGGAAATGAAGCTCGATCCGCCGATGCTGATGCTGAAGCTGATCTGAGCAACCTGGCCGGCGGCGCTGCCTTCAGGGCCAAGCGCGAGATCCACGAGCTCGCCAACGTCATCTCCCTCGCCACCAGAGACGACTCCGGAAACTACTACCGCAGCCTCAACCTCGAGAGAGCCTTCCCCGCCGACAGCGACCCCAAGGCCAAGCGCGACGCCGAACCCTGGTGCATTTACCCAGGCCAGCCATGCTGGAAGAACAAGCGCAACGCCAGCCCCGAAGCCAAGGCCAAGGCCGAAGCCGCCGAGCAAAAGGACAAGCGCTGGTGCTTCTACCCCGGACAGCCCTGCTGGAAGGCCAAGCGCGCTGCTGATGCCGTCGTCGAGGCCCTCGGTGACGACGAAGAGGCCGAGGCTCCTCAGACTCCCAACTACCGTCCCACCCCCTGGGGCTTCTTCCCCGGACAGTCTCAGTGGAACCACTCCAAGCGCGACGACAAGCAGGTCGACAAGCGATGGTGCTTCTACCCCGGTCAGCCTTGCTGGAAGGCCAAGCGAGATATCGACGCCATCCGCACTGCTGCCCGCAGCATCACCGAGGCATAAGTGAGTTTTCCCTCATGAGTTTTGTGTTTCTGGCTTCTGACTCTTCTTTTAGACGTCCTCTCGATTCGACTCTCCGATGTGATTATTCGCTCTCGCGCAAGTATCGTCGGCAGTCTTTTATTCCATCATTTTCCTACAACATGGATAATCAACGAAAAGCCCCCAAAGGAGACATGCGAAAAAACACAACAGACCACGCAAGAGGAGGGAATACGCCCTTTTCTTTTTTCACTTCTTCAGCAGCCAAGAAACAGCTGCTTGACTTCTTTCTTTTTTGAATAACGGCGAGAGACGCAGAGTCTCCTGCTCATTTGTCAAGGCGAAAACTCTGCTTGTGGAGCATGAGGTCGCCCAGGCGTGGCTGGAAAGAATCGTGTTGAATAGTTTGAATGAACTTGATTGTCTCCATGCGTTGGTTGGATTGTGATAATGATTAATGTGAATTTGAGTGAATGGCCAGGTCAGCCTTGTCACGTATGTTGCAGTTGTTGGTATGCCCTTCTGGAGTAACACTCGCTCAGGGGCAGAGGCAGGCTTCCTTTTGCCTCACTGTGGATATCTCATTAACCGTGCCCCATGCTATTTGACTGATAGGCATCGTGACTTGACGTGTCACCGAGTACTGCTCTCTTCCAACTCCAACAGCCGGCGTCAGCCATTTGCTCTATAAAATTGTATGTACCCGCCACCGATCACAACTGTCTCTCAACCAGAATAACAATCGTCCAAGATGGACAAGGCGCGGTTCAAAGAATTAGCCCCTCATGGCAGACCAGCCTGCCAGCCTGCCATCATCGGACAACTACGGTGCCGTGGTTGAAAGGTCCAAGTTTGGGGGGCTCAGTCCCTTCAACCAACAACGTTGGAGGCATCGCGAGAGGTGTTGAGCGATACGATAAATTGACAAAAACAAAGCATGATACCAGGCGATGCGATGAAAGGAAAGGCCCAAGGTCGAAACTTTACTCCTACGGACAGAGTTGAAGCGCTGGCATCCATTGTGAAGCAAAGGCGTTGTCTCGCCTGAATGAGGGAGAAAATGATTGCCTCGCGATTCAGGCACCATCTTCGAATCCACATCGCGAAGATTGCTTGGATTCCCTCAGTTCTTTGACGGATTCAGCCGTTGTCTCGCATGATCCAGTGACAAGCCTGTTACCGTTGATACGCATAATCAAGGCAACGGCGCAAGTAGCGTTGGTAGTGAGCAGAGGCCTGACAGAACGCGTGCATCGACGCACGTGAAGGGACTTGGGCCAAGGTCGAACTCCCGGCGACGACTAGAGATGGCTAGAGCCAAGACAGAGAAGCAATGGGCACTGACTATTGCCAGTCTAGTCTTCAGGTTCTACAGTCACAATAAGACGAAAAATCTACGTCAAGATATGTACGTTCAATCATTGCGATCCTCCCCATTGGCACAAAAAAGGCTGGGAAGCACCGCACCCAAGACTGTTCGCTTTTCTCTCCCGTTCTGTGTTGCTCGGAAATCGGTGGTCCTGGGCACGAGTCTTGCGACTGCACCTCTCATCAATTGTAGTCAGAGAAACATGAAGGTTGTTATTTTGCGTTGTTCATGGAGAGGAAAGAAAAAAGAAGAGGAAAGAATTTTTCTTGAGGCTCGCTTTTCTACCTGCGCGTCGAGGTTTGTGGTGGGGCTGATGTTGATGCCTTGGGTTGGTGCCTGAATCGCTAGGCTATCATTTTTGTCCTCAGGCACGGGCGCTGTTGGTCTCACCCTGGACCGTCGATACGTCACCCACTTTACCCGCTCCGCTTGGGCACTTCGGCTGGATACTTACTCTCCACGGCAAGATACGTTCATCACTTGCTTGACTACCTACCTAACCCCCAGGTAGGCTGGCGAGGCTCCGAGTTAGTGGTCTTTAGTCAATATGACTTGCTTCTCTAATTATTTAGCTAATCGGAGACTTGACAGCTATTTCGAGGTATCGCACCAGCCCCCAAACACCGGCCAGCAAAGCCTTGCCCCTCCATCCAGTAAAAGGCAAAATGGACCAAGAATGGGCATCTATCTCGGTCCTTACCCACCCAGAATCAGTTTATCGACTGTTCAAACACCGCAGAGAATATTCTCCTCTTCCTCCGGATTATGAGTGGGAAGAACAGAAGCGACGTTACTCCCCATACGACCTGGACATGTCCCATTTTCAAGACCCATCTTTGAGACACCCGTTCGGTTACGTCTTCTGTCACCGAGGTCTTTACGAGCGTGCTTCGAGACGCATTGACAATTCAAGGTCGGCAGTCGAGAATGGAATCAATGAGAATTTTTTCCTTCATGAGGTCGATGCATTCATGACGAGCAGCATGAGCAACTCGTTCCTAGCCCATGATCAAACTGCGGATCGCGTTACGTCCAAGAAGGGCCCATGGGCGGCGCATCGCCTAGAAGATATCCTGAACACAGACCTTGTGGCAAGGGGTGTTCAACTGCCCGAGAATCCGGATTTTGGATCCTCTTACCTGAGGACGGAAGACCAGGTGCCTGGCCTGGAAGGCACCATTTGGCAAGAAAGAGTCAAACACAGCGGCCGCACCCTTCAAATCGACCTGAGGGACAAGGACTTTGCTAGAGGAATTGCATGTTATGCCTTTCACCTCCCAAAGCGTCCTTTTCGCAACAAGTCTCACAGAGAGACGCAACATCACACACTGGCCTGGGAAATTTTGGGCTCAACCATGCTCAAAGGTTATAATTTGCACTTCGATTCTTTCCAAAACCTATTTGAGATGGTAAAGAAAGAGTTTGCCGCATTGGACCGGAAGCGAGAATTCCCGGAAGATGAATTCACGACAAACCACTTACATCAACTGCCGCCGTTGATCATGGTGTTCTACTCGGATCCAGTGGTCGAGCTCGCGAAGAAAACCCCTCCCAACAATTGTGCAGAAATGAGCTATAAACACATTCGTGACGTCTTCATGAAACATGTTTTGTCCTTTATCGATATCCCCACCGACAACGGGGTTTTCAACTTCATACTGGAGATCACCCATAGCGGTCTCGGCCTACTCTACGACAAAGAGACCGGAAAGGCCAGAAACCCTTTGACCGGAGACCCTCTGAGAGACCCACAGGTCATTTTTGACAGTATGGTGGACCGGGCCATGATCGATGTTAGCTTGGAGTTGAGAGAGAGGAATCCAAAGCTGCTCTTCTCTTCTTGCACACGGCTGCCCGACGTTATTATACAGGATCAGAGATACAAAGCGAACCACAAGACTGGAAAGCTGGTACCCTGGCCGGATGGTGAGAAGGGGATCGCAGCTCAGCTACGAGCCATCCACGGGGGTTTGTACCCACAATCGAACATGGTTGTGGCCGACAACCCGGTTGCGGAGATCGCTGCACGCACATGGATCGACGAGAAATCCCAGTCCACCCTGAGGAGAGAGGAGCTGTTGCGAGTTCCGTACTACGAATGGCTTAGAAGGGCCGGCGACGATGTCTTTGACGCCGTGTGCAAGCTGAATGACGACTTTCTACCAAACAAACTCGGGGAACCTACGGACAGCATTCCGGATCGTCCAAGGGTTTCATTAGACCTAGAGACTATCCAGTCTTGGTTAGACAATGCACATTCGAATGTGTCTGTCTCCGATGACACTGAGACTCAAGGCGATCATACGGACAGTGAAGATGAGGGAACCTATAGGACCCATTCCGAAACAAGTCGACTGAACAGACTGAACAGACAACTTTTCTTTGGGGAGTCCGACCAAGGCTCCACACTGCTGGTTCTAAGGAATGTCACGTATGTCATATGCGCTAGTGCCGCCGAAGAACATCGTGTACGTCAAAGCATGGCAGCTTACAGTGCAGCTGAACAAAAACATCTGGGGCGCTGATATCAACGCGTCGGTGGGATGGTTCGGAACTCCGCTATCAGTTGCGTGTGCAAAAGGCCACGAGCGCATTGTCCGGTTCTTATTGGACAAAGGTGCCAACCCCAAAGTCCCAATGAGGACCATCCACAACGCCAAAATCACCAAAATTCTCATGAATGCCGGGGCAGACGTTGGAGACGTGCCAGTAAGAGGGTATGCAGGCCCCCCACGTAGGCACGAATGGAAGATACTCAAGGGAAAAAGTAGGATGGAGAGATATCAGGCCACTAAACGAATACCCAAACCGCTGCCTAACTGCGGCTGTTTTTTATGTAGGGTGGACAAAATCATCAATGAAGATCACGTCATGGGTTGAGATCTAGTTTAGATAGACGCAAATAATGGTTGCAAAGATACCTCATGGACGCGAGAGAAAGCTGTTGGGCTGGGATGCCAGGCGAGGATAAGATTTAATGGATACTGTTATCTGGTGTCGGTAGAGGTGATAAGGCACAGGCATTTCAAGGGCCCAGATCAACGTGTGCGTGGAGGGTATACGGTGATATTTCTAGATTTGTAGCTAATAGAACTAACCCGTATGATAATGCAACTGTATTTTCGATGTGAGCAAACTTGGAGGCAGTGCAAGGCTGACTGACTACCTAAGGTACGGTCCGGTCCGCACGCCGCTGGGAGGCAGCCACGCCAAGGTTGGGCTGTAAATCGAGATATAACCCCCGCTGACTCCAGGATGCGTTGATTTGCATCAAGCGATCTTCTGTGTCGCTCACACCTTTGATCGATATTATGGACCAGGATCACTCTTCTGTATACAAACCTCTTCAGCACGACCAAATACGATTGGTCAAGTTTAATCGCGATGGCGGCACCGGCGGCCAAACGTCCGCTATTCTCGAGCCTTTCCCGCTTCAAGGGCCCGTGCCCCCTTATCATGCTCTCTCCTACACTTGGCTGTGCGATACGTTGGGTGTCGCCGCAAAAAACCACAACACCATCGAAATACGGAATCAACGGCTCCCGGTCCTCGATGCATTGCAGCCCTTTTTTCACGCCCTTAATGCGAAGGCTCCCCTGCTCGACAATACGTGGTGGTGGATCGATTCAATCTGCATCGACCTGGACAATGTAGAAGAGAGGAGCCAGCAGGTTCAGCTCATGGGGCGGATCTACCGCTCTGCTCACAAGGTCGTTTTCTGGCTGGGCAGGCAGTCGGCCGACCAGGACGGTGTGATCGACTTTATCGAAATCCTCAACAAAACCATCAGGAACCAAATACACAGCCCAGAGGAAATCCGCGCCATCTTTCAGCAGCCGGAGTACGAGCCACGCTGGGCTGCGCTGACGGGTTTCTTCCGGCGGAGATGGTGGACTAGGGTCTGGACACTGCAAGAATACGCACTACCCACGAGTGTCGAGTTCTGGTATGGAATGAGGTCCGTTAGCAGGACCGCCGTCGACGGTGCTCTGATGGCCGGAGACCAGTGTACGGGCGCCGCCTTCAAGGGTACCCTCGCCTTTCGGCACGGTTTCAACCGGAGAAGAGTTCAAAGATTATACGCCCTGGGCCAGGGCACCAGATCTGTCGCAGCTCTGGTCGCCTACGGGTCGTGCTTCGAGTCCACCGACGACCGAGATCGATTATACGGTATCAGGGCACTCGCCACGGACTCCTTTCTCCTCAAGGTCGACTACTCCCTCAGCGTCGAACAAGTCTACCTGAATTTCGCAAAGTCTTTCATCGACTACTACAAGTCTCTGGATATAATATGCTTCGCTTCCTTGTACAGCGCTGCTTCGTCCGGCTCTTCATTACCATCCTGGGTCCCCGACTGGCGAGCAAGGGTAGACCCTCTCGTGGTTCCGTTGATGGCCAGTCAGAGTGCAAAGACCCATATCGGCAACCTCCGACCTCCCGAGGGAGTTTCTCAGTCCAGCGACCTTCCAGTTTGCTATGCTGCTTCCAAGGACAGCCTGGCCGCGTACGAGTTTGAGGGCTCAAAGCTCGTCGCTCGCGGAACTGTCCTGGACACCATCGATGGATTAGCCGGATCCAGGAATTCTGAACTAGTCCAGAGTTCCGCGCCTGATTCAACACACTTGGAATACTCGCCGTCGGCCATCCTTAAAAGTGTGAGCAGAAGTCTGGTACAAGATCGAAGAGACAGGTACTTGCGATTTGCTATGCCTAGCGAGGAATTTTTCCAAGACTTCATGTGTCTGTGTAAACAGTCTATTTCCGAGGCGACACCTCTTCCCGTGCCCAAGGAGTTCCGGGAATGGCTTGACTGGACCAAACCTCTTCGGATCCGCGGACATAGTTTTGAGAGCATCTTGATGGACAGCAAGGAAGCCGAATTCAGCAGCAAATCATCATCGTCCGCTCCGAATCTAGACGAGTTCATCATGAACACATTCTTCAACAGATTCTTCGACACGGTCGTGAGGATGTCACTTCGTCTGACAGTGACTCACAGCGGACACATCGGCCTGGCTCCGGCTGCGGCGAGGAAGGGCGATCTGGTTTGCGTGTTGTACGGCTGTAGCGTCCCTGTGTTGTTACGGCAATCTGAATTCGGGGATAGCTTCACTTTCGTAGGAGAGTGCTTTCTAGATGGTTTTATGGAAGGGGAGGGTTTGGAGCAACCTGATTTAGCGGAAAGGGTGTTTTGTATCGAGTAAGAGAACCCCCTTTGGGGTATGGCGATTTCGGTCTGCCACTGCGATCGACGAGCATAATAGTGCCCAGGCCTTTGAGATTATAAGCGACAAAGGGTTTAATAGGGCTGGCGCGGCTTGTAAGATGTGAAAAAAAAAAAAAAAAAAAAAAAAAAAAAGGATGCAAATGTCACGACGGCTTTGGTTCAGAGGTCCGGGGACGCCGGTCTAGTGTTCTCTAGCACCTCAAGCATTAGATCGTGGCCGAGTACCTAGGTATTCAGCAGACGAATCTTGTTGATGCGATTGGAAACCTTTTTGTACTTCTTGAGCGCAACCGCCGGCTTGGTGAATGCCTTGTCAATTAATCAGAATACTCGGCCCCTTCTTTGATGCTTTTGTCGTTCAAGTGAGCCCGTTGGCTCATCATCACCGTGATCTGCTTGACGCGACCTTCGCCTCGACAATTTGAGGCTCTACATCATGACAAGAACTTTAGGAACGGCTTGATATCAAGTCCAGCATTCGGCGCCTCCGATGCCAAGAAGAGACCAGCGTTGAAAGAGGCAGCTTGGCCCTATGCCTTGACATGGCATGCATGCGCCGTCCCAACGCGACAGTGGTCCATGTATTTCTTGTCATGGAAATTCCACAAGCAATTGGCCTACCTGTAACAACACCAGCACTCCAGCAACATGGATGACCACCAGTTCCAGCTTTTGTGGCGAAGCTCGCGGCGTCTCCACAAACTCGCATGACGACAGCAAATAACAGCTCACGCGACCGAGCCAACTCGGAGCCAAGTTGCCGTTTGACGGAGCTTCACCTTGGCGGCTGTTAAAGGTTGACGCAGGACAAGACTATTATTACTTTGGCAGTGCATCACTTGAGAATACACGGTTCAACTGTTATATACAAGTCGGCCCTTAAAAGTTGACGTCCTTTCTCTCACCTTTTCATGGCTTACCCAGCCTCCCGCCCTTAGTCCCATATTCAGCTCAAGCTTAAGCTTACCTTGGTTGCCCCTCACCTGAGCTCACCTCATCTTCCTCCTCCATCTCCAACATCCTTGGCGACCGTCATATTCCTTAAACCATGGACACCATCACCAACGACATCGCCGCTCGCATCGGCGGCTTGAACCCCTTCAAGAATCGTCGCCTCAACGATGAAGACTGGGGCGAGGAGATTGACAACGACACCGTCGCGGGTGGTGGTCACAGCGTGCGTCGCATCACCACTGACCTCAGAGTCAGCAATGCTCTGAGGTCATTCATCGCCGAGCAAAAGATCTTATCCAAGAGAGATGCCGGCATCGACTCGGATGAGCCCACTAGGCCTCTCCTCGAATTCGTCAGCAAGCCGCACATCCATGTGCCTCCAGAGCTTACCGACAGGTCTTACCCTCTGCCCGAGTACTTTATCAGCTCCAGCCACAATACCTATCTCATGGCTCATCAGCTGTATGGCACCTCTTGCGCGACCGCCTATGAGAGCGCTCTGCGGACTGGCGCGCGATGTGTCGAGATTGATGTGTGGGACAATAGCGACGACAGGGACGAGCCCAAGGTTACCCACGGTTACACTCTGGTATCCAACATTTCATTCCGCCTGGTGTGCGAGACTATTCGTGACTCTGTCGACAAAGAGGCCGCCGAGGCGCAAAGCACGCCTGGTTGCCATGCCGCGCCCGTGTTGCTGTCTTTGGAAAACCACTGCGACGCTTACGGCCAGATGCGCCTGGTCAACATCATGCAGGACGTGTGGGGGGATCGTCTTTTAAACAAGGCTGTGAGGTATCTTGGCCACGAAGAACAAGCTGGCTCGGGTGACCATGTCAGACTGGGCGATCTGGGCGCCAAGATTGCCGTCATTGTCGAGTACCACTTCCAAGGCGAGCCCTCGTCTAGCGACTCTAGCTCGAGTGACTCTGAAGATGATGAGGAGGAAAAGGCCGCTAGGGAGGAGTACAAGAAGAAGAAGGAGACTGAAGAGCCTTCCATCATTATCCCCGAACTCGCCGAGCTGGGTGTCTACGCCCAGTCCGTCAAGCCGATCGACAACTCTTGGTACGAGACTGGAACGCTGGCCAACGGGCCTCATCACCACTTGATCAACGTTTCCGAGTCAGGCTTGGCTGCTCACCTCCCGGATAAGGCGGCCGAAATTTCGCGACACAATGCTCACCACCTCATGCGCGTCTTTCCCAAGGGTACGCGCATCTCGTCAACTAACCTCAAGCCTGTGCCTTATTGGGGCATCGGCGCCCAGATTTGTGCTCTCAACCTGCAGAACTTTGGTACCAGCAACCAGCTCAATGAGGCTCTCTTCAGCGGCACTGATGGTTACGTGCTGAAGCCCGCGGCCCTTCGCGCTGGTGGAAGTGGCAAGCTCAACACGGGACGGACTCGACGACTCAAACTTCATGTCGCGGGCGCCACCGACATTCCCCTACACGGCGACTCGGAGGCAGACGGCATCAAGCCGTACCTGACGTGCTCACTCTACCACCCAGACGACCTCAAGAACGACCCACCCAAGCGCAAGACATCCCCGTACAAGCAGCACCGCCTGGGATTCCTCCACCGCGGAGAGAACCCGCCGCCAACCGACCCTGTCTGGGACGAAACCCTGGAGTGGGAGTACGAGGAAAACGAGCTCGTCTTTTTGCGGATGCTCATCAAGAGCGACGACAGCTGGACCAAGAACCCCATGTTTGCTGTCGCCGCCGTGCGCCTGCTCTACGTCGTGCCTGGGTGGAGCTTCATCCGGATGTTGGACCTCAAGGGTCACGAGACAAAATGTTCGCTGCTTGTCAAGTTTGAGTTTGAAGATGTTTGAAGGGAGATGTTTGAGCGGACCCTTTTTATGAGTATACGATTGAATTATGAATTAGTGTTTGGTTTGCAATGTTTGATGAGATATTTATGCTTGATGAAATGTTTAAAGCGTATACCCATGTTTGGTGTATGTCGCGTATATACCTGTTTGAAAGCCGTCTAGTGATCTATCAAACATGCTACGTTCCCGTCACCGTTCTTTCAATTGATCGTGCTTAATAGTGATCTCATAGGTGCTGACGCTATGGCATTTGGTCCAGCCACATCAACCCACGACGCAGCCCCTCAACTTCCATCATCAACGACCATCTTACCAAGAGTCAAAGCATGGCAAAATCCATCTTCATCACTGGCTGCTCCTCCGGCGGCATCGGCTCCGCCCTCGCCCGCGAATTCCACTCCTGCGGCCACCACGTCATGGCCTCGGGTCGCACCGCCTCCGAGATCGACCCGGCTCTGTCCCCGCTCGGCATCACCACCCTCATCCTCGACGTTACGTCTTCCGAGTCCATCGACTCGGCTGCTCGACGGGTCAAGTCTGAGACGGGTGGTTGTCTCGATATGCTTGTCAACACGCTGGTCTCATTCATGTTATGCCTTTTGCTGATGAACCACTCGCAGAGGTTAGACGGTTGTTTGATGTTAATGTTTTTGCTATATGGGGTGTCACACAAGCTTTTCTTCCACTGCTTTTAGAGGCTAAGGGTGTGGTGGTTAACATTGGGAGCATCAACGCTGGATTATGTCCACCTCTTTTCGGAGCGTACAACGCTAGCAAGGCAGCCGTCGAAGCACTCAGTCGCACCATGAGGAGAGAACTCGCTCCTATAGGCGTCCGTGTGGTTACAGTAAAAACAGGCAGTGTCCGAAGCACCTTATTCGACCACGCGGAGGGCATCACGATTCCGGATAAGAGCATCTATGCGCCGCTGAGGGAATGGGTTGCTCGACGGGGGTATCTTCAGGGAGCGAGGTTTGTCGAGTTGGATGACTATGCGAGGGATGTCGTGGGTGATTTACTACGAGAGGATGTCAAGCCTGTTATTTGGAGAGGTGAGTTGGTTTGGATGGGAGACCATGATGGTGAGTTTGACGGCTTTATGGCTAGGATGGTACTAATTGTGTATAGGATTGGCAGTTTATCAAGGGATATGGACTTGATAAGTTGCAGCACACAAAGGAAAAGTCATCTTGAGACCGCCATGAGGTAGTGCAGGCATAAGTCAAGAACCACGGATCCATATGCAGCATCACAGGAGCACTGCATCTCATCGATTAGAAACATCGCCATCTGCGCACATAACTTTGACTTGAATCGCCTGATTATTTCTACTGGGTGAGGATGAACAGCGATCTCCGGCCGTGTCCGGTTGTTGCGGTGGGTCCGCCGGTCCCCGGCATTGAGATGTGCCCGGCTCGCTTCGGATCCGACTGGAGATGCAAGGCTTCGGAGACTTGATCTTGTTATGTTTTGCTGCTACAAAATCTTTAGTGTAAAATAAAACGTGCATTTCATAAATGAAAGCCCTGATACTTGCCAAATATGCACGCCCTGTTGACAAGCTCAAAGCTGGAGGACCCTGAAAGAGTGACTCTTAATCCACCGGTAGCCAAACCTCATACATGGCCATCCGTAAAAGACCCTGATTAATAAATCAAGGCTGATAAGTCCAAAGACAAGGCTTCATTTATGGCTGTGCCATTACAAATCCAGTCCATCATATCGACTCATGTTCTCCGAACAAGTCAACTTCCGAATGCCCTCGGATATAACTTGCGTCACTAAGCCACGCAACCCATCCCTTACAAAGAACAATAAAAACCCAATCCCCAGATCGAATTCAACCAACCTCATCATCTCAATTTTTAATCACACCCATATTCATCATGGTCCTCAACACTGCTGTCCAAACCATCGTCGCTAGCCTAGCGCCCTTTCACCTCCTCTCCTTCTCAACACTGCTGGGCTCTCAGCTGTATCAGACTTTCATCGTCACCAAGGTCGCGTTTAAGAATCTTCCTCGAAATCCTTATGTCAACTTTCAGAAGCACATTTTCCCGGTTTATTTTCACGGACAGGCACTGCTGCTGTTTCTCTCAGCCGTCACGTTTCCACCACACGGCCCAGTATCGCTTGTTCAGCAAAAGAGCGACTGGATCCCGTTTACAGTCTCGGGTGTTGTCTCGGTGTTGAACCTCTTGGTCTTTGGACCTAGGACTAAAAAGTTGATGTTGGATCGTGTCGATCAAGGTGAGCAGGTCTTTGTGTGTGGATGTGGACTAAGAACTGACAGAACAAGGGACCGTGGATAAGGCGGCAAACCTGGAGGGCCCCAGTCCGACGATGCAAGTCCTCAAGAAGAAGTTCTCCACGGCGCATGCCATGTGCATTCATTTGAACTTGATTGGACTTGGTGCTCATCTCTGGTACATGTGGAGGCTGGCCTCTCATCTCCAGTACCAAGATGCCTCTCCGTAATGCGATAGACACTATATGCTAGGTGCACGAGAGAGTTGAAGAGCATTGGATATGTGTATCTGGCTGGATTTTAGACTACTGGGAATTGTCATCTCCACTTCATACGTATCAATACACGGCTCGTCTTAAAGACAGAGCCTCTTCTTATAAAGCATAGTCCCGACCTAAATGCCCAGGTCTGCCATCTACATGCATGCATAAGGTCTGGGAAAGGAACTCTTCTCCCATGCACCTAGCCTGTCTTAGTCGAGCTAATACTTCACTCAATATATATTATCTTCCTTGAAAGGGAGCTCATGTGGAGATGGCGCAGGGTGCTCGGCCCTTGTGCACTTGGAGGAACGCTTCTCATCGACAGGTCCCTGAGATTATTTCTTGGCGATAGACCCTGGGGTATGTCATCTCAAACAGCGTAGCGTGGGAGTCATAGCTGTCAAGACATCCGTTGGTGTCTTATCATCCATACCGCAGCTGATCTATGGGGATGCATAGACCAGGGATAACAGAGTCCCAATGGTAGATATGCTTACTTCGTAGGTGGCGTGATCCAAGACATTCACAAGCTTAAAGACCCTTGGGGGGCGGGGAATGTATGGTAAGGCGTATACGACGTCCGGTCTCGGGGTAAATTCCCTTTTTCAAGATGGAGTGCATCCCATGCAAGTGAGATTTGACAGCTCGGAATTGTCAATCCGTCTCAACCACCACCACAGAAGCCATCCATACCCATATCAGTTCCCTCCATTTTCCCAGATTTCATAATCTAGCTGAATCAGCAAACGTTATTGTCTCGGCAGGATCTGCAACTACAATCATGCTGGGTTCAACTCTGGCTCAACGTGGGAGAATCCCCGGTCGGATGTCCGGCCCGTAGTTCCACACTCTGTCCAGGTGACGACTTGAGACCGTCACCGACTTACACGAGGGGGATGAAGAGCTATAAGTTAAGGAGCTGTCCGTTTCTTTACAAGATTAATTATAATTCCGTAATTCATTGAGAACCGTGACAATGACACAAACTGCGGTGACCCTCGCGACTCTTGATCCAGCCCACACCACCACCCACCTCCCAGAAATCCAACCAGAGCCTACAATTCATGATGCCGTTTCTGCAATTCCTCCATCAACAGCCGCTTCCGTCGCTCAGAGATGGAACGGCTCCAGAGAAAACACCCTCCGAACTCTATCCTGCTACTTCGCCTTTACCATCTACGGCATGAACGACGGAACCCCAGGCGCAATGGTCCCCCATCTAGAAAGCTACTACTCCCTCCCCTACTCCATCGTATCCCTCATCTTCCTCGGTCCCATGCTAGGCTGCATCACGGCAGCATTCACCTCAAACAGACTCCACCAAAAATTTGGCCGTCGTGGAGTAGCTGCTTTCGCCACGGGTTCATACGCAATCTCGTATGTGGGCATGTGTGTGCATCCGCCGTTTGGCCTCGTGGTGCCGCTGCTTGTCCTCACGGGGTTTGGGAGCGGGCTTATGAATGGAACGTGGAATAGTTGGGTTGGTGGGTTAGCTAATGGGGGTACTTTGTTGGCGTTTCTTCATGGGTGTTGGGGGGTTGGGGCTACGATTGCTCCGATTACTGTCGAGTTTTGTGTCCCTTTTGTTGTTTCTTTTTGTTGACTGTTAAACAGGTGAATGCCTTTGTCTCGAGGGGGTGGGATTGGTGGGCATACTACTGTAAGCTGCTCACTTCTTACGGATACAGCATACTGACGTATTCAGATCTCATGGTAAAGACAACAACTCAAACATAGAGAGCAACTATCTAACCATCTCGAAGCTCGGTCTAGCTATTGCCGCCGCCGCAACGACAGTGTGGTCTTTCTGGGCTGATTGCGGAACGAGTCACATTGCCTCATCAGGCCAAGCTCATAGCTTCACATTCTCGGTATTCAGAGACAAGGTAAGTTGATTCACTTGACACTCCTTTAAAGCTGCTCACTGATCTAGGTAACCCTCCTCTTCTCCGGCTTCATGCTACTCTACGTAGGCGCCGAAGTTACAATCGGTGGCTGGTTGGTAACCTTTATGCTCAACGTCCGCAACGGCACGCCCTCTGCCTCGTCCCTCGTCGCTTCCGGCTTCTGGATCGGTATCACTGTTGGGCGGTTCGCTCTGGGATGGATCACGAGCTACTTTGGGGAAAAGACTATGGTGTCGGCGTATCTCGTCGTTGCGATTGGACTTGAGCTGGCGTTTTGGCTTGGAAAGGAGTTTGTGGTGAGCGCTATTATGGCGGCGTTGGTGGGATTATCTATCGGTATGGTGATGCCTGCGGTAAGTACGCATACTCTCCTTGGCATTGGCCACGCAACTGACCCAGGTTCAGAGCATCAGGATGATGACCAAGATTCTCCCGGTTGAGAAGCATATTGTCTCGGTTGGCTTTGGCACAGCCTTTGCCGTCTCAGGAGCAAGCATGTACGTTGTCTCCATCCCATTATTTGCCAAAATCTCACCTTGTCTAGATTCCCATTCGCTGTGGGAGCACTCGCCCAAGCTGGTGGCGTCCAAGTCCTCCAGCCCGTCATCCTAGCACTATTCGCAGTCCAGCTTCTACTCTGGCTTTTTGTTACAAGAATGAAGCTCGACAGGGATGAAGACTCTTCTGCGTAGCGGGCTATAGCTTGGCTGTTAAACATGAGAGCCTGACATTACATGGTCTACTTACACTAGTCTTTGGATAGGTTTACTCTTGTCGATACAGACCACCTCTTTACCTTACAGACAGGCACAAGAATAAACAAGGGTATAGACCTTCCAGAGCTTGCAACACCACTATTTTAATACTGGCAATCAAGGGCCAATCCCAACCCAAATCTCATGACCAAAGCAACTTTTTCCAAGCTCACGCCACTCAATCAGACGGGAGGTAAATAGCCATCTCAAGACCACCAGTATACGCCGTCGTAGTCGTCTTGAACCCATTCTTTGGATCGTGAATGTACTCCAAAAACTCCTTGTACAGCATCTTTGCCCAGCCAGTATTATCAGCCAGAACGATGGCTCCCCTCTTCAGTCTCGGCTTGATAATCTCCAGCGTCGGCAGCGCCAGCGGCGTCCAGACTAGACCTTTGTCAGTACCCCTCCAACAATAAAGGGTGTAAACTCACTGTCGAGGAGTAGCATGTCAATTTGCTCCGGCATCCCCTCTTCTACCTTCAGCGTCTCCGTCAAATCACCCTCCCTAAGTTCAATCCACGGCTCAACCTCCTCCCCAGCCTCACCCCAATGCTTCCTCGCCCTCGCAGCCTTACTAGGCTCCTTCTCAGTCCCAATAACCTTTCCCGTAACAACATCCCCCCTCTTCCTCGCCTCCGTGACATTCTGCCCAACAGCGAGAGCAAGATACATGGTCGAAACGCCAAGACTCGTACCCGCCTCGACAATGTTGCGCGCGTCTATGCTTCGTGCTAGGAGGTACATGAACTGGCACTTGTCCTGCTCCAGGGCGACAAACTTGTCACGCATGTGGTCGTCAGATGAGGCTGTCCATGTTTGGCCAGAGATGTAGTAGCCAAAGATGCGGGTGAGGTAGAACCAGTATTGGGAAAAGGCCTTTTCTTGGGCTTCGGATTCGGCGTGCAAGCGGTCAAGGAGTTCGTGTACGCGAGAGCTGGCCTCGACGGCTTGAATAGCTGTTGCAGATGGAGCCATGATGAGAGATGATTGTTCACAATAACAACCTACTTCCCAAGGAAATATCACAGTTTAAATAGATGCTTTACTCATACAGAATGAGTCACTCTCATTCCAGCCACATACAACAGGTGTCATACATGGAGCATATATAAATCAAGATTCGGTTTAGACCTTGTGAATCTCATCTGATAACCCCGAGGCCGATTTCGCTTCCCCGACATAAAAGGCCGGTTTTACGGTTAGGTCGGCTCTTTCGTCAAGCCACCCCGCGTCTCTGGTGCCAATGGGAGTTGAAAGAGATGTGAAGCTACGAATTGTTACGTAGGTTAATTACAGGACAAGGCGGGGAAGCTGAATATAAGTCTATTGTGTAGAGTTATTGTGGTGGTGTAGGTTTCCATGCTGACTCGGGATGATGCATCGGCAGTTGGCTATCGTGTGCCCAAGGCTTGTTCAAACCATCCACACATAGGTCGTATTGGTCTCTGAGACCAACCCTATATTCAAACTTCAACTCCAATACACCAATACTCTCAAGACTATTTCACCCAACACGGCCTTGGTGGAGATGCTCCGGCCAGTTCACCTTAAGCCCGACAACGGAAGCCCGGTCTTCGGTCCAAAGCCTCCGACCGAACAATGACTCCCCTTCCGCTATCCACCCCGAAATCCGTATTCCTACCAATCGACACGAGTCAATTCACGGAACCCTTCCGCCCATGCACGACATAGAGACAACATCTCTCATTCTCCACAAACATGCCGCATCCCGTTATTCGACCGAGTAGTTCGCCCGTCACGTCGTCTCGTTTCCATCTTCGCCTGCCGGGATGCAAACGATAAACATCAAACATCCAGACTCGCTTCTAAACGGGCCATGCCGCATCCCGGGCTTCCGGTATGCATAAGCGCCCTTCTCCCAGCCTTGCTCGAGATGTAGGTCGTATAGATCCCCCTCTACTAAGAATATTTCTTCGATATAGTCGTGGACAAACACATGCTGTTGGTTGCGGGCGCCCGGCTGCCAGCGTTGCAGCGTCGTGCGCCGGCCTGTTTGAGAGTCGTGATTGAGGACGAGCTCGTCAACGCCCGGTTCTAGGGGTGTCCATTCGCGGTTGTACGAAGTGGTGGCGGGGTGGAATTCGAACTGTTCCATGGCGGCTTTCAACGGTGAGTTGTCGTCGTACAGGCGTCACAAGGCAACAAGTTCTCGAGGCCTAACTATCCCGCTTCACCTTATGATAGAGCCCAACTATATCATCCAAGATCTAGCTTGAAAATAATATTAATAAGCTTGTATGACAAATGAAGTAATGCTAATGGCTGATAAATCTTGTTTGAACTCATCGCCAATGTTGGCTTGATCAGCCGTGATCGCCTTTATTTTTGGTAAGACGGACTTCGACCTGCGATAAAACGACCTCCTCCAAAGATGACAGTCACAGCCAAGTGTAGCAGGGCTACTATCGACCAAGACGGAATGAGGCCTGCAATCCAGTCAGAATGCAACCCCGCAAAGAACACATGCGAACAGCATCAGCCCTGTTCCCGGTGAAACAAAGATAGCGCGCCGCCGTTGGCTTGCTCGCACAAAGGGAGATGAGAAAAGAGAAGAGAAACCACGGTGAAATGAGCCAGGTCGAGATCTGCACCCTCACTCGGAGCTGAAATTTTGACCGTCCACTCGGACACCGACAGCACTGAGGCCCAAGGGTCATGAGGTAGCTAGAGCTACCTAGGCGAGAAAAGAAGCCTACTGCTACTGTTCTGCCAATCGGTTTGACCAGAACCACCAGCCCTAGGCGGACGCATGGCCAAGGCTGTCCTAGGCCGCAGCATCAAGCCGTTGGCCAGTTTTCCGTGTCCGAAACGACCAGTCAGGTCTGGGTCAGCACTTGACGGACCACAAACCAAACGCCCGAGGCCATCCTCAATCTCAAACACATTCACTTGGGACTTTGTCGAGGCAGGCTGCCGATCCGAAGGCTTGGGGAGTCACTTGACGGCTTGAAGGAAGCGGGATCCCTTTGCAGTGATTAGTTGCTTCATGCCGAGGGCGGGGAGACGTGTTACACAACAGTCAAGACTTCGTAAAAGGACGGCTCGGGGGTTGCACAGAATGTCACGAGCAGTTGAGACAATGCTCCCGACGATTCAAAGCCTGAAACAGCGTAGCCAGTCCTTTGGGTTTTTACCTGGGCGTTATCATATATAGGGATTTGATCTTATCTATGTTGGTTGCATCGACAAGGCATGGCGCGGGGGTGTGAATCAGTTATGGGTGTTGCGCTGCACAAGAGATCTCCATGACCACGAATGTCAACTGTTAAGCTTTCTGATGAACACAGAGTGCAACATGGTAGTTCTGCATTCAAAAGACCTTTGACATGTGCGTTGGTATCGTGGCATAGATCAAGTCGAATTGGTGAAACAAATCGACGGGAACCAGGACACCTGGCGTAAGCCACCCGTAAGACCCCAGTTTGCATCCATTCAGCTCAACCGCAGTGGGGGTTTGTTTGTCGCGAACCTCACCTCTTGTCCACCGCCAGATTGACGTTTTCCATCACGGGGCCTGAGCCAAGAGGTGTGGGCGGGGCGGCATTGCCAAGATCCCACGGCGAACAAGTGGACTGGACGATAGAACAGGCGAGGGATTTCCGAGATGGACTCAGCATGTGGGACGGGGAGCAAACGGAGAAGGGGATCAGCGGTGGTTAAGGGGGAAAGATCAGAGGCGTCAACGAGCCGATCGTAGGCGACGGCCACTAGAAGATGTTTCAATGACGCCGACCAGACGGGCATTTGTTGGGGAACATGATTTTAGCCTGTCGGTGTGTTGTTTTCTCTCCGGATCATCGTCGAGATCCTTTGACACCGAGTAACCGACGTCGCATGCGCACGAGGGGAGGCTGGTGAGTGACGCTGCTGCAAATCACCAGTGAGGTTGAAAGGTGAGTCGTGGCCGGCGCGTAAGACACGGGACAGTCCCCATCTCACTTGTTCAAAAGGCATTGATCCTACGGGACCCCTAAAACCTCGGCCGAAAAGGAAGCTCCGAAAATGATGCCCATCCATCGTGGCAAGGCGAAGCGAACCAGGCAGTCATCAGCCTGGCGAGGCATGACGTCGAGAGTCGGGACGAGCTCGTGAGCATGAGGCCACTGCGGCCATCCCTGGGTGTTGCGTTTCTGACAGTTGGCGTATCGCCCATGGATCTCACGATGACTTCACTCCTGACCCTGACTGCTTCGACCCAACCTTTTGCGGGGAATATCCAGGATGGACGCGACAGCAACTGTAGCGTTCGAGGGCCAGGATGAAAACATCTCTCGGTCGGTTGCTACCGTGGACCACTTTTTCCCACGTTTCTCTCGTAACTCGGTGCCCGTGTTGGACAGTGTCAGGAATGACGAGAATATTGCGATATGCAGGCCTGTCGACGCGCAGACGCGACGATCACCGTCCGACGAGGCCACTGCGGAAGTTACAGTATAGATGGTCACCGTCTTGGACTGTGCTGACCAGCTGTGAGAGACCCAAGACGGTTGTTGATTGGATCTGGATCTGTTGGAAGACGGCCACCGTTTCGAGGGCCTCTCCTCGTTGCGTCTTCGCCCTTGACCTGGAAGTTTTCTCCGTTCCCTGACCCGGTTGACGCGGAGGGACGCAGATCCATGACATCAGTTTGGCCGAAGGGGTTCCATTAGACCCTTGTTGCTGGGCGGCTCCTTGTGTTTCCGAAGCACAGCACGAATTTGTAACCTGGGCGCGTCTTGTGTGAAGGAAGGGAAAAGATTCTTGGTCCATTCCTCTCCTCGAGCGCGGGAGAGCAAGCCTGATATGCAAAGCAGGATGTCGTGAGTCCGCCTCGATATACCCCAGACAAGGAAATGCACATCACCGCTGTGAATCACGCGTGCTCGGCGAGTTATCACATCCCAATGTGATGCAGTGTAAGTGCAGGTACGATAACTTGGTGAAACCCATGGCATGGCTTCGGAATATTTGACTGGGGTCCCAACGTCTGCCGCTCGTAATTAGGAGGCGCAGTTAGCAGTTGAAAGATGATCGTCTCGGTGGGCGTTTGGGTCTGGCAGAATGGTTTCTTCGGGGCGACGTTTCGGTCAAAGATCCGCATCAGAAGGCGACAATCATGGCCAAACTCGGGATACCGACCGACACCGCTCCGTAGCATAGTAGCCGGCACTGTATAATAGACGGTCGAGTATTAGGTCGTCAGTTTCTGTTTGCTGGACATGCCGAGAGATCGGCTGGTCCCAATCATGCTAGGGGGGATTTGCGACGACCAAAGACGGGACGATTGACTGCGAGACTGTAATGAACAGGGTGAAGTCTAGGACTCTCGGCCGACGATCTGGCGCAGAGAAAAGGGAAGAGAATGGAATCATTGGCCAAAGATGCCTTTCCATCAAGTGGATGGAGCATGAGAGATGGTGGCTTGGTCGATGACAGCCGCTCCTCCACCAAGGGCCCCGTACCACGAGGTACCAAACGAAAGCCGGCGCAGTGGGAGGCCCCTACCCGTCAGAAGGGTGCCTGCCACTAGAAGCCTCACGTCCCGCCCCGAGCCCCCTCGGGGCTGAGCCAGTCACAGGCTCTCAGCGCTTCGACGCCCGAGGGGGTACATGGCGGGTACGGGGCCCATGTGAGGTGCCCAGGGTTGACTGAAGCAGGCCTCAACCGACCCCAACGCTGTGGGCTGCAAGGGCCAGCAATTGCGTCACAGACGCTGATCGCCAAATTTGCAGGCTTCTCACGGGGGCTTCTGAGGCTCGGGATGTTTTCCCTGTGGTTCTCTAGACATCTTGGCTGGGTTAGCGAGGTCCTTGGGGATTGTTTGCTTTGGCAGGGTGTCTAGCCGTTGCAGTCTGTGCAACCAAGCGAGAAACTCTGAGGGTTTTTTTTTCCTCTCCTCTCTGTTGACACCTAACGCGTCGCCTAGTGCCTCAGGTCCGTCTAGCAGCGAAAATCTCAATACCAATGAATGCATCGTGAGGTCAGTAATTCATCTTCAGGCGTGAAAAGTACGTACCGGCGCGCCTTTTTTGGAGAGGGCAGCCGAGTCGCGTGGGCGCTAGCGCTCAGGCGAGTTAAGTTCGTGCCACTGTCATGTTGTTGCCCGGTACGTACCTTTTTCTGCACTGTGATAGACGCCGGAGCGCGACGGCTGGGGACATTGGCTGCTCAGGCAGGAGTACTCAGCAGCAGGCAACCAGACAGGTACTGGACCCCCCACACACAGCTGCGGCGATACCTGTCCAGGGAGAGCTCCAAATGTACCGAGGGGTGACGATCCCATGTCCCATGACTCCTCACTCTGTCGTCACTTTCCTCTTCGGGGACCAACGAGATTCGTCCGTCTTGAAGCGGTGCCAGGCCCGTTCACTCTTTTTTTCCCAGGGTCTCGCCTCTCCGACTTCTCTGTCTGTTCTAGGGGCTCTCTCTCAAAGGGAAGAAGGAAGAGAGGACGGTGAAATTATCAATTCACGAGAAATCCACTTTACATTCCCATCCCCATCCCCATTTTCTTCGTTCGTTTGTCTTTTCCCCTTTGGCCTCCTCCCCCCCTCCCGTCCCGTCCATCCTCTTCCCTTTCTACTCTGGTCGGGTTTCTTCTTCCTGCCACCACCTGCCACTGAAAAAGAAGGGTCCTCCTCTGCCGTGTCTGCAACCGTGGTTTGGTCTTTTTTTGCCTCCCATTGTCATTGCATTGCCATCGTTTGCGCCGACTAGGAACTTGCCGGCTTCTTCCAACTTGTTGCCACTGCTGTCATTGGGGGTTGGTCTCACCAAAACACTTCTGCCGTCTTCGTCACTTTCTTTTATTCATTTTGACTTGTTCCCCCCCTTTTTTTATCGCTTCTTGACTTGTTTACTCCTCGTCATTATTATATCTCCCGCTACTATTGCTACCGTTAGTCCCCTCCCCTCCCCTCTCCCCCCTCCATCTCTGGCTGCATTCATATCCTTGAATGTGACGCTGCTCGTGCTGTCATCTTGTTTGCTTTTTATTCTTTCCTGCAGCTCCAGTCCAGAACTTGGTCGCTCTCCTCCATCTCGCTTCGTCAATCCATCCCATCCACTGACGCTTCGTGCTTCGCTTCCTGCAGGGTCGACACCACCTCCACTGTAATTCACTGCTGTCGCCGTCGCTCCGCTCCATCAAACGTACCACCTGCCTCGACTTAGCAAGCAAGCTAGCACTTACTTAGTTGGGCTGGGCTGCTTTCTTCCACCTCTTGACCGCCGCCCACCGCCAACAATTCAATTCCAGCCCCAGAGACACATTCTCAACCACAACCACTCTTCTGGATACAGCTCTTTTTTCAGCCACCGAAACTCACGACAAGACGAAAAAGTCCCTGCCGCTTCCCTGCCGCAAGCCACCTTTCCTTTCGCGACCGATTCCAGATCATCTCCGAATTCCATTGCGGCTAGTCCCCTCTCGGTCTCTCCGCGTCTCCGCCCTTCCAGAGGCACTCTAGAACAATATACCAGCCTCATCGCACGAGTTGGGTGGATCCAGAACGCTGGCCTCCCTCTAGAACCGCCCGCTACGAGATCGAGACCCTTGAACCACGTGGAACCATTGGCACTCGACCTCTACCCCTCTCGCCAGCTCTCTATCTTGTCGACGACAAAGTCCACGCGATCCCTCCTCCGACTTTCCTCACCGATATCTCTCTCTTCGAGTCTCGCCTCGCCTATAACTGTCGCGCCTCAATCGGGTCACTTGTTCTACTTTGTGGACGTGGCAATAGCCTAGTCAGCCTGTGCGACAAGTGACGACATTTGCGATTCACCGACTCGATCATCGGCCCGAAACATACTTGGATTTATATACACTGTCATGGCAGACGAAACCGAGCTCCGGCCTACTGCCTCAGAGCAGCCCCATCCGATTGCACGATCCGACTCGTCAGCTTCAACAAGCCCCTCTGATAGCAATGAGCCTGTCATTCACCAGCCCATCCCTGTACGACCTGGTCTGCCCACTCGGAAAAGCAGCGGACCCCTGGTAGTCCCTCGTGATAGCTCAGCAGTCGGCCCTCTGGAACCCGACTTTGGTCCAGATGATGTACGGGCAATGAGTCCCAGGCGAACAAGCGAGGACCTGGATAGGATGGGCAAGGAGGCCCGGGACGAGATGAAGAGGTGAGTCAGATGGATATGCTGCTTGGGCATTGCACTAACCATTCTAGACACGCCAAGGCGTTGCAGGATTCGCTGCTCACGATTTTCAACCGTATCGAGGCCGTACGCGAGGAGCACGACAAACTTGACAACAATAACAAGTTTCTGCAAAAGTATATCGGCGACCTCATGAGCACCAGCAAGATTACAGCCTCGAGTAGCCGCAAGAAGTGAAAGAGATGCTGTTCGCCAGCTACCGCCAAACCATACCGGCAACTCAGGATGCCAACATTACATTACCGATTCGAATAGCGAGACTCGCAAGTCTGCCTCGACCCTCTAGAAACTACAACAGTATACCTTGGATTCGAACTTTGGGGCCCTGCAAGGAAGGGCATGATACCCGCGCCTCGACAGCGCTGCTACTTCGTTTCATCATCTCGCCTTTTAGGGCTGAGCTCAGTATTATTGCATTTGACTGTACATTAACGCATTTATGAACCCCGGGAGTAGATCCCTCACGATGGATCGATCATGCGCACGGAGGGAGCGCACTGGAGCTTTGTTTTGGTTATTGGTTTTGCATGCAGCATCCCACCTAGCATGGTGTACCCAGCGTTGAACGGTCATTGGACCCCAACGAGCACAGGCGGCGTTCTGAGTTGACATTGCCCGAAGCCGGGAACACTTTGGCTAGGTCTGATGTGGCTTTTATTCTATCACGGTGTTGCTATGGATGTCGGTGTATTGTAGCTCCCGTAGAAGGGGGAGCGGGTTGGTTGGGTTCCTACTGACATACTGCCTGACGGCACGGAGTGAGGTTCGTAAAAAGAAAAAAGAGAGAGGTTCGAATTTTAAGAGCGTGAATGTCCCTCCAGTTCAGGGTGTCTGCCAGATTGATACCAGAAGAAGCTTGAGTGTCTAGATTAGTTGCTCTAGTATCAGAATTGACAGGGTTCAAACATATCGGATGCGTGATCATGTTGTCTGTACCATATGTGATGTCTTTGAAGCCTTAAAGGCAGTGACCGGGAATGTTCAAGGTTTGGAATGTGCTTAATTCGAGATCATATACATGCAATGACTTGAAGCCTTGACACCCATCAGCCTCAGTTCTAGATGTTCTAGGTCGAGGCTAGACCCCTACCCTGAACCCAAACACGACGCCTCAATTTTCAGCTTCCCCAACAATTCTCGCACAAATGGAACGAAAAGAACTTCCCTTGACTAGCTTAACCGATAATTCTGAGTAACTCGAAACGTTCAACATCATCAATATGCCCAAACATGCTTGGCAAATCGAACGATGATGTCTCCGCCCGTCCAACCGCGATACTTAATCCAGACTGTAACAGCCGGAGCAACCCAGAACAACACCACGTGGCATATCAGCCTAAACACCGTAGGCCTGAGAATTATCGCAGGTGTCATATATGACCAACACCCATTTTCTAACCGAGAAAGCAGTGTCCAAAGGCAGCCGACGAGGTGGAGATGGATGAGATTCTCCACGTAAAGCCAGGGGAAGAGACAGTACTAGATAATGTCTAGGATGGTCGTTTCTGGGGGAAGCGGTGAAGGTGGATTAGAGTGGTAGTCTATGAGCATGCAAGATATTACCACGACGGCTGGAGGAAGGCGAAGAATAGGACGAGGCCCATTGTTGGTGAGTCTGAAGACGTGGATTGATGATTGTTAGAGATGAGGAGTTGTGATGAAGCATTAAGGATACACAATGGGAGGTACACATGTTTCACTAACAATAGGCATGTTGTCCCCGGACAGAGTTCAAGGAACGCTGAAGCCTGTTACTCTTCTTCGCTTGATAGCGTTCACAATGTGTCCACCATTGTGTATCTGGCGGTGTAAGGCAGGACACCTTGACTTGCGCAACCTGGTCCACAGAATTCATGTCTGACGGGACTTTAATCCCGTACCTTGGGAGTTTGTGTTTCATGCATGCTATTGAAACGTAGTGCTTGGAGGGCCAGTGGTGAAGGGTGATTGATGTTGAGGCTCTGTCGGTAACGCTGGGGGTTACGGCAATATACATTGAGTTACCCGACTACTCCCGTTCTGATCGTACAGAAACCGTTTGACAAAGACAAAAGCTCCACTGAAACCTTTAAGCCCTAGAAATGTCAAAGTTAACCTTACTTTGTCCCAATTGCATCACTTGGCCAAACGTTCAAAGAGTTGACGATTGTCGGACCGACCTCCGATCAGCGAATAGGCAGAATTAGCGAGGTCCACATCAACATCGAGGACACCATCCCGCGCCCTGTTGGCCAAGTGGTAAGGCGTCGCACTCGTAATGCGAAGAGCGCAGTTTCGATTACTGCACAGGGCACGCGAGTCCCCTAGTCGTCTCAGACGGCTTTCTTTCTTTTTGCTTTTTCTTTCTTTTTTTCCCGGTAAACATTTTGAACCATCATGTTCTTGTTTTTTATTTTTAATTGGTAGTTTAATTTGGATCTAATCATCATGCTTTCTTCTTTTAGCCAATACCTCTTGTGTAGAGTTGATGTCCTCATGGTCTGTTCCTAGCCAATTGTTGTTGCCTAGTAACGACTCTGTATTCCGTCCGGATAGCACGTCGCTCCTCTTGCATAACCGTGTTGTCTGTCGCCTGTGTAATATATAGATAGAACGTGATCTTCTGTTGTTTGTAGTTACTACAGTCGCAGACTTTCACTTCTGTGATCCCAAAGTATGTCCGAACGAGGTCACTTGGACACTGGTCTAATTCAGGAACACAATGAGTCCTTTTGAACGGCTGTGCCTGGTAGTTTAACAAAAATGCCATGAAGTGTCAAGATAAATACAGCTCTCTCTCCTGTTACTGTTCTGTCTTGCATTCTAGAGTATCTATTCTCTAACCATCCAGTTTCGACTCGTCTGTTACCTGTCTCTACTGCACTCATCACACTTTCATTCCGTCTATCCATCATCATGGCATCTATTACGGGCTCCTCTTCGAATATTGTTGGCGGATGGGCCTGTCTTGTCTTGCAAGACTGGGACCAACGTGTGACGCATGAAAAGCTCCCGCAAGGCCTCGCCCCTCCTCTCAAGGTTCGAAGGGGTGAACAGGCTTGGGTTTTCAACCGGATAGGGGACTATGGTTTCGTCCATGCCCACCACGAAGAGACACACAAGCGAGGCAAGTCCTTTCATGCGCTAGCTATACTCTGCCTTCTTAGCTTGCTATGGAACATTTCTAACTTGAGTAAAAGGATGGGTTCCCCTGAGAGTCTTGCAGAGGGGCGAGCAGAGAGCCAAGCCACTTCCCATTGAGCTCCTGACCCCAACACGGCTCATGCAAGCGGGCGTATCCGATCCCGGCCCGTCTGAGAACACCCTGCAGGAGACCCTTCGTTGCCTTTGGAGAACTATCAAGAGCAATAGGTCCATCATCACTGAGATCGTCCCGGGCATGTCGGAAGCCAGCAAGAAGGTTCTTTTCCACGAGTTTGCAGCGCGATATGCCGATATCATCTACTCATGTATGCCTGTATACTCCTTTTCATCCGGCTTAGTTCTGACCTTTTCCTTTCTAGCCATTCTTCCGCAAGCCCGTACCATCATGAGTGGTGGATCGTTCACGCCTAGCCAACTAAGAACTCTGACACCGGTCAGTGGCTCTTGGCCCAAGCAACCCGGAGTCTATCTCATCATTTACGGCGACTTTGGAACCCGAAAGATCGGCTCTCGCGTGTATGAGGCAGCGGCGTACATTGGCCAGACCAACAACTTCCAAACGCGCCTTTCTCAACACCAGGCTCGGGCTCAGCTCGAATCGAGTTCCAACCACTACCGACTTGCCGCGCGAGCAACGCAGAAGAGAATGGTGCCCCTGATCCTCCAAAACACCAATCAGGTCCCCACTCGTTTCCTCGACATCGCCGAGTTCTCCATGGTCTGCCTCTTCCGGTCCTGGTACCCGGGCCTGTTCAGCCCCAGCGATGCGAACGCCGTTGGAGCGTATGCTGCTGACTTTGATGCGGCCCTCGTATTTTCTCGGCTCATGGACCAAGTCTCTTCCAAGACAGGTTGGGGCACGAGCCCGACATACGGTCTGAACTGGAACACCCCCATCCTTCGAAATGCGAAGATGGATCAGCAATGGACTGGTTGGTACCAGGAAGCCAAATCCATGTTTTACTTCCGATCCCGACGCCAACTGCACAAGTCAAAGGATGAATACTTCCTTCGCTGGTATGCATCCGAGGCCGTCCGAATTCCAAAGGAACTCTGGAACGAGGCTGGCTTCCAAGATGGCCAGACTGTTCACGTCCTTGTCGAACTTCGAAAGCGTGGTGACGAGTATCTCACTCATCCATTCCGATACATCCGTCTCCCTCCTACCGTTGGCAGAAACCCAGAATTGGAGAAGCTCAGGTCTCTGGCCATCAAGATCCAGTGGTTCTGCGAGAGCACCAAGAAATGGAAGCAAAGCTACCTCGAACGGACCAAGATTTGGTCCACCATGAGCAAGACAAACGATATCTTGCAGGCATACCGTAGGGGCCTTATGCTGCTCTGCGATGTCGAGGAGACCAGTTACAGCGGCTGCCCTGACTGGGTGTTTCCACGCTGTCCAGCCAAGGTCCAGTTTCTCCGCTACAACCACCTTGAGCAGAAGTTTGTTGTTGAAATCACTCAGCCGCGCGTTCTTGCTTGGCGGTGAGACGATACCATGCAAGAAAACACAGACCGTCTGAACAGCATGTTTCCTCGTAGTCAATTCCCAGACACCGTTGTTGGTGCCCACCCAGGCCCTGGTTTCTTCACTGGGAAAGCCAAGCAACGGGGTAACTGTGATGTTTGTATTTCTCAACGAAGTGTAAGTAGAACCATTGCTTGTTCGTCAGAAAACCGTCTACTAATATACTTAACAGACTACAAAGTGTGACCACAGTAGCGCTGACAATTCGTGCCGGTGCTGCAGAGCTTTGCACCGTCCTTGTACTTGGTCCAGAGGCGCACAGAACGTGGAGGATTTTCTTCAAGAAGAAGCGCTTGAGGAGCTTGGCATTCCGTTGAACCCGACAAGACACGCTGGTGCTCAAATCCAGGTAATGTCGAACCCCCCTTTCAACCCCGAGGTTGAGGCCGAGGAGCATGGTAGTCTAGAGGAATAAGACAACAGAAAATTGGTGGCGTGAGGGATGGGATTGCTTGCAGAGACGTGGAAAGTGTGGGTCACGAACGAGTGGCACATGGAATAATAAGGCATCATTCGTTGAGTCGGAGGGAAAGATGAAGTCGGGGAGATTGATAGCTTGAGATGTATTTGGCTAGGGAGATCATGTACCGTGTCATTGTTTGCTATGCTTGGTTCAATTGATAAATGTTTATGATAAGATGTTGACATGAATATCCAAGTAATTAGGTAAGTTTCAACAAATCCCATGTAAATCCCACCATAAAACGCCAGTAGAGCCGAAGGTATAATAGCGAGAAGTCAGGACAGATAAATACGCAGGACCTCTGTTCCTTGTTGTGAGTTGAGCGAGTTCCGAGCGAGCCACGCCGGGCGCCATCGAAGTAGAGGCGAAGCCAGCCATCTCGAAGTAGAGGCGAAGCCAACCCCCTCGAAGTAGAGGCGAAGCTGGGGGCTGTTGAAGGAGAAGTGAAGCCGAGTCTCGAAGTAGAGGCGGAGCCGGGGGCCGTTTATGAAGAGGTGAAAGCGGGTACCACAGTCGAAGTAGAGGCGAAGCCAGGTCTCCGAGTAGAGGTGAATCTGGGCGCCGTCGTCGAAGTAGAGGCGAAGCCGGGGGTCTTCAAAGGAGGGGTGAAACTGGGTGCCACGGTGGAAGTAGAGGCGAAGCCATTGTAGGAGAGAGAAGACAGATCCGGTAGAAATAAGCTGTCCCAACGGCATACATTCGTTCAAGGGAAACAGGCAAAGCATCGGCGTCGTGCTTGGACAACTGCTGTGTCAATGTTAGCCACTTCAGATACTTTTACCCAGGTACATGTGCCATGAAGGAACGTATGTTACTCACATGGAACCATTCTGGGGGCTCAAGACTCTACAAATGAGAGAGGTGTCTGCCGTGTGGTTCAAGTCTTGGTGGTTTTGGCTGGGCGTCGACTCATTAATCTCCCGGAGGGAGAATCGAAGTAGAGGCGAAGCCCAAAAAACCAAAAACCAAAAGACAAAAACGCCGAGGGGGAGGGGGCGGGGGCGGACACGATCGTCTAGGAAGACGGGGGCGACGACGAGATCAGACGGCGAAAGAGCCGTCGGCGGCGACGGGGGCGGGCCGGAGGGGAGGGGGAATGGGCCTCCGGAGAGGCGGGAGCAGCGGCGGGCGAGACGGCGGGCGAGGAGGCGGGGGCGACGGAGGAGGGAGGCCAGGGACCAGGCCCGATCGGCTCGGGCTTGACTGGCGAGCCTTTGCAGGCGAACGCCAACTCTTCTTCCGTTGCCTCCCCTCCTGGGAGGCCTGGCTCTCCGGGGAGAGCCAGGTACCTCTCCAGGAGGGCGAGGAGCTTGTCGAGATTGGGGAGGCGGGCCGGCATCTTGACGGCAGGTTGGTGTTGATGTCGATGTTTAGGGACGGAAGGGGAGGGAGACATGTTGGGCTCAACAAAAAGACGACTGGAGTGAGCCATTGTGCTGGATTGTGGGAAGGAGCGATGCGTGGAAGGTGCGGTCTGCTGCCACTCTCGCAGTTCTGGGAAGGTACGACCCCTTGGTGGTTGAGACGCGTTGTTGATCCAGAAAGGGAAGGAACGACTACGCGGGTTGGGGGGAGCGTCCATTGTGAACGAAACAAAGAATCTGACAATCTGGATTGCAAGATAAAAGCATTTGGAAATCATCTAGACTTGTGTGCATTGTTCTGAAATATTAGCCCGCTGTCGCCAAGTTCGAGGGCAGGCAAGTTCTTTGAATGGAGTCGCTTTGACGTGGAGTTTATGACATAGATTCCTGGAAAACAATTGAACCGGACTTTGTGACGCACATTTTTCTCTGGAGCCTGGAACTCGTTGAGGCCTCGCCAGTAATTGAAGGAACAAATCTGGGGTCCTTGTATATTCGTACATTACGCTATCAGTCACCTACGCGACGATCCTCCCCCCTTCCCTCCCAAAGCCCTCACTCTCCAACACCAACGGGCCCCCACCAGGGCCGCTCGCATCCAGGCTCACTGTGACGGCCTTCCTCTCGCCGACAGCGCGCACAGACTCGCCCAGGTTCCGCAAGTCCACCTCGCACCCCTGCGGCTGGTTGTCTTGCACCTCCTTGACCTCACGGATCTCGACACCTGGGTACGGCAGCCAGCCCTCGCGCAAAGGAATCATGATGAGCGGAATCTCGGCCTCAGTTTCGGCTGTCGACGATAGAGGTTCGCTGGATGACCCGGGAATGACAAAGTGGCCCTTGCGACGGCCTCCGAGGAGCCAAGTGTCGCCTGGTGCTACCACCTCGTAGCTGTACTCAATGTCTCTAGTGTGCTGGAGGTCCGTGTCCCATACTTGCGTCCACCTAAGAAGAAGCGTCGCAGGGAGCATCTGGTTGACAGCCACGGTTGGAATTGCTCCAGGCTGCTGGTCTAGGAATTCCGTCACTGGCGTCTGAAGCTGGATGTCGGCCGTGTGTAGGATAGGAAGCGAAGGGATCTCGACTGGGATGAGGATGGTGGAGGGATCCTCTGGCTGGTCTGTAGGGATCAATACTTTGGGATGAGACTTTTGCCAGCCCTTGAGCAAAGCGGTGATACTCTCAGAGGCATCCTCTTGTGATCCTGGTACCTTTCCAATGCCAGCAAAAGACTTTTCCCATGGTACATCGGCTAAGAAGTGGGTAGACACCGCCCTCAGCAACGCTGCTCTCTCCAGGTCTTGCGTCTGTAGCGCCTTTGTCTCCTTGACAACCGCTGTCGTGATGGCCCTCGCAAACGGCTTGAGCGGAGTCTTATCAAGGGTCTCGAGTATGGATCCCACAATCACCTCCTCAATCTCGGTTTGGAGCACAGTGTAGTAGAGTTTGAGGTACATGGTCTTTGCAGCTCGCTTTCCGGGTTTAACGCCAGCCTTTCTCTTTATCCGGTACAAGAGAGTGGCTGGCTGTTTAGAAAAGATCATGGTTGTGCCAGTGGGCGGAACTCCAAACTCTGACTCAAATAGGTCTGAAGGGATCAGTTCGCTCTTGTGTAGTCGCAAAGGGCTGTGGCTCGCTGTAGAGACGTTGAAGCGCGAATAGAGCGCCTCGTGCTTAAACACATCTTGGACATTGACGCCCAACGCCAGCGAGATGGGAACCACCATTGACTTCGCAAAGTGGTACTTTTCGCCAGATTCAAGGGTATACCAAACATCGACCTTGGCAGATACGTCACCAATATCTTGCTCGACCGAGTACGGGAATCGTAGAGTAAATGGAGTCTTGGCGGCAACCTCGTCAAAGAAGAAAACACCTCCTGACTCGGGCTTCTTTGCAAAATCGACTGTTGATCCGACCACCTTGGCTTCAATGGTTAATAGGCGGAGACCTCCTGTTGCTGGCTTGACTCGTATCTCGCAATTCTTTAGAGTGTTCCAGCCCGGATCAAGGGTAAGGTCCATGGTGTTGTTCTTGTCTAGAGCGGTATGCTTGGTCGCCGAAAGCTGGACGTCCAGCGCCCCAGACCGATGGAAGAGCACGACATCGGGATGTTTGAAGATATTAGTCGTTGATGGTGGCGAATGGTTAATGTCGCGTTCGAAGTGAAGGAAGAGGTTGCTCGAGGAGAGGCCGAGATGGTCGACCTTGTACTTTCCGGGGATAACAGACTGTTCCTATTAGCTTCGTCTTGAAAACGCCCAGATAAACTTACAGTGCAGTCCACTTTGATGCTGTTCATGCCCGGGTTCAGTACAATGTCCTCCTTTCTTGAGAACCTTAGCTCCTTGGCAGGTCCATTCTCGCTTGACGACACTCGTACAGCCACGGCATCCAGCTTGATCTCGTCTGGCAGTAAACTCCAGAGGTTGATTGTGAGACAGCACTTGTCTTCATCCTCAAAATACTCCGGGGCACCTGCTAGTTCGATATCCGTGAAAAAGTTTGACAGATGCACCTTAACTTGAGAAGACAAAGACGAAGCAAGGTCAAACAGATTGCCAACGATGCCCTTCATTGAAGTCGCATCTGCGGGCTCAGGCTTTCCAAGAGTCGAAACTCTCTTTGAACGTTGCTCAAGTCTCTCCTTCTCGGCTGCACACGATTTGGTAAGAAGCTTGAGGGCGACACGCACGTAGTCATCCTGCGACTTCATTTCGCGAAGACAGTGCAAGTACATGACAAGCATGGATAGCTCGAGCGAGCTCCATCCGCTTTCACCAAAGAATGGTGTCGCTCGGTAAAAGTAAGAGGCAGCGGTGGCGTATTCCTTGAGGAAGAACTTGAGCACAGCAAGATCTGCCATGTTGGCTTGCACAGCGTGGTCATGGTTCGCTACCGTGTAGTGTCGGAGTGCCTTGTCCGTGAGTATCTCGTAAAGTCGGTAGAAGTTATCCGAGTTGTCCAGCGCGGTTTGGAGTAGGTGGCTGTCAACACAAACTGTCAAAGGATCGGTATCTTCCGGTCCGGATGCCTCAGACGTAGCTTCGTCAGAAGCAGGAGGCTTGTCATCAAGACTGATGTCTTCAAAGTCGGCCTCTGCTTCTGCAATGATAGGCGCTTCGTTCCAACCGTCACTCCACCCGCGCTTTTTCCCTAGACTATCGAGGATGCTCCTGGATAGCATGTAAAGCTCAGCGCGTCTAGCAGCCAAGTCCTCGAGGCCAGCCTTGAGAAAATGGGCATCCTTGTCATTGTTGGTTTTCGGCATGCCGGGTCCAGGGAATATGCCAGGGCTTGGCAAAGGTTGTGAAAGTTGCGGTCCTGTCTGAACATGGAGGGAGGAAGTTCGTGCAGGATGCATCATTGTCTTGGGTTCAGGAATAGATGCCTTCTGCTCAAGACTCTCGGGAGGGGCGAGTGTTGATGGGGGAATTGGAAGAGCCTTTGACGATGTCTGGGCGAGGATCTGCTGCGCAACGGAGAAGGCGAACGAAGCGACAATGTTGTCCATGATTTCGGGCAGGTGAGGATTCGCGAGAAGACCGTCCTTTTCATCTGCTTCATCTGTCGTCAAGGCAGTGAGGATATCTCGACGCATAACCTGAGACACTGCTGGGATGAATTGTAGTGTTCTTCGACAAATCTCGGCCAACATAGACAAGTTTTCAGCCTCCTCAGTCTGTTTAGGGGGAGGTGCCAGAGGCGCAACACCGTGTAGGACAGAGTCTTGCTGTTCCTTAAGCTTGGCCAGTAACTCCTCCCGCGATGACCAAGCATTGCCGAGTCGCAAGAGCAGAGCCATCTGTCGAGCAAATATGTAGCATCGAAAGTCAAAGACGGAAACGTTGTTAGCCAGAATCATATCCCGATAGGCTTTTTTCGTTGCGCTGATGGGGATCTCGTCAAATTGTTCCTTGATCAGCTCGTCTGACTGGAGGTCAACGGCTTCCTCATCCTCCACGTTTCCACTGACACTGGCGAGAGCGGCTGTGACCGACTTCTTCAGTTCCTCTGTGTAGTTGAGCATGGCCCCGCCATGTCGCTCGGGAGACCCTTGGTCAGCCTGCTCGTGGATGACAGAGTCAAGTCCAACGCTGAGCTCATCGTATCCGACCAACGCGTCCTCGACAAGACCGACACTCTCAAAGCCTCTTGCCAAACCCTCTTTGAGAATGAAAAAGGTGCAAAAGTTCCATCCCGGTAGACTTCGCTGTCCATCCTTTTCTTTAATGTCCTCCTCATACTGGGTTACTCGCATGTCGAATGACATCAAGATGAGAGTCTTGAACTTTCCAATCAACTCATTCCAGGCATTTTCGGCATCGTGCTCGTTCTCTGAGTAGCCTGTCGGGACAGCGGGGACAACTCTAGGTAGCTGATCGTATGGGAGGTCGTTGATGCCGATCCTGATTTGCGCAACTCGATCGAAAGGGGTCTTTGGGGTGCTAAAGTCTGCTCGCATCTTTTCTAGAAGAGGAGTTGAGCCAGTGCGCCATCGTGAGGTGGCCTTTTCCGCAGCTCCCTCCGATTTACTGCTGGTCCTTGGTTGCGTCGCGGCAGCGGTGTTGGGAATGACCACATGCACGATAAGCCATTCAAAGGCATCGTGCTTCTCCTGCTTGCTGCTTTTCTTAGAGTTGCTTGAAGACGGCGTATGTGTCTTGATCCACTCTCTGACTTCTGATCGGACAGAACCCTTGTAAGAATCGTTATCGTCGCATCTCACGAGGAGCACCTTGAGATAGGGCGTGCGGCGCAGGCCAGGAATCTGGTGTCGTCGCTGGCTGCCGATAGTCCTCGAGGGTATTGATGCAGTATCTCCTTGCTCAGTGGAGGCCGAGCGACCACCGAAGGTCTGCGTCTGGAAGCCATCGTCGATCGTACTGCCCGAGCGTCGAAGGGGATGTGGTGTTGTTGCTGATGCGGGGTCGATTCCTCCCTGAATAAGTTCGACATGGAGACTATCAATAGACCGCAAAGGTCCCGCATGCGATTGCCAGTTGAGATTGTGTAGAGGAAGTCGGGGGACTAGCCCAGGGGCGAGGAGCTTGTAGACATCGTGAGGATCGAAGTACTCGACTTGCGACAAGATGTCATGTTAGCTGAGGCTGAGGGAAGGGGGCGATTCAGTGGGGGTAGAAAGTTCAAGTCGCACCAGTCACTTTTGACGTCGAGAATGGCTGTTCCATGGCAAACAGCTCGATTCCACTCTTGTCATCGTTCTTCGTCCACGTATCTTGGGATGGATCGTCAGTTTTGAATCGCTAACCTGTCCCAAACAGCTCCGCGAGACCCCTGTTTCCCGTTCAGGCAGTGAGCTCACCGCCATGCGCCGGAAGTGGGTTTCTCCGGGTTCAGGGCGGTGAGATAATGGCGCTCTATCATTGGCCGATTTCCATGACGCCACTGAAGCTTTCTGGCGGGGTGATGGCAGAATTCTTGGAGGGGCAATAATTCAAGCATTGGGTCTCAACACGTTGAGCAACTCCAGCATCAATTCATCTTGAACTTTTTCTCTCAGATCGATATTTCTTGCAGAGAAGTTCCAAAATGTCTACTCTTCAGGCTGTCAAGTACATCCGCGGCAAGCTCGAGGTTCTCGACCAGCTCCGACTCCCTCACGAATTCCACTACGATGAGGTCTCCAACAGGACCGAGGCCTTCGACAGCATCTATACTATGCGAGTTCGTGGCGCCCCGGCTATCGCCATTGTCGCTGCCCTTGGTCTTGCAGTAGAGCTTCATAACGGAAGCTGCACAGCTTCATCCGCTGAAGAGACTATCGGTCAGATCGAGGAGGCTCTCGATTACCTCAAGGAGAGCCGACCCACGGCTGTGGATTTGACCAATGCTATTAACCAGCTCAAGGCCAGGATACGGGAAGTTGGAAGCACCGCGACCAAGGAGGCCATCATTTCTGCTTTCATCGAGGAAGCAGAGAAGATTTTTGAGAAGGATCTGAAGACCAACCTGTCGATTGGCGACTTTGGTGCCGAGTGGCTTCGCGCCCAAGTCGGCGCTTCCCCCGAACAACAGATCTCGGTCCTCACCCATTGCAACACTGGATCTCTCGCCACCTCTGGCCACGGCACTGCTCTCGGAATTATCCGAACCCTTCAAGCCAAGAAGCTCCTTCACCACGCCTTCTGCACCGAGACTCGTCCCTACAACCAAGGAAGTCGACTTACTGCCTTTGAGCTGGTCTTTGAAGGCATTCCTAGCACCCTAATCACCGACTCCATGGCTGCATCTCTTTTCCGCACCCGAAAGCAAGAGAAGAACATTGCCGCTGTTATTGTTGGAGCCGACCGAGTTGTGCGCAATGGCGACACTGCCAACAAGATTGGCACGTACCAACTGGCTGTTCTGGCCAAGCACCACGGAGTCAAGTTCATTGTCGCGGCCCCCACGACCAGCATTGATCTTGAGACGGAAACGGGCGATGGCATCAAGATTGAGGAGAGAAAGAAGGAGGAGCTTACGCAGGTCACTGGAGCTGTGATCAAGCCTGATGGTACCGTGGACGAGAGCTCAAAGGTGCGGGTAGCCACCGCCGACCAGAGGATCAACGTGTGGAACCCTGCATTTGATGTTACTCCCGCCGAGTTCATCGATGCCGTGGTCACTGAGAAGGGTGCTATTGAGAAGGGTCCTGACGGCAAGTTTGACTTTAGCCAGATCCTGCCAGAGCGCTGGGCCAAGATCACTGGTGCTTAAACACCACTTATTATGACATGACTTTTCTTTGAGTATATAGAACGGAGGCATCATATCCAACATAGACTAGCGGGTGGAATTGGGTTTCAGACAGGGACAGCTTATTGCTTCAACGCATGGAGGATCAGCTTTTGGAAATCCTCTACAGCCGTCTCAAGATCAGCAACGGTCACGTTTTCTTGCGCGCCATGTGCCACCAGAATGTTTCCTGGGCCATACAGATACCTCGTTTGATCGCCCTTGAGATTGGGGATGTCGGTTCCGTAGTTGACGACGATGGTCTCGAAATCTGGGAGTGTCAGCAAATGTTAGGACCATGGTATGATAGACGTACCCTCGACATCACAGTTGGCCTTGACGGGACCGTATCCGTGGCTGCAGTCAAAGGTAAAGGCGTCCTTGTCAATCTCATCAAAGATGGCCTGAATCTTGTCATGGACGAGTTGATGTCCGTCCTCTTGCTCTCCACTGGCGACTCGCACACCAAGTCCAACAACGGCCTGCTCAGGAATGACATTGGCTGCCACACCTCCGTGGAAGCTACCAATGTTGACAGTGGTGTTTCCAAACAATTCACTGGTACCAAGGTCCGTATCGAGGATCTTGGCAAATGCACGGATCATGAGCTCGTTGGCCGACTTTCCGAGCCATGGGTAACCGCTGTGTCCAGGGAAGCCCTTGGTGGTGACATCACAGAACAGAGCGCCCTTGTGTCCACATGCGAGCTTGTTCTCGGTGGGCTCTCCAAAGATGACAGCGTCCAGGTTGTAGGGAAGCTCCTTGCTAGCAAGAGCATCGCTGAAACCTCGCATGCCGTCGCCGGTCTTTTCCTCGCCGACGACAAAGAGAAGCAGCAGCTTGCTGGCGTCAACCTTGCCCGCCTTGAATAGCTCCTCAACAGCGGTGATCTGTGCTGCGACGCTGCCCTTGGCGTCAACGCTTCCCCGACCAGAGATTCTCGTCTCCTTTGTAATCTCGCCCTCTTCGATTCCGTACGGGATATGAGGCGGGACGACGTCAATGTGGCTGCTTATAGCCACCTTGGGATCAAAGTCGTCGCTCGGTCGCCATGCCAGCACGTTGAACCGATCCTTGCCCTCAGGCGTGTTTTCGAAAGGGCGGATCTTTTGGCGCGACGTGGAGTAGCCCTTTCCAGCAAGATAAGACTCGAGCCACTCGCCGACATCGTGTTCAGTTCCAGAAATGGACGAGATCTCAATCAGGGACTTGTGCAAGCTCAGAAGCTCCGATCGGTACGTGGGGGCATCGCTCGAGAGGGGAGCTTGGGTGGATGCGCCGAGGGGCTGCTGCTGGCCAGAGCAGAGCGCGAAAGACGCCGAGGCGAGGACACCGACGAGTGAAGCGACGCGCATCTTGAAAAACGTGTCGTGGTGTTTACGGTTGAGAGATAATTCGAGGGTTAAACTGCGAGGTTGGGTTTCAGTACCTACCTAGACGGGAGCTACAGCGGAGCTCGGCCTAGCTTTACCGAATGACGCAAGTGGCCCGGTCCCGATGTCGGGACGATCCTCATTACCTGCGCACCCTGATAGATAATCTAGATAATCTCGAGGTGTCTGCATTGTGTGGGGGTACTCTTGGCAATTGATGATAAGGCATTGATCTGAAGCTGTTGATATTGATGTTAACTGCTGGTTTGTTGTTTAATCTGCAAGTAAGACGAAGCTATGGCGCTTAAAGTCGGCTTTAATACAGGAACCAAGCCCTTAAACTACTATCCGGCCAATTCAATGACACTGATGAATTCAACAGCAATATGCACGGGATACTCGAGGTCATTAATCCCATAGCTCTCCCTTTCTTTCACATAGCGCTAGTCACATATCTTGAACAGTAGAATAAACACATCAAGTCAAGTAGCGATACTAAATTCTACCACCAACACGATTGAAAGAACTATGAAAGACCTTCAAAAGCCATCTAAGCAATCCAGAACCAAATCTTTTGCCAGAGATTCTTGGGCACAGGACGCTCATCCAAGGCTGCCAGCTCTTCCATCTCCTTGACGCCGGTGACGAGATCAACCTCCTCCACTGGATACGCAAACCGCCAAGACCTGCTATATATCTTGTGACCAATGTACAGGGCAAGGAAGATTGGCAGAGTGATATAAGCAGCAAGAAAGTCGGATGCGTTAAAGTTGCCAGGGAAGAAGACTTGGAATCCGTTGGTCAGGGTGAGAAGGATGAGCAGGACCAACATGAAATATGTTGCATAAGGCTGCAGGTTTGTCTTGTATGGCAACGTGTGCATAAGTCCTTGGACCTGTAACGCCTTGCGGAATCGGATAAATGTGATCATGATGAGGATCCAAGCAATGAAACCACTGATGGTCGTAAGGTTCATGAACCAAGTAAACACTTTGGCACCGCTGTTGTTGACGTTCAAGAAGCTCAAAATACCGATGGACCAGGTGCACAGGATGGCAACCCAAGGAACACCCCTTCTGTTGGTGTGTCTAAGGAAACGAGGAGCTTGGCCGTTGATTGCGAGACTGTACAGAACACGGCTTCCTGCATAAAGGAGGGCATTTCCGGCAGACCAGGCCGAGGTCAAGATGGCAGCATTGATGATGTGGTTCAAAACTCCGATGCCAGCGTTTTGAATTCCAATAACCCAAGGGGATGAGTTTGCGTTGGACTCTGGGTTGAGAAGGTTGGGGTCGTTGGACGGGGTGATGATGCCGATCATCAGTGAGCCCAGGCCGTAGAAGATGGCGAGACGGTAGACGAAGCGGCCTGCTGCCTTGGGAATGTTTCGACGGGGCGCAATGGTTTCACCGGCGGCCACGGCGATCAGTTCGGGTGAGGTGATGTAGGCGAAACCGGCTCGGATGATGCCTGTCCAGAAAGCCAAGAAGCGACCTGTGTTCTTGTTGCTGTGTACCAAGTATGTCTTGACAGCACCAGGGTTGTTCCAGTATCTGAAGCCAATCCGGTCACCGTTGGGAGCTCCGCCAAGCATAATGACCAGACCAGTGAGAATCAGACCGACAATGGTGATAAGTTTGATACTGGCAAACCAAAACTCGGCTTCTCCAAAGAAGGAAACGGCAATAATGTTGAGGCCGAGAATGACGACAAGGTAGATGGTTAGCCAGACAGCAGAATGGACGTTGGTATTCCAGTAATCAAAGAGGATGGCGACGGCTGAGGCCTCGGCACCGATGAGCAACGCATAAGCCATCCAGTAGTTCCAGCCAGCGGCGAAGCCCAAGCTCGGGCAGACGAACCGATCGATAAAGTATGGGACCGTGACACCTTTGACGGGTAGCAGAGTGGCCATTTCTGCCAGGTTGTTCATGATGTTCCACACGATGAGCATCATGACGATGTAGCCAAAGAAGAGAGGCAGGGGTCCGACGATGGAGAGGGTTACACCCGAACCAACAAATAGACCAGTTCCGATACTGTAAATTCTAGTTAAACATGTTTCTTGACATGGGTTTTCAGGGGTACATACGCTCCACCAAGAGCAAGGAACTGAATGTGTCGACTCTTGAGTCCACGTTCAAGCTGATCATGTTGGTAGACGAGATCAGAAGTTCCTTCGGCAATGGATCGGAAGTTGACATCCTGGGGTACATCCCCCTGCCCCTTTGTTTCAATGTCCTTTTCCATGATTTGATGAATATTGGCCGAATTCCAGAAGAATGACTCGAATAACTTGAAAACCGCTGCTCACTGCCTTGCAAAAACAAAGCTGAGTGTGTCCCATCTCATCCAGCGGTGCAACGTCGCAGTATTTATAGATAACATCATGTTGTCCTGTTTAGGGTTCCATTGGTTCTGACTCGAGTCAAACCAGGGTGTTGGAACTGACCTCGCATCCTGACATGCCTGCTCTCACCATGTGGACCACTGAGGCTGATTGACATGAACTGTTTGCTCTACCCCGGATTCCAAACAAGCGTCGGGACGCCATCCCGTCATGTCGGGGAGCGACCCCATGATGTCGGAGGGCCCACCCGGATTTATACGAGCTACGCTCCTAACAGATATGGAAAAGGCAACTCAAGATAAAGGATGTACGGCCATAGCTCTGATTGGCATCTCACCCTTTCTGATATCCTCGGCCAACTACCCAAGGTGGAGCCACGTGGGTCGAGATAGTTGAAGTCTCCCTTTGACCAGGTAATCCCGGGATCGCTTACCGCTTCCCCTTGTAGTAGGCGTAATGCGGGGTGATAAAGAACCCGGCCTAGGTTTCACCGTACGATGGTCAAGGGTCATTCTTATCTCACACACCTCGGGTGTTACGGGGGATGAACTCCTGGTTGTGGCGGATGGCGGTAGTCGGCTGTTTAAGCTGAAGGTGTCGGGTTGCGGCACCGACGATCTATCAAGACAGCGAGTTTGTCCCGAGGCCGAGGTTGATTACACTTGTGATTATGGTTTGCTGCGAGCAGGGCATGGTTCTTACAAAGGATGATGCAGATCCACGTAGTCACGGGCAGCTGTCAAAAGGTTGGTCCAGGGCTCCGAGGTCAGCTATCCCTGCCAGTGCCTGGGATACATTATCTCACGTTCTTTCTTTCACAACTCGATAAAACTTTAGAGAGTTTTATGAAGCCGGAAAGAAATATCCTTCCAAGATTGATGCTGTCTCGTATGGAATGATGTTAGCCCTTCTCTTCACCCTAGAACGGTTACCTATCCCACTATTCGGACAATGAAAACTAACAGCTGGCATTGTCCTCAACCTAATACGTTGATTGAAACTTGCCAAGGCAGACTTCTTGGAATATGTAGCCAAGACACACAATACGGCAGTTGAGCTTGGCCGCTTGGCGCCAACCGGAATCTCTTGACATTTACCGGAATCGCCTGCCGGTTCTAGAGGACGTATTATCTGGAGATGTCACGTGGCGCCCAAGTCTATATACTTGGAATTTCTCGTCTTGGGGATTGTCAGTGACTAAAGTTTTCTTCATAATCACAAACAGCTTGTTGAGTTTGAAAAGAGGCCAGCCTGTGCCGTGTCGCCGTGTCGTCTTTCAGCCCTTTTCTGCTCCACTTTGACTCGGTTCCCTTACCCCTCTGTAGGTAGAGGGCGCTTGGCTTGAGCATACATAACTGCACCGATATCAGAAGATGGTTTCCTGGACGGTCTAGTTTCGAATAGTGACACTATTGGAGTCGCTTTAACTCGCAACACACTCCTCGATATTACAGTAAGTTTCTCCTTCCTGGCTGCCCACACAAGACAAGAGAGCTAACGTTGATGTCAGGAACGGCTCTGTCATCTTACGTCCGACTACGAGCTCTACGCAGAGACTTGCCTCAACTTTTGACTACTTCAAATCCAATACGACACAATGGGCTCTCTAGACGAGTTCACATTTTCCGGGACCTCCTATGTCCAGGGCAAGGCCACAGGAAGGCTCCTTGCCAGCAACCTCGAACTTAGCTTCTGGGGAGGCGTCGACCCGCACAAGAGCGAGATCATCGACCGACATCATCCCTTGAGCGGACAGCGTCTTCAGAACTCGATCCTTGCCATTCCAGGAGGTCGAGGCTCTTGTACCGGCAGCGGAATCGTGCTGGAGCTCTTGCTCAACGGAAAGGCACCTGAGGCGATGATTTTTGAACGACGTGAGGATATCCTCACTTTGGGGGTTATGATTGCTGAGGAAGTCTTTCAAAAATCAATTCCGGTTGTGGTCTTGAAAAAGGAAGACTTTCGGGAGCTTTTGAAGTTTAATGGTCGCGATATCTACGTTGATGACGGCCACATCTCTACCAAGGAGCTTCCAAGGCAAAAACCAGACCCTTCAAGCAATGTCAAAAGGGATACTCTAGATCTTGGGACTACGCCAACCTTAGAAGGTGTCAAACTTTCCAGTCTTGATGCGGCATTTCTGAAGGGCGACTGTGGAGAGGCATCACGTGTGGCAATTCGCATAGTACTGCGCATGGCCCACGTACTTGGCGCTACAGAGTTGATGGATGTGACACAAGTCCATGTCGACGGATGCGTTTATACCGGCCCTGCAACTCTGGCTTTGGCAGAGAGACTTAGGGACTGGGGAGGCCAGGTCCGAGTCCCAACGTCCCTCAACTCCATTTCGGTTGATCAGAAACGATGGCGTGCTTTGGGTATCGATACGACGTTTGGTGAAGCTGCCGATAGGCTTGGAAAGGCCTATACGGATATGGGAGCACGACCGACCTTTACTTGCGCACCATACCAGCTGGATACCGCCCCCAAGCTAGGTGACCAGGTGGCCTGGGCAGAGTCGAATGCCGTTGTGTATGCCAACAGCGTGCTCGGAGCAAGGACCATGAAGTATCCCGATTTTCTCGACATTTCGATTGCCCTGACAGGGAGAGCACCCAAAGGAGGGCCTCATATTGATGCCAACCGGCTGGCCTCGGTCTGTGTGAAGATATCGGGGTTCGAGTCCAGTAAAGTGGTCGACGACTCGTTTCCACCCTTGCTTGGCTACTACGTGGGCTCCTTGGCAACGAGTCAGATCCCCGTGGTGGTGGGACTCGAGTCGTTTCGTCTGACAAAGGACGACTTGAAAGCATTCGGAGCTGCTTTTGCTACAGTTTCCAGTGCACCAATGTTCCACATCGTTGGAGTGACGCCAGAAGCTACAACACTCGAGACTGTGGTTACCCCTGATTTCACGTCTGTCGAAGTCAACTTTGCAGAACTGATGGCGTGCTGGGAAAAGTTGAACAGTGCCCCGAGGCATCAACCTATCGATCTGGTATCACTCGGAAACCCTCACTTTTCCCTTTACGAGATACGAAAGCTGGCAGCTCTGTGCCGAGGCAGGGAGAAGTTGGCGAGCGTTGCCATGATAGTGACCTGCAGTCGCACAACATACGGTCTTACCAGCCAAGCAGGGCTAATAGATGACCTGGAACGATTTGGAGTGCAGATACTGACTGATACATGTTGGTGCATGATCACTGAGCCGGCAATTCCACCAGCCGCAAAGACCATCATGACAAACTCTGGAAAGTATGCTCATTACGGGCCGGGACTTACGGGGAGAGGCATGTACTTTGGGAGTTTGGCTGGGTGTGTGGAAGCTGCTTGCAGTGGTAGTTATGATGCTGAGACGCCATCGTGGCTTGTGAGTGCACTTGCTCAAGATAGAACTAGAACTCGATAATTGACAAATCGGGTCAAAAATTATCGGCATGCTCTGTATCGTGTTTTCTTTTAAATTACTAAATATTCAAAAGTCTTAGATAACTGATAAGTAGCCAGTTCCATGGATCATACGGCAAAGGCCAATCCGTGGTGTGATAGAGGACTAACCCCTGAAGATATCTCTGTCTTGGCAAATAGATAACGAGACTGCTGATCATGGCCTATATTCTACCCTGGATCCAGAGAGGAAAATCACTCAGCTGGTCTACTTGTAAGATAGCTAAGCCCGATATTATCGGCCCCGGGTCATTCACATGTGGGGCCGTGTCGGGGATCGGGAGGTGGACCCGACGCCGGCCGATGAAGACGGACAACCGGATGCTAAGCTATACAAGGGAAGACGCTAACATTTGAGAGTGAATGGAGTATCGACAGCGACGAGAAGAGGACGAGAGATTAAGGAATCCTTAATAGTGATATACATAGGGAGAACATATAATATTTGATATCGTCTACTTCATCAATTCTTTATCAATCTTCAATGCATACGCCCCGGGCTTTTACTGATCCTCGCTGCCCACGGCAATCATGTCCATCCTAGCGCAGCCGCTGTAGCTAGCAAGATCAGCCTCGCTACCCACTCGCCAGTAAACGCCACACTCGAAGCTGGTGCTGCCACGCGCTCCCTGGAATGACAAAGGACAGGTACCGTCGGCCTCCTGCCTGACAGTGACGACCAGCTTTTGCAAGTCGCCAGAGAGGGGCTTGAAGGCCGGGACGGCGTTGTAGCTTCCCGCGTTGGGGTCGGACACGGCGAACTGGCCCGCCAGTCCTTGGTTCTGGGCCGTTAGAGTACCATCGTCGCCCAGTTTGAAGAGAAGCACGGGCCCGGCAGAGTCGATGCCAGTATAGCTCATGTAGTTGGGGTCGTAAAGCTTGTTACCCGTGTACTTGCCACTAGCGGCGACAATTGTAAAGGTAGGGGAGAGCGCGGTGTGAGTAGAGGTGTAGGTGGTTGACCTCTCAACGATTGTCTCGGTGTAGACGGTGGCCACGAGCTGGGTGCTGGTCTTGGTGTCAGTGGCAGTAGCCTTCTCAGTAGCAGTGGCCTTTTCAGTCGAAGGAACCTAGGAGCGCGAGTTAGTGAGGACTTTGAACGTGAGATGAGATGGGAGCTTACCGTGGTGACAGCAGTGGCCGTCTTGGTGCGGAGGGTAGTGGTTGAAGTGGTGGTCCGAGTTGGAACGCTCAAGCAGTTGCAAGCGTACGAGACGGCCGCAGGGTCAGCGTAGTTGGCAAAGCACTTGGGCTTAGGGATGAGACCGCGCTTCTCTTCACCCAAGGGATCGATGCCGTGGTCCTCCAACCACGTGGGATCGTTCTTGTAGCCGGTCGGGTTGGCTGCGCGCCTCGCCTTTCGGGTGACGGGGTTTGCACAAGCAGTAATGGTGGTGGTTGAGACAGCAGAGATGACCGAGGTGCTCGTAGTCTTTGTCGAGAGAGTACTAGGCTCAATGGTGGTTATAGTTATTGTGGCGTCGGTGATGGTCTGTGTCGAATCGACGACTGTAGTCACGCCCGACGTGACGGTGTTGGTGTTGGTGATAACCCTAAAAGATGTAAGTGTCTGCCGAAGCAGAGGGAATAGATGCGATCATACTTGGTGTAGGCAGTCACCGTTGCCGTCTTTGTAACGACAGGGATGCTCAGATAAGAAGAGCAAAAGGACGAGGCAGGCAGCTGTTGACGAGCCACAGTAACCAAGGTCTTGACCACGGTACATAGCAGACCGGGAGGTCCACTAGGAGGCTTTCCCCTCACACAGCCCTTGAGAGTATCATAGTACTGGTTAGGGGAGCACTTGGCGGGAGGCGGCAGATTCTTGCAACCCTTGGCAGTATCCCAATACTGGTTGTTGGGGCAGAGACCAGAAGCGGGCAGCTTGGGGGTAGAAAAAGCCGAGGCAGAACCTGCAAGGCTCAAGGCGAGCCCGGCCACAGTATTGAAGTGCATGATTGGAAGAGTTGAAGATGTCCAAGGTAGCCGAGTTGATGAAATCTCTTGACGCGAGGCATACGGACTTATATACACTTACTTGGCGGTCTCGCCCATCCGCCAAGACTCATCACCTCGCCTAAATAAAGAATCCGGGTCCACGTTGCAAGCTGAACTGTTAGAGGCGTGAATATTGAAGCTGAAGACGACGCATGGCAATAATATTCTGGGGTTATGGGGTCGATGGAGTGGGACCTCGCCAACACCCCTGCCAGGTTGAGGGTCTAGACTCTGCATATGTGCTGTAACCCAAGAGCCGTTTTTCATCGCACTGCCCTCTCTTTTTGTTCTTTCGTCATGAGCTCTAATAAATGATATGAGATAAATGATGATATCATTACCCCAGACCCGTCTTCCAACAACGGTTTCAAGACTTGAGTGTCGTCAAGAGACCAGTTGGAGTGGCGGCGCTTTGTCCAGCCCCAACCGATAAACAAGAGGTTCTAGACTCGATCCATGCGTAGAGATTGATGACCTGCACGACTTTATCGATTTCTCTTGCGCACCAGCAGTCAATAGCTTCAATAGCCCAACGGCCCTACCGACCAAGTAGCCACACCAACAAGTAAAAGTCGGCCCACGCAGCCCTTCCCGTGACCGTCAGATTCATGCGAGAACAAGTCTTGGGCCGGTGTATTCTAAAACTCCGATAGATACGTGGCGTAAATAACCTTAACTTGTACAAGCGAGAGTCGTGATGCGACGAGGTGGCTGGCTGGTTAGCACCCGTCAAGCGTAGGTGGGCCGAGGTTTGGGAAGTTCGGCGAGGGCAGACACTGTTTGAGGGCTACGGTTGTGCGACAAACGGGCGCCAAGTCACATGAAGAAGAGCTAAGACGATTGAGGGTGTTTAGTCAAGTGTAACAAGAGCCTAGGCATGATGCAGCATTAGTAGGTTTATACACGAAGGAGGCGTCACAATTATGAACGGGAAATCATGGTTGCGGCTTCAATTTAGGGGAATTAAATTAAGAGTCGATCAATCAAGATCAGAATTAGATACATCAGAGTCGTTCATACAACTCCCTCATAAGATCATCATGTGAGTCAGGACATCTACTCAATGAGGACCTGCTTCTCCTTCTTCAAGCTCTCAACAAAGCTGACGGACACATTGAGAGTCTGAGCGACAACATCAGGAGGAGTCAGTGCGAGCCACTGAGTAAGGGAAATATCGGCGACGCGCTCCGACTTGTAGACTTCAATCCAGATGAGATCCTCATCCTCGGAAGTGTTCTCGATGTAGTGTCTAGAAGTGTCAGTAGATGCCTCGCTATCAGGGTATGGGTACTCACCCAGAGTTATCGGGGAAGGCAGCAGTGTCGCCAGCAGAAAAGTCAAAGGTTCGGGCAGCAGCATTGCCGATAAACACAGTCGCCTTGGCCTTGCCCTGGTGAAAGTACAGCCACTCCTCAGCCTAGCAAACGTCAGTCAAACATCCCCAAACACAATCACGTCCACATACATTAGGATGCCAGTGAAGTTCTCGCAGACCACCAGGCTTGAGCGTAACAAAAGTAGCAGCAAGGGTCTTACTAGCCGGAAAGTTGGTCGAGTCAATCTTCCAGAACTTGCCGCCCGTGCCGCCAATCTTTTCCGGCTCGTGCTGGAACGTGCGGTAGACGAAGGAGCTGTCGCCCTCAAGCTCACCCGCGGGTCCGTCGGTGACGTTCTTCTTGCTGACTTCGCCGGGGAGGATGTAGGGGTTCGGGCTGGTGACGTTTTCGAATACCGAGGGGTCAACGCCAAAGTTCTTGGCGAGGATGTCTTTGGGGGTGTGGTTGATCCAGTCGTCGACCATGAATGTAGTGCTGTGGGTTGTTAGTAGTTATTGGGGTTAAGAGAAAGTGGAAGACTTACCCAATCTTGTCAAAATCGGCGTCGTCAAAGACCAAGAGGTACTCATTCTCATCGGCGAGACCCTGAATGGTGTGGGCAGCTCCCTTGGGGAAGTACCAGATATCACCATAGTTGAGAACCTCTTCTTGGTATCGGCCATTCTCATCAACGGCAGAAACAAGAACAGAGCCCTCATAAACAATACCCCATTCGGCCTATTCGTGTCAGTCAATCATCGCAGACAAGGCTTGAGAGGAACGTACAACACGGTGCCAGTGAAGCTCACGAATGGCGCCCTTGACCAAGTGCTGCTGGGCACCAGAGATGTCATGGCTAGAGGGAAGATCCTGGATGACTTGCTCACGGACCCAACCACCCTTCAGAAGACGAGTCTTGGAATCAGAGAAGCTCCACTTGAGGTTGGGAACAACGCCATTGTCCGTAGGCTGACGACCGAGGTTGTCTGGGTTCTGGAGATCGAGCTCCTTGTTGGTGCCGCCTGAAATCGTGTAAGTAGCTATTGAAGAAGCTTCAAGTGTATAACGTACCAACGATGATGCTACCCTTGCCCTTGCCATCATATGGCTGGCCTTTGGGAAAGCCAGGTTCGCCGGATGAGGGAGCTGCAGCAGCAAACTGCGTTCCGTAGCACAAGGCTAGGGCAGAGGAGATGAGAGATGCACCCTTCATCTTGATCGCAATCAAAGAGAGTAAAAGAGAGTGGGCTGTGAAGGATGGGTATCTTGGTGAAGAATGACACAAACACCAGAAGTGCCACACAAGATATCTTATACTGTTCGAGTCCTCTCCCAATTCTCCAATCACCGCGATCAACGCGCTGGAAATTATCAACACCTCACGCCCTCAATCCCGCCATTTCTCACTGCCGACGTCACTCACACGACGCGGGATGAACAACACCTGCCGTCTCTCAAAAAGTCAATGATCGTCAAATGTCGTATGAAACTATTGATTAAAAAGTTCACAAAGAATCGCGCCTAATAATTGCGTCTTTCTCACCAAATTACCTACCACATCCGTCATGTCGTGCTCGAGAGTGCAACCATCACGACGAAGCCGTCTCCCGGCGTAGGAGCCTTCCGAATGTGCGGAATGACAGGATCTGCGAAATCACTGCCAAGAAGGATACAAGCGCGCTTATTTCCCAGTTCACACACTAATTAAAAAAGATCCTTTTTGTCTTAGAAGTGTATGGTTCAGTGTGAGTGGTAATGTGAATCCGGGGTTGTCGACATTCAAGTGCGGATAACGTGATTGATCTGCGATGCTAGCTGAGGCTCAAGACGGGGCGGACGAATCAGAGGCTTGCGCTGTGCAATCACGTATAAGCATACATTCAAGGTAATGAATATCGTCTCCTGGATTTCTGGTATTTACGGCTTGTTCCTGTTGATCAGCTTGGCTTGATCGAAGTGTGAGTTTACATGGTTGAGCTGAGGGGTGAAGACTTGGTCGAGTTGGGTCTTTGAACTGCCCTGAACCATCACATTTACAAAGGACCAATTACTTGACAACAGGCCCGTGTGACGGAAACATGGATCAGCGAGCTCAGACCGTAAAACCCCCACGATACATCCATCGCGGCATCAACCATGACCCGCGCCGCGTCGGTCCATCGGCGTGGATCCCGGTATGCCAGCTCACAAGGGATGGAAGTCGCAATCGCACCTAACAAGGCGTTTCTCCCCAGAGTCAAAGCTACAGCGAAGATCCCTCACGCATCGAGCCAAGGCAAGGATGCTAGACTGCCAAGCTACATCCCGAAGGGGCCGTCTTGGCTGTGACCCCTGGTCGGCCTGTTCAACTACCGGTCTCTCGGGAGTACGGGAGGTCGCTGGTGGTATAAGGCTGATTGCCTATTTAGTCGAGCTGAGAGTAAATGCCGACCTGACTTTTCATGGTCAATACGCGCCGAAAGTGATGTCATCCGTTAGAGCTGTTGATCCAAATATCCACGACAACTCAATGACACACAACGGTGCACACGTTGTTGCCGTTAACCTTAACATTCACTCGTGTTGGTTCAAACTAAGCAAGACAAGCGTGTCTACCGTATGCTTGTCTCAGCTTGCCTTTTCTGTCCGGTTCATGCACGTCCAGGGGATAGTGGCACTCTGAACAAGGCAAGTGAGCAACGTAGCAGTCCCAGTCTGGCGGCATCAAGGTCCCTCGGCGAATGACTGTTGGCATCAGCTACCGGTACGTCACATCACCGAGAGCCCGACGCAGTTGCCTCCAAGTCGCTTTGCAGATCATCACCGACAATGATCGGATGCCTGGTGTCCCTCGTCATGACACCATTTAGACTAGACGGTATTCAGGAAGAGAGCAGCAACAACGAGGCTGTAGCTTCGGAAATTGTGATAGCCGTGAGATGAAAAATTCATCATGAGGTTGAATTGTGTCTTTGTGAGGCTTGATGATACAATTCTTGATGTGAAAGTGAGTGGTTGGTGTTGATGAATAGGAGATGGCATCAAGGAGGAACCGGCAGTTCACCAAGTATATAATGCTTCTAAAACTCCCTCAAACTTTCTCATCAATCCAGCTCACATCTTCAACTTGCTCACATCCTCATCACAGAGTGAAAACAAGCAACTGGAACTTCTTTGACCATGCCCTCTCTCATCTCCCTCACCACCCTCCTGGGAGCCCTGGCCTCTCAGGTCTCGGCCTCTCCCGCCAACCTCGACAAGAGGTTAGGCCTCAGTCTTCCTCCCCTGATCCCCAAGATCCCGGGTGTCACTGAGCCTTTGGCCGACAATGCCCCTCCTCTGCCCATTCTGCAGGTTCCTACACCTCCTTTGGACAGCCCACCTTTCAAGGTGTCCAACATCAAGCCCAAGAAGATTGGATACTTTTGGACTGGTGCTGGTGATAACAAGCATGCCGATTTCCTCGTCACTGCCAGTTTGGATGATGTGAGTATTCTTCTACAAAACCCTGGTTGCAGAATTAACAAGTCCTAGGACACCTTTGGTGAGATCATCTACATCACCGATGTCCCCAGCAGTGGCAACTCGCCTCACCATCTTGGATCATCCCTCGATGGCAAGACCCTGGTGGGCGGTGGTCTCCTGTCTCTCCTAAAGACTCAGGACACCGCCTATTACTTTGACACCACGGACCCCTACCACCCCAAGTTCGACCACAGCAACCGAGGTATTCTCAGCTCCATCGTCGACGAGATCCGAGCCAAGCCTGATGGGTAAGTCCCTCTTTTCTTGTCGTAAACCCCCAGCTAACAGAATTAGTGGATTCTTCATCACCTACATGGGCAGTGCTGTCGGCACTACTCCTGGCCGTCTTGTCGAGACCGATGCTGGTGGCAACATCATCCATGAGTGGCCCGAGGATGTCAAGGGTACCCTCAACATTCTCGGCGAGCAGTTTTCGCCCCACGGTCTCAGTGTCGACTTTGAGAAGAAGATTATTCTCACCTCCGACTTTGTCGTTCCCATCACCATTCTGAAGCCCACTCTCGGTATCAAGAAGGCCGACACTCTCCGCCTGTGGGATCTCGACACTCGCACTATCATCTCTACCATTACCATTCCCAAGGTGAGTATCCTCTAATGAAACAAAGATGCAGTATCTAATCAATCACAGGGCCAAGGTATCCAGGACGTCAAGTTCATCCCCGGTAACAAGGAGAGCGCTGCCATCGCCACGTAAGTCACCCGAACCCCTCATCTCATCTGCCTCTAACACTCTGCAGTGCTGTCGGCCCCGGCCAAGCTTGGATCATCTACCCCTTCCGCAAGGACAAGAACGGCAACCAGGGTGTCGCTGAGCTCCTCTACGACTTTGGTGACAAGGCCAAGGAGAACCTCGCCATCTACTCTGACATCTCGGACGATGGAAAGCTCGCCTACTTCACCTTTACCCTCGGCAACCACGTCGCTGCTCTCGACATTTCCGACCTCAACAACGTCAAGCGCCTGGATGACCCCGATGAGGACCAGCCCATCATCGGACCCCACTACGTCAAGATCTCTCCCGACAAGAAAAACCTTCTCGTCACTGGCTACTTTGTGCAGGGTGGAGATGTAAGTACCAATGACTCCAGTGACTTGACACCGCTAACATTTACAGATCTCCATCGTCAACACTCCCGGTGACTACAAGGGCCACTGGATTGACATCAACGATGATGGCTCCCTCAGCTTCAACCGCACCATTGACTTTGAGGACATCTTTACCAAGACCCGCGGTGGTGCCCGACCTCACAGTGCTGTCATCTTTGACCTTACTGACCCCAAGAACCCCAAGTACTACTAAGGGATCGCGGGTGCCAGGCTTTGGACGCACAGCAGTTAATGATGGGAGGTATAATGACGGATGTACTCTTCTAGGGTACTGGGATTGATGGATTAGCTCTTCTTGGTGCCTCTTGAGGCGGTTTATTTGGTGGATTACTCTGCCAGTACTTACTTTTGACGTCTTATTGCCTAACTTAATCTGATAATGCAACAATCAGTTTTTCTCAGAAACATCCTTCAAGCTCAAGTGTGATTGCCCCTAATCATCCCTCTCTGACAAGCCCCAGTGAGATTGTGAATTTCCGACAAACCTCCTGTGTTCACAGCTTTGCGTAAAGTAGAATTGCCTGGTATATATTCACCTATTCGCCAGTAGTAGCTGCATTCCTTATCTCGCCGTCAATTTTTGCCGTTCTCAAAATCTCGGTTTGTTCTTTGCCTTTCTTTCCGCTGTGCGATTCTTTGGCTTCAATAGGAGAGGACCAGCCAACTGCACCATCACCATCCATCACATGAGACAAACCTGCGCAGCATCCCAACTCAGAATTATGTCGTTCGGGATATGAAAGCCAAGTCTAGATAGAGAAGTCCTACATACCTCACCATCTCTATTTATAGAAGATTACGTCGAAGAACAGAAGAGGAAAGACAGAACGAAGGAGGAAAGTTACGAGACCCACCGGGTCCACTTATTCAAAACGGGGCCAGTCATTGGTCAAACCTGCCCCGAAACCTCGCCCCCTGCTTGGAAATGCCACATATACCTCAGTTTCACTGCCCCTTCCATCAATCAGCTTGGCTTCGTGGTCTAGTGGTATGATTCGTGCTTTGGGACATTCTCAGCTGCACGAGGCCCCGGGTTCAAACCCCGGCGGAGCCCTGTCCTTTTGCTTTTTCTTCTACAGATGAAGAACAAACTTTTTTTGATTGTGGAAAGGTTGTTTACACTCCCAAGCACGAGTGAGGTTTGCCCAGGCCTCCGAGCGATGAATGAGCCTCGTGATGCTCTCGAGGCAAAAAATGAGGGCCGGAGGACGTCTGTGAGAGGTGCCACGTCGGTGTTCTCTTCACAGCAACACTAGAGTCTTTTTGATCCCTTTTAGCATCAGGCAGTTCCCTTGGGATTATTTCATGATTGATCAATCCTATAGACCGTGTTTATCCAGCGTTCTTTGGGGGACAGCTTTGTAGGAGCAACTGTAGGTGTTGTGATCCGCTGTGTCGAACAAAGCACCCATCCCCACCATGACAATCCAATCTGTGACCGCAAACCATCTGGCGCGTTTGCTTTGGGTGTCTTGATGGTAAATTATGACTGTTGTATTTTTATGAGTTTTTGGGGATGCAAATACAGACTCTGAAAGTGTTGCAAACTATGTTATTCCCATCCCGATGGTCACCGTCAACCCTACTCTGGCAACAAAAGCTGGCCTCGCGAAACCGGCGCCGCTTGTCCAGACAACAACACGGAAGAAATACCATCGCCGTTCTCATTCAGCACAATATCCACAATAATCTTGCTGTCCCGGCCAATCTCAGACCCCTGGTCGAGGTAGAATCTAAACGCCTTGTTCGCGCCTCCTTCTTGAAGAGCAAGATACGTGGTCAGCGAGCAGGAACCGCTTCCGCATGCCGGATCCTCGAGGTTGATGGCAATCATGCGTACACGGAGGTCGTATACTCTGCGGCCTTCTTCGTCGCGTGTTCCCAGGACGCGGTAGTACATGGTTCCCACAAACGAGTCAGACCACTCGCTGTCCAGAGGAACGACGGGGCATGGCCCGGGGAGCACGCCGGCAAAGCTGTCGGCGTTGTCTGTAAAGTCGACCAAGACGTAAGTGACGCCCTTGACAATCGACGAAATCGGGTAAGAATCCTTCAAAGTGTCGGCTGCAGCAGCCAAGCTACCCTGCGTATCAAGGACCGCCTTCTTTGGAGCCTTTGCCTCGTGAATGTGCACGTTGTGCGGGATCTGAGCAGCCACAGTCTCGGCCTTGACATCATATTTGAGAGTCACGATACCAGCATTCGTCTGCACGTCAATCGACTCCTTCTCCAGTGGCTTCGCATTCGGACCCGACAGTAGCTGGCGGAACAAGACGTGTCCACCGCCAATAACGGGGTGCCCCGCAAACTCCATCTCGTTGACGGGAGTAAAGATGCGGATCTGGGGTGTCCCGGACTCGGGCTGGCGCAAAAAGATTGTCTCGGAAAAGTTGAATTCGCGAGCGACTTTTTGCATCTGCGTGGCCGAGAGGTCTACATTGTTGATGTCGACGACGGCGAGCTGGTTGCCGGTGTATCTCTTGTTGGTAAAGACATCGACGGTCACTGCACAATTAGCATACGCGACAACGGTTTGAAGTAGATGTACCTACCATATGAAGTCTCAGAAGCAGACATGATGGCTATTTGATGGTAAATATTGGTGTCGATGGGAAGAGTAGAGCTCGACAGGCAGGACGAGAGGTCACTTCTTAAGACGTCAAGATCAAGTCATGGCCACTTGCACACACTTTATTCCTGCGACCTCGGAAGTATCCAAGCTTGACTGACTCACCTGATGGCAGGGGAATCTTGCCTATTGCATCCTGAGATATCGCAAGATACCCTTTGTTGTGGATCTTGAGACGTATGTTGGCCAATGAATGGAGCAATGTCCCCTTGAAAAGGCGAAATCGACCAATCCTTCGGGCGTAAATGACAACCAGAGGTTTGTCAGCGAGTTTTCGGGGTCTAGATCTAGGGTAGTTTCGGCCGAATGTCGAGGGAGGACTACGATTTACTTCGTCATCAACCGAAATGATGGGATCATTTCGATCTAGGAACGTGATTATATCCAGATAGTCTTGAACATTCATCTGCATTACGGTTTACACTGTCTTTGTGGTTTTGACAAGGTAGAGTAAAATGTGTAAACTATCCCGGTAACCGTCGATGAGATCAGTTCCTATTGACGTGCTTCGCCGGAAGGTGGTCTGATAGAGGAAGCAATAACTAAATATACAAATTCGCTAGGAAGCTATACATAACCATGATAATCCGAATTCAAGCATACTGAAGGAGTGGCATAAATCCGATTGCTTGCCTCTGGGGTTAGGTTAGTCACATGACTAACAGAAACGCGCCATATTTTCACGCGTCTATGTTATACATGACTGTGTTGCCGTACGTTGTCTAAAAAGAAAACCCGATATTTCCAAGAAGAGAGTATCGTGCGTGTCATCTGTCTCAACACCATGAACCTCATCAACAACTCTACCAAGCGACCAGGAAAGAATCGGCAAGAGCGGCAAAAAGAAACTCCGGTACAGGGAATCGAACCCTGGGCTCCGCGGTACTAATCCCTCAGATTATGAGAGCGCGAAATGTTAGCCACTACACCATACCGGATGTTAGGCTTTGTTGAGATGCGGTGGAGATATTGGGTGTCTAGTCTCCTCTACTCAGCCCGCCACCCAACAGAGCCGGGATGCTACCTTCAGGACGGATGGACCAAGCAAGGTTGGACATCGAAACCTCTTAATGACTACCTCTTGCATCGTGTTAGCAAAGGCAGATGTTACAGCGAATGGTCTTATCGATGGAAGTATGCTTGACTACTTTCTACCCAATGACTCCCCATGGTGATCGTCGCTGTCACTATCGTGCGCATCCCGTCCTATACACCATCACAACAGTCGCGTTAAAGCCTGTTCAAACTTATTCTCATCTCAATACCCCTAACTAACCGTCGCACAAACAATCCCTTCCAAGGACACCCATTCACTATGCACCCCCAGCCAGCTCAATGTTTCTGCCCCTAACACTCTTCCACTCCACCAACAACGCCCCAGCAAAAGCCGCCGCTGCCGTCCCAGCCCCGACATAAAAACTCGTCGTCAACGCATCATTGTACGCCAAAACAACGCTGTCAAGCTGATCCGCACGGATAGCATTGCGGATGTTTGTGGCACCCGTCCCCAGAACAAAGTAAGGATCCAGCCCTGGGACGTACTCACGGATCTTGTCCACGAGGGTGTTGGTGAAGACGGTGTTTCCGGCCGTGATGCATAGCGCACCTCCGAGAGTCTGGGCAAACACGATGAGTGCTGTGCCTGTGGGGATGTCGATCATCTCGCAGACTACCTGCACTGCGATCAGGGGTTGTTGTAGACACATGCCCACGCCTACCCCCGCTAGGAGTTGGTATCCTATCCATTCGGCCTTTGCTGTGTTGACTTCAAACATAGTAATGATACCGAAGCCAATGGCCATGAGGATGCCGCCGACAATCATGAAGGGAGTGTAGTAGCCCCAAACCGTGACGGCTGCACCGGAAATAATGGCAAAGCAGACAATACCGAGGAGCATGGGGAGGTTACTGACTCCAGACATGATAGCCGACTGACCAAGGACTGCTTGAAACCATATCGGCAAGAAGTACATGGCAGTGAGGAAGCATGCTCCCGTATGGAAGGCAAACCATGCACCCGCCCATACAGTACGCATCTTGAAGATGCGAAGAGGAACCGTGGCATTGTCCTCCATCTTGTACTGAACAAACCCAAAGATGATAAGCAAGAAAGCCGACAGCATGAGAAGCGAGGTTATCTTCGAGTCGCTCCATTCGTATTCGATACCACCCCACTGAAGAGCGAGAAGCAGACATACAGTGGCTGGTATAAAGATGCAAGTTCCGATAGGATCGAGCTGCCAGACACGAACTTGCCAGGTCGCAGGCTCAATGTCGCGCTCCGGGTTGGGAAAGAAGAAGTAGATAACAACAACAGTGACGAATCCAATGGGGAGGTTGATGTAGAAACACCATCTCCATGAAACCTCGTCGGCAAAGAGACCTCCCAATAGTGGCCCTGCAACCGACGAAATACCCCACATGCCGCTGATGAGACCCGTGTACATCGGCCGCTTGTGAAGGGGACATGAGAAGGCGAGAATGGTGAGTGCTCCAGAGAAGATGCCAGCAGAGCCAACTCCCGATATGGCCCTTCCGACAATGAGCGTGACACTATTCGGGGCGATGCCACAGATGAAGCTTCCCACCTCAAAGATGGCGATGGCAACCAAAAACGTCCACTTGATGCTCCAGTAGGTATAGAGCTTGCCAAAGAACAGCTGTAGGGCGGCTGTGGTAAGCATGTAAGCTGAGCCATACCATCCCACATCGTTGAGGCTCCCAAAAGCATCCGTGATCTTTGGGATAGCTGTGGCAATGATAGAGTTGTCTGGAACGTGTTAGCGAAATTCATCTTGTTTGAATGGACCACTCACCGAGTGCCATGACAAAGACGGCTAGGCAAAGAGCCAGTGTGATTAGGGCAAGTTTCATGCCCGTTGGATACACTGTATCGTCAACCATGGTCGTGACATCTTCTCTCACACCATCTGGAGAAGGCTGCAGCTTCTCCGTGCTTTCTGTCGGGGCAGCTGATCGTGGTCGGATATCACTATACCGAACCGAGCCCATGACAGGATGGGGTCTTTTATCCAGATCAGGAACCTCATAGTCGATGGGCAGGGAACGAACGCTAAAGTGGCTCGGTGCGATAGAAGATGGTCGACTCACGCCGCTGTCATCTCGGTTCGAGTCTCGGTTTGAAGTGAGCCATTGGTTGGCATTCCTGGCAAGCCTGGCTGTTTCCGAGTCAAAGTAAAAATATTGAGACGATGCTTGGAGGGACGAGTATAGAGACTCTCTTGGTAGGCGGATACTAAGGCGCGACCGAGATGTCGCGGCCATCGAGTAGTCCGGGGCTGACATTATGGAAGCCATTTTGCTTGGTTATTCCGCAACCAGTGCGTCTCTTCTCAATTGTTGGGGCCAACTCTAAAGATCATGCTGGACCTCATGCTTGGACCCGGGACATGCCCCTTTAATCTGCTCCATCCACGTGTTAGAGTGCCGCCCTTCCAATCTTCTGCCAGCTTCTGTTTCTAAGAGGATGCGGCACAAGGTGACACAGCGAAGTGTTTTTTGCCTTGCTGAGTCGACCATGGTTATCCTCGTCTCACATCGGAGCTGATTCTCACCGGGCGAGATGACAGCAAGGCGGAGGCTTGCAGCAAGATCTACACTCGCAGTCGTGCCCCAGCATGCTTTTTGGAGTACAAGGTGTGGCGGTCTGTGGCCTCAGTGGATGTTGGCACCTTTGAAAGCGCCAGAGAAGAAAATGTGAGGGATGGTGATGGCTTCAGTGGCATCACTCAGCAGGTGTGCCACGGTGAGATCGTGTAGCCCACACTCACCACATAAGCCGTGCCAGGACTCCGCGGAGCCCGGAAGCCGGTGTCGTTGGGATGCCTGAATCTTGTCATAATATGACTGCCGTACTTCCCATATCTCCAAGACCGGCCAATAAGGCAATCAAACTTTCTCCTGCCCATCTGAGTAAGGAGAGTCGGAAGTCCGGGGCCAAGATGATGAGAAACTGCGGATGATGAATACTGATGTCGTTTTTGTGGTTGGACCACGTGGGTAACATGGGGGCGGAGAAGTGCATCGTGTTGAGGAAACGCGAGGAGCTATTGACAACAGAAGAAAAGTTATCAATCTCATCGATCACGTTGGGAGCAGCCTTAAGCGGACGAGATATGCAAGACCACGCCTCCCTTGGCATCTGCTCTCTATCGACTTGGCGTTAGCCTACTATGCCACATCAGAACCGAGGTACAAGGTCTAGAAGTTGTGTTACCTTGACCAGCAAGTCCCAGTCTGCTCAGAAAGCGGCCAGGTGCAGTGGGAATGGATTCCTGTCTGATGTTTCGCAACATACCGGAGTTTGAACAAAAGCCGAGGCCGAGGGAACGGCATCAACTCTCAACACTTCGAGCGGGGGAATCTTATCAGGAACGGTACGTAGAAGCTCATACAAGTCAGATTGTAACGGGTCCGGAGGATTCTACTCCAACCCGAGTCAAAAGGACGAGGTGCGTGTTACAATCAGCACACAAGCATCGATAAGCCGCAGTTCCGAAGGCACACAAGAAGTCAGCGATCTCAAAAGTATTTGTATTGACAAATCGGTGTACCCATTCTGTTCTTCGCCACGTTCAAAACCCCAAACTTGACTTCCAGAACATTGGGGAGTTCGACTAATTATGACAACGATATGATCATGGGAGGGCATATCATAGACAATCGTACAGAGACCATAACGGCGTAGGGGAGAAACAAAGAAATACACGACATACACACGGAAAGAATATCGTGGTCAGCATATTATGTGTGAGACCAACGTGAAGAGGCCATCGATCACGCTTCGTCTTGTGGGTGGCCCTCTGACAGCGGGCTCAGTCGAATACGAGGGCTTGCTCGTTGATGCTCATCTTCGTCCTCTTCAAAATGCTTCGTGGACCCTGGGGCGAAATTGCGAGATCGCTTGTTGCCTTTTTCGACTGAAGCCTTATTCTCGTTATTGGGAAACTCCCGTGGGCTCGTCTCAGTCGATGGACTCTGAGCGCTGACAAACTTTCCCATCGAACATGATCTCTTGGCCAAGTCTGGGTGAGGACTGTTGGGGCTTCGCGCTTGAGATTGGGCGAGAGGAAGCGGGATACTGCCGTTTGACGGGATGTACAGCTGCTGGGACACCTTTCGCTGATCATGATGATCCAATCCAACAGTAGTACCAGTAGACAGCGTTGACGGGATGGGGCATGTTGAATGCCGCTTGCGATTTTCCTTGCGGGACCGCACCTCAGGAGTTGAAGTACGTGTCGGTGGAGCGTGAGGTTGCAATGGCATAGGTTGACTCAAAAGGGAAGCTGTCAAGGAGAGAGCAAGGTCTTCAGGTAGCACGGCATTATGCGGGAAGATTGGGAAGGGAACTGGCTGCTGTTAGTGTCATGTTTGAACGACGAAGGGTATCGTCAAACCTGGCTGGCTCCGCTCGGTAAGTATGGGCGTGTTGAGGGTTTTGGGTAAGGCTTTGGGATCCTCACCGTCAATAGAAAAAGCCAGAGAAGAGAATTGGGTCTCATCAGATCCGCTCCCTGAGGAATCCCGGGTCGAACCTCTGCGTTCAATGCTCGCCTCACCCAGTTCCCAGTTGTGACCTGACTTTGACACGACAGGAGTAAACTGTTGTGGAATATTGTTCAGCCCGAGCCCAACCTTGCCAGGCCAATCAAAGTATGCGTTTGTGTCATCAAACGAATCGACAATGTCGCTGCAGCCAGGGATCTCATCCGTGTTCGGCAGAGGCCCTATGTAGCTCGCCTGGGTTGGTTCCTCGGCATGGTTTGTCGCCACGTTGAACATGGAACCTTGAACCATGGGCATTGTAAGCCCTACCAGGCCCTTCTGTTGGCTGTTCGTGCGGAGTCGTGGAGAGTGGGCATGGGTTTTGACATTGTTGAACGGAAACGAAGGGACGGACATCGACGACGTATTCGGGGATCGCTGCCACATAGAAAGATTTGGCCAAGCAATCCCTGCGCCTTCTAGGACTTCTAAAACCCAAGGTTAACGAACGAGGACCATATTTAGGGTGCGGACAAACCTTGGGGTGCATGCTGAAAAGAAAAGACGACAATGTTGTTGACTCTCTCCATTGGAACGGTCAGAGAATCGCGCGGAAATCCTTCACTGATGACGAGTCTGATGCGGCCGAGAGCATCACCTACGTTTCGTTGTCTTTGCTGAAGGATTTCTTGCTGAAAGACAGGAAACTTGAGCGGCTCGGAAACTCCATTCTTGGATAAATCTGTACCTGGAGTTAGTAGGTTACCTCGAGATGAATACATGATTCGTTACCATAGCCGTTTGCAATGACATGCGGCCAATCGCACTGTCGGTTCAAAGAGGTGGAACTGGGAGTGGTAAGAACTGGAGCTACCCAAGCAAGCTAGGAACGACGTACGCAACAAGACGTCCGTCAACGAAGAGCCTCGTCTCGAATTTGACATCATTGACGTGCTTGGAGTATGACTTGGTGAATTGACTGATGGTGGGGGTATTCCATGAGTGAATCGAGATTTGAAATGGTGTTCCTGGTGCGAGACTAGGCACAAAACAATTCACAGTCGGCAAACCACAAATGCCGTGGATGTGTGCGAACTCTAGAAAGACGCAGCTTAGATGTGACAAGCTAGGTATTAGGGAGCATGTTCTTACCTGTATCTTGAACAACTTCACATGTGACGCCGAACTCTCTAAAGGGAATACCGCAGTCTCGTGGGAAAAGAAGGACATCCCAGTCCTCGTACCTCATCTTGACAGAAGAAGTGACCAAGAGGTGACCAAGAGGTGATGAAGGTGCCAAGAAAGGGCGATACTGCAACACAATGCAGATCGAAAGAAAGGAAAGTCAGTTGTGGAGTGCTAGGTAACCAAGCAGAGAAGGATGAGGATCGTGTTTTGCGAAGGCCTGGGTTGTTTACTAAGAGACGAGGAGAAGAGCAAGTGCTGAGGTAGCCACGAGCATGGCGAGAAGCTTGTCCCGTGACTTGAGTGCGCAAACCATGATGGCTTCGCAATGCTGGGAAGGAGCCATGTGGGATGGCATGTGAATGTAGGCAGTCAGTCCATCCATGAAGAGCATTACAGGCTGAAAAGCGGCGGATTCAAGCTTGCAAGCAGCCGCTTAGCTTTGGAACCGTTCACAGTAATAATACATTGGTTACCGAGGTCGTCCGATGTCGAAATCTCAGGATGGTTCTGTCAGGGGCTTCACTTTGATAGAAACACGGATGGATCTTAACCGGAAGGAGCTTCCATTTTCAACCAGACGCGGCTATTACGGCGGGGCAACATTGACGCTGAGCAGGCCGTGGTTTCTTATCCCAACCGTCCCTATGTTCGGATGGAAATGTCCGGCTTGGACTGCCTGGTGGTCGTGACGAGAGAGCGTGTGCTCAGGATATCGGGATCATGGGCCTATTCAGGAATCGGCGACGCTATGGCTCAACATAGGTAGTCAGTCAGAACAGTTCATCACATCCACGCGCATCATGCAATCGCCTTGATCCACAGTGCAATTCTCGGCTACGCGGTACTCAAACATCAGTGATCTTGCATTGAACCCTTCCATTCTTTCTTATGTACAAATGAGCATTTTCTACTCAAGGGTCAGCATCACCCTCCATCCGGGCCTGTTTTACTGTTAGCAATGCACAATCCAGAGCCTGTTTGACCTACCCTCGTGGCTCCGGGGCCACCCAGCTCTCGCTCAAGGCCACCCTCAAACGCACGGGGGTAGGCGGGCGAATCAGGGTAGTTGAGGTAGACCAGTCCGGTGACGCTGAAGAAGACGGCGAGAAAGGTGCCGACCATGATCAGACCAGGACCGGTCGTGGTCCAGGTGTACTCCCAGGGAGAAAAGATACCCAGCAAATCGTTATCCTCGTGGATGGGCTCGCCAAAGTTTCGTCGCTCCTGGGGATCCCACCAAGCGCCGTAGGGGTCACGGAACTGACGCTTGATGGCGGGTGGGTTGATGTAGCCGCCGTTCTGCGATATTATCCATCAGCTCCTCGGCTCGTTTTGAGCGCTTTGCCGGACTTCACTGACCATTCCGGGATCCTCGGCCTCGGTCAGGCTGGGGCCATCGGGGTACTTGGCGTCGATGACCTTCTTGTCGGTGTACGAATGGGGGAGGAAGGTTCGTCGCTGGATGGTGGGCAGTAGTCGAGCAGCCGTCATGCTGCTGCGCAGGGCCGAGGCCCGCACAATTCGTTGAGGGAGCATCTGCAGAAGGAACAAGAGTCAGCGCGACCAATTGACCATGTCTCAATGGCTTCGGAGCGACGAACCTCGGGCGAGGGGACAGTGTCGTCGGCGCCCAATTGCTCTGTGACGTGAGGTGATGGCTCTGTGTTGAAGCTGTAGCCAATCGAGGCTGTGATGATTCTCAACCGAAAAGTGGCGCCTCAGGCATCAAGGGCGCACGCCAGGCGCGTGTCGGCCCTTTTCGGTTAGCCCCAAGCCAGGTTCAGGGCGTGCGTCCTCAACTCTCCTCCAGCTCAAAAGTTTTGCTGACGACACTGGATTTTGCGACTGAATCCCACACAGGTCGCCCGCAAGGCCTCTGATCATGTGCAAACTTTGTATGAATATCCGCTGAAGCGCTACGATTCCGTAGACATTAATTTCTCCCCCCCAAATGATAGCTTCGCAGAGAATACGCCCCCTGCGTCTCCTGGCTCCACGTTGCTACTATGCCCGAGACCGCGTCGTCGCCCGTCAACGTGCTGCCCAAGTCGGACTCTGATGCCACCAAGCCTGAGCAAGACGCGCTCGAGCCTTGCACCAACGGAGATGACGCGCCGAACGGTACGATGAACGGCCACGATGGCCATGAAGCCAAGGGAGATGTGACGTCGGCCTTGAACGGCGACGCACATGAGCTACCCAATGGCCACGACCATGATCATGAGCGACCAGCGAAGAGAAGACGAACAGGAGAATCGACGCCCCAAGCCACGCCCAAAAAGCCCAAGATCGAATCGCCGCCGTGGAAGAAGATAGGTGCTGACGGCCCGACCACCTTTACTGAGAACGGCCGACGCAAATCTGGTCGCATCAACACTCTACCCCTCGAACTCCAGCCCCAGGGCAAGACTCGAATTACGAGGCGATCTATCGCTGGCGCGCAGTCGAGTCCGTCGAAACCGAAACCAGAACCTCAGCTGTCCAATGGAAACTCGAGAAAACTACCGAATGGCTCGCACAAGTCGACTCCCGCCACCAAAGCGCAGCCCAAGTCCACAGCCGCGTCCACCACGAAATCTTCATCCAAGAAACCCACAACAGAAATCCGAACATATTCTCGCTCGAATCGCCGTCGAAGTCCTTCTCCCCCACCTCCTCGATCCTCAACCAGAACCCGACGATCAGCGCGTTTTAGCGATGCCAACGAAAAGACACAAGACTCGAAAGCTGCGCCTACTACCCGTTCCCCTCGAATTAAGCTACGAGTTGGTCGGTCGGGCGATATTCCTCTCGTGCACCCTGATCAGGTTCGCAAGAGACCCAAGATTGGGACAAGCTTCGAAGACTTTTGGGCTCGAGGTGGGGACATCCCTGTCGAGGAGGGTGGCCTGCAGGCGTCCGAAGATGGCCCCTCATACACTGATGAGATGGCTGAGAAGGATGCTCAACTCATTCTTCGAATTGAGAAAGAAGTTGAAGATGGTGGAATGCTCGCCCAGGGGCGATGCTCCATATTCCTACCAGAACCCGAGGAGGAGCCACCTCGACAGTGGGCTCGTCAGGACCACATGGTCAAGGCCATGATGAACTTTCGCAAGCTCATGCTAGCGGAGCAACAGCGACACCGATCAACGGCCAAGAAGATTGCTGAAGCCTGTCGTGACGAGTGGCTTCGGCGTCAACCCAAGTCTGCAGAAGAAGTCGAAGCCGAACAGAGGGAGATATGGATAGCTCGGTACCGTACAGTGGCCAAGGTCATGTTTGGCACATGGGAGAATGTTCGTGTCGAAGTCAATCGCCGACGATTGGTCGAATGGGAACAAGAGGAGCAGAAGAGGGTCAAGGCAGCACTCAACGAAGCTGTGAACCTGTCCGAGCAGAAACTCCAAGCGCGGCGCACAGGATTGGATTCCGAGCAACCATCAGATGAAGAAGATGGGTTTGACGATCTCACCGACGATATGAGTCTAGCGGACGACGACGACGACGACGACTTGGGCCTTGCTTCAGACGAAGGCGACGACGAGGATGATGATCCAGACAGCGACATCATGTCATCTGACGATGAAGGCGAGGAGGAGGAGGAAGACGCAAAGGATTTGGGTGATGAGAACTTGACCCAGGAACAGCTACGAGAAAAGTATGCCCACATTCCAGATCTGGAGCAAACACCAGCGGATACGGAGACACCGACAAGCGGACCGAACCACGAAGATACAGATGCTGCCGATACCGCACAAGCTACCGAGAACCCGGAGTCGAGCGATGAATCCGTGGACATGGACGACGATATGGGCTCAAGCGACATGGAAAGCAACGAGGAGGCCGAAGACGACGAGTCGGAAGAGGAGTCAGAAGAGGAGGCAGGTGGTTTGCTGGGATTGTTCTTTGGAAAATCGGAGCTCAAGAAGATGAACGACGAGGCTGGCGTGGAAACTCCAGCTGATGACGATGCTGAAATGCCCGATGCTGCGACCCAGGATAAACCCGCCTTAGAAGACAATGGCGATTCGGATCCAGAAGATGAGATGTCCTTGATTCAGCTTCCGGATCCAGACCACGCCGAACATACTCAAAATGGCGAACCGGCCGCTCAAGAGACGGAGACTCAAGCATCGGAACCTGCGAAGCCTGAGGGAATTCCCTCGGATGAGAAGAAACTGGAGGATGTACCCGCAGGCAGCGTCGATACCACCGACGTGCTCACGCCCTCGAAGTTGGAGAAAGAAGCGAGCCACGAAGTCACTATGACAGGCACCGACGAGAAACGCAGCGAGGAACAAGTCGAGAAACCTTCGGATGTTGCAGGCCCAGAGAAACTGCCAAGCCCCGAGACCGAGCCAGTCACAAACCCACCCAGTCCCACACATAGTCTGTCGCCTCCACCTACATCGGAAACCAAGCCTTCGGAGCTCGATACTGCGTCGTCTGCGGAGGCGCCTGCTAGCAAGCCTGATGTGAGCGCATCTACCTCACCCCAGCCTGTTGGGAATCACAAGACCGAAGTGCCCTTCCTTCTCCGTGGGACACTGCGAGAATATCAACGCGATGGCCTTGACTGGCTTGCCGGCCTCTATGCCAACAGCACCAATGGCATCCTGGCCGATGAAATGGGATTGGGAAAGACGATTCAGACTATCGCTCTTCTTGCACACTTGGCTTGCCAACACGAAGTATGGGGACCACATCTTGTTGTGGTGCCGACAAGTGTCATGCTCAATTGGGAAATGGAGTTCAAAAAGTGGTGCCCTGGCTTCAAGATTTTGGCTTACTATGGCTCGCAAGAGGAACGCAAACGCAAGCGACAAGGCTGGAACAATGACGATGTGTGGAACGTATGCATTACTTCGTACCAGCTGGTACTCCAAGATCAACAGGTGTTCAAACGGCGACGCTGGCATTACATGATTCTTGATGAGGCACACAACATCAAGAACTTCAAGTCTCAACGATGGCAGACTCTTCTCGGCTTCAACACACATTCTCGACTTTTGCTTACTGGAACACCCCTTCAGAACAACCTTACAGAGCTTTGGTCACTTTTGTTTTTCCTCATGCCGGCGGAGAATGGCGTTGGCGGGTTTGCTGATCTGCAGGAATTCCACGACTGGTTCCACAAACCAGAGACCCAAATTCTTGAGAGCGGGAGGGAACAGATGGATGACGAGGCCAGAGCCATCATATCCAAGCTCCATAAAGTGCTTCGTCCGTATTTGCTTCGCCGTCTCAAAGCCGACGTTGAGAAGCAGATGCCTGCCAAGTACGAACACGTCGAGTTTTGCCGACTCTCAAAACGTCAACGCGAACTCTACGACGGCTTCCTCTCCCGGACAGACACCAAGGCGACGTTGGCTTCGGGCAACTACCTTTCCATCATCAACTGTTTGATGCAGCTTCGGAAAGTCTGCAACCACCCCGATCTGTTTGTCGACCGACCAATCATGACGTCGTTCCGCATGCAGAAATCCGTCGTCTCCGACTTTGACGTGGTCGAGCAAAGGGTGCAGAGGCTGCTATTGGCCCCGAAGCCTATGAGCGCTGTCAATCTAAACTTCCTTAACCTCATCCCCACTCATTATGAGCACCTGACAACCACTCAAGCCGACCGGATCGCTCATTTGAGCTCGCACCGGGTGTTGATGGATCTCCGTGAGGTTCAAAGAACACGAGCGCAACATGCGTACTCGACTCTTGACCCGTCGACGGTAGAATCCAGCATCGCTTATCTCGAGAGTGGTGCAAGATGGAGCCGGTTTGAGGAGCTTCAACACTGCGTCTACCTGAATGCACTGCGGCGACAACAACGGCCAATTTATGGCAAGAACTTGATAGACTTGCTCACCATTGGCACCGACAAGCGACCCTACAAGCCGCGTCCCAAGGTTCCTCGTCAAATTATGAGTTGGTTCGAGGATGAGTCGACCACCATTCAATCCATGATCCCCACCATCAACCATCGCGCCGACAGCTTCAAGACCATCATTGAGAAGTTCTCGTGTGTGACCCCGGCGGTTGTCACCAGAGACATGGAGCAGTTTGTGCTCGGGCGCAAGGGCGTGCAAGCCTTTACAGATGAAGACCTGAAGCTCTCATCACCTGTTCGATGGGCGCCTTTCTTGCCTAAGCAGTCGCCACCAGATCCCTGGCATGAGGGTCGGATGAGACTCAGCATCCAGTTCCCCGACAAGCGTCTACTCCAATATGACTGCGGCAAACTTCAAATTCTGGACAAGCTGCTGAGGAAGCTCCAGGCTGGTGGCCATCGTGCTCTCATCTTCACGCAGATGACCAAGGTTCTCGACATTCTCGAACAGTTCCTCAACATCCACGGCCACAAATACCTCCGCCTGGACGGTGCCACCAAGGTCGAACAACGCCAAATTCTCACAGACCGGTTCAATCACGACCCTCGAATCCTCTGTTTCATCTTGTCGACTCGATCGGGCGGTCTCGGAATCAACCTCACAGGTGCCGACACAGTCATCTTTTACGATCAAGACTGGAATCCTGCCATGGACAAGCAATGTCAGGATCGATGCCATCGTATCGGACAGACGCGTGATGTTCACATCTATCGCTTGGTCAGTGAACATACCATCGAGGCCAATATCCTTCGGAAAGCATCGCAAAAGCAGATGCTCGACGATGTGGTTATCCAAGAGGGAGAGTTTACAACCGATTACTTCAACAAAATGTCGGTCAGGGATGTCCTTGGCGACAAGGTCGACTCTACTAGTGAAGGCGTGGATGCCGCTGATGCTGCCCTGGACCGAGTTCTTGGTGGTCCCGATACCAACTCAGACCAGCGAAGGGTTGGGCGAGCACTTGAGCAAGCCGAAGACAGAGAGGATGTTGCAGCCGCCCGCGTGGCGGAGAAGGAGATCCAAGCTGACGACGCCGATTTCACCGAGAAACCCAGCAATACCGCTTCTGGGACTTCGACGGCGCGACAGGGAACACCAGCTGGCAAGTCGGTGCTGGATGGAGGACTCGATGAGGTTGACACACCTCAAGCGGAACAGATTGTGGAGTACAACGCATGGGGCGACAAGATGCGCACCATTGACGATTACATGCTGAGCATCATGGCAGAGCAGCTCAAGGGCACCAAGCTCGAGTTGCCCAAGGACAAAAAGAAGGGCAAGAAGAAGGGCAAGGACACACGCAAACGATGAAGCGACGACCCAAAACGCATCATAATAGCCGCCGCGAGGAGTGTCACGGCAACGCACAAAACATCTGTATATTAGCATCTATTGGGAACCAGGTAACCTGGCTAAAAAGGGGAGACAAAAAACATCAGCACACGGGGGCGGGGTTTACTTGTAGACTGGGTGTTTTATAGGGGATGGGGGGTTCCTGGATTGTACGAACTGAACTGTAGGTGGGCGATGGTGGTTCATTGCATCTATGGGAGTTTTTTGGAGTGTCAAAAGGGGACGGTTTTTGTGTCCTTGACGTGGCGCATCGGTAGACTTGTAAGAATTGGATGAGAAACACCTATCCTGCTTTCAGTTGATTGTTCATTTTGTTGCAGTGATTGTGGACAATCTTGAGTGATACCTTGGCGGCCGTTGGTGTTGGTCAATTGAGTACTGTTGTCTGCCATTGTCTTGAGCGCAAGAGTCATTGCGGCCAGGACAGTTGCACCAGCAGGCTCGAGGACTTTATCATAATCGCAAAAGAGGCTTATCCGTATGCATGTTTGTGTCTTTGAGCTTTGTGTGATCAAGGTGCCGTCCTCCGTTGGTGTTTCTTGCTGACTCTGCTCGAGGTCAGTCTGGCCCAAGGCATCCAACACACAGCCCCTGGGACTTGCAACAACAGAGATCCAAGCATTCAAGAGACCTCAAACGTTCTTCCTGCATTGAACCGGGTATCGCGGGCCGAGTGCATCCGAGGTAAGAAATGACGCGCGAGGGTATCAACGGCGCTGTTGCGATGCATGCAGATGATGCTTGTGCCGATTACCCTATCATTCGTAAGCTATCAGCGTCTCTCTGCCTAGACACCTTGGCCAACGTGTTCCCCCATCGACTCAGACCCAATCTCATTAGTAAATGACCCGGGATTGTTCTTTGGCCTATATCCACAAGCGAGTTGTTCGGAGCAGTGACTTGTGCCATCAATGATATGCATTCTGGGCATTACTTGCTGTGTGGTATTATCGTGCGCGACAAGAAAAACAAAACAAAAGTCCTTTTAACCATTTACAGCATTGCCTGCAATCTCGGCTGCATCTCATCCTCCGTCCGCAATCCAAGCTCCGCCTTCATCTTGACCCACGACTCTGCCGCCCTCCTAGCCATCTCCTCGGGCACCGCCGCATCCGGCTCTGCAAGTCTCCTGTTAAACACCTCAAAGCTCAACCACCCTTCAAAGCCGAGGCCTTGAATGACGGTTCTGAGGAGTTGTTTGCAAGGGAGGTAGCCACCGTATTGGGGTTCACCGTAGAAGAGGCGCGCGTTGCGAGACCAGCTCATTCGGGCGGGTTGCTCGGGGTTGTAGAAGGGGTGGGATGTGTCTAGAGGAGCAGACAGACGTTCGCCGTCTGCGACTTGGACGAGGAATACTTTTGTAATGTCAATGTCGGAGAGGATTCGCTTGATCGAGTCGACTGTCGCTTGTTCGCAGTCGGATGTCCTTCCGGTTGGTGACGCAGGGTCGGCGTAGATTCTCCCGAGGATGTTGTAGCTGTCGAGGCATACGCCAAAGTTGGGTCGGTCTACACGCTGAACAAGATCCCAACTCGACTCCCAAGTATCAGTTCTTGTGCCCCAGCATAGTGACTCGTATGCAAAGTTGACAACTGGCTCCTGCTGCAATCCCAACTCGGCCGCCTCGATGAAGTCCGCCACGATCAAGTCCATATCATCCGTAACCTCATCTTCAGAAAGGAAACTGCTCGGGAATAAGATCAAGTCTGTCTCCAGAGCCCGGACCAGCTCAAACCAAAACTGCAATTCGTCAATCCTCTTGGCATGCTGGCCCCGATTGATGAGACCGCCAAAGTGCATGAACGGCTGGAGGCAGATGATGGTGAGATTCCGGGCGGCGCAGAGCTGTTGGATGGCACCGGCGGCTGCGATTTGATCTTCGGGGGAGCCGCCGCCGGGGTACGACTTTGCAAAGCCTACCAGGTCCTCGTAAAAGACTTCGATGCCTTGGAAGCCGTATTTTTGCGCCATGTCGAGCTTGTGTGGGAGGGAGTGGCCTGCGAAGCAACGTCCTAGGGACATTGTGCATATGCTGGGCTTGTGTGCCATGATGAATGTGATGTTGATACTGGGTAGAGGAAGATAACCAATTGCTGTGGTTGAATTGTGTGATGCTGGACTTGATGATGGAATTGGGCTTTGGAGGATGGTATATAGAGATTGAAACTTGCTATGATGAAACTGTCTAGGAATCACCGAAGAGAAACAGTTACCTCTGATGCAGTGGCAACATGATTTATCAACCACGAGGAAAGCTCCCCTGATGGAGAGTCCCTCTTGAGATAACCTCCTCCAACCGCCAATAGCCATTGGTCCCCCCTGTCAAAGGTATGCTAGATTTGCGGAATTGGCGTCATCGGCATTGTCACGAGGCGGAACCAACCGTTCAATATGCCATGAGTTAAACAGTTTTCCGCCCATCTTCCATATGAATGCATCATGGGTAATCTTAGTGGTGGTGGTGGTGTAGGATCCGGCTGGTTAAGTCTTTACCCGGTGTGGGGAAAAACCTCAACCTATCGGCAATGCCTTGTTCCACGAGGGGGGGAAACGCAGGTTCCGGGCCTGTACCCGGTGGAAAAATCCTTGCGCGTTTCTCGGCATTTCACATCGTGGGGGAGAAAGGAGATCTCGCATGAACTTGGACCGAGTTTCTCCAGATCTCTGATGACAATTCCCTGCCTTTCTTGACCTTCCTAGTGGACACTACTTGAAGAGAGCTGAGTCCTAGCGTTGGAGAAGAAAACAAACCCCAGATTTCCAGGTTCTCTACTAGTCTTTTTCTCAATATGTCTGCCCAAGAAGTGTCTTATCCCTCTGGGGACTCGCTCGCCTCGTGCGAAGTCTCGCGGCTTGAGCGCCACGGATACCTCTTTGGGAAGAAGCTGGCCAATTCCCTCTCACCCTTTCTTCACAATGTCATCTATCAAGATCTTGAACTGCGATGGGGTCAGGTCCGACTCGACTCGGCGGATATTCCCTCTTTCCTGAAGCTTGCTCAACACCCCGACTTTTACGGTGAGTTATTTTTGTTTACTGAGATTGAGGAGTGAAACTAATGAGGTACAAGGCGCTTCGGTAACAATGCCCAACAAGGTCGCCATCATTCCTTACTTGGATGAGCTTACTGAGGAGTGCCGCGACGTCGGTGCTTGCAACACACTTTTCCTCCGGGAACAAGACGGTCGTCGCATCTTCTGCGGCGCCAACACCGACGTCATCGGCATTCGCGACGCCTTTTACCAAAACATCACTGACCCAGACGGCGTCTTCCATGAGAAGCCCGCCCTCGTGGTCGGCGGTGGCGGCGCAGCCCGAAGCGCCATCTACGCCCTACGCAAGTGGATGAAGGTCAAGGCCATCTACCTCGTCAACCGCGACGAGTCAGAAGTCGAAGCCGTCATCAAGGACTGTGCGGAGCGCGGCTACGGCGATGACCTAGTCCACGTGAAAACGGTCTCACAAGCCCTAGACCTCGAAAGCCCCGGCGCCATCGTGGCGTGCGTGCCAGACTTTGAGCCCCAAACAGCAGAAGAGACCCTCGCCCGCCGCGTCACCGAGACGTTTTTGGAAAAGGAGCGCAAGGGTGCTATTCTGGAGATGTGCTATAACCCTACACCGTTTACGCGGCTGGGCGCCATTTCTGAGGAGAATGGATGGCAGGTTATCTTGGGTACTGAGGCTTTGATCTGGCAGGGTTTGGAGCAGGATAAGTACTGGACTGGAAGGCCGATAGAGGAGCTTCCGAGGGAAAAGGTTCAGTTGGCTATTGCGGAAAAGGTTGCTCATAGGGCTCAGGAGTCGAAGCTGTGAGCGATGCACATTGCCTGGGGGACATAGAAAGGTATATTGGGGTACAAACAGCATGATAATAGCGTGTGTAGAACTCAGAAATAAGAGCGGTTCACATTTTGTTTAAGAAATGAAGTTTGACTAGTAGTCTGAAGATCACTCATACTACTTTCCAAGGAGTTACCTGCTGTTATTAGTTCCTTAATTGCAGCAGAAGTTGACCTTCGGCGTATGTTAGGCATATCTAGACATAAACGATGCACCGTTTGACACGTATTGACTGCTCCTTCAATGCTGGAAAAGAAACATAGAATGAAGGCCGTCCGAGCTAGGTATGTCTCGCTAAGATAGAACATGGAGTTTGCTGATTCCGATGAGAATCAAGGTGGCTCGGAGGGTGCAGTCGAAAGTGTGAGGGTTTCGTGACCTTGAAGGATAAGAGACAGCTGCGCTGCAGCGAATTACAAGGGAGGTATAATAGCATTTACAAAGAGGTATACTAGGAATGACCGGAGTTCAATTCAAGAATCAACTGCGAGCACATTTTTGATTGCTAGCCCAAGCTGCGTATACGATTGTGATGTACTCCATGAAAATCCTGCTTCATTCTCAACTCTCTCCATGTTCCACGTCAATCCGTTTTCGTCTCCTCACGCCCCCTTTAACAGCTACCAATCGAGAGGTCGATGTTGCCTCCGTGCTCTCGTCGCCTGACCCCTTGACCGATGCACCGAATTTTACCAAAAACCCCCTGATCTCCGTCTTCCAGACGTAGCTAACTGCGGATCCAAGGAATATCAAAGGTACGAAAACTAGACAGAGAGTTAGGGCAGGGCTCTTATTCATATCAAAGTGTGAAGAAAACCCTACAAATAATATAGAAAGCCCAAGCGGGGGCTTGCATAAAATTTGCGACGTCCAACGCAAAGAGAGAGGTGAGAAATGAGAGAGGGAGCTGGTAGAATGTTTAGTAAATGATGACCTTTTCTTGATAAGATCAACTTACAAACCAGACGGTGACAAGGGTAAATATCAAGACTATTTTCCCCTGCTTGAAAGACTCCTTGCCCTGCTTCACGGACTCGCTTGCCTGCCAATTGGCGATCTCTGCTTGGAAGCCGGCAATGTCACTCTCCTGGAGAGTCAGTGTAGTCTTGACCTAATAG